GCCTACTGTCGAAAATGGAGGCTAAAGGCTAATGTGAGTAAGAGTGCAGTGATGGTGTTCGCTAGGGAGTCAGTGGATGGTGCTTGGAAATGGGGGGGAGTATGTTTTGCGTATCTAAATGCACATACTTGGGTGTTGATTTTACTATAGCTGGTGCATGGGATGTGTGTATCAAGAATGTGTTAGACAATGGTAGATCAGTTGCATAGTGTAATTAGTAATAGGGATATTAATTTGAGTGCTCACAGGTTGTTGTTGCTGGCGGTGGTTAGGCCAACTTTAGAGTATGGGGGTGAGGTGTGGGAAGCCAATAAGACTCAGGCAGCTGCATTAGAGTCCGTTATGCTGGGAGGAGCTAAGCATATTCTTGGGTGTTTGTCTAAGACATGTAATGAAGCCGTTAGGGGGGATATGGGGCTTGATACGTTACAATTGCGTAGGGATAAGAATAAGTTGAAGTGGTGGTATAAGTTAGCGGCATTGCCAGGCAATAGGTATCCGAAGAAGCTTTTTATATAAAATCAGGAATGGATTTTTTTGCCACGGAGAGGAAGGCAGAGGAAGTGTTGGAGTAAGGTCATTGATGATCTCTTTTCGTCATTAGGTCTTGACAAGGCAGAGTGGTTGCATGATATTCAAAATGGGGATTGCTCCTTGAAGGGCTTTCTGTCTATAGTAGGGGACAGTATTAATGAGAGGGAGATTAGAAGAGGGGCTAAATACCAAAGTAAAGCTGTTATTATATAAGACATTTAACAAGGTGGTAGAGTTCAAAAGTACTTGCATGGGAAAAGTGATGCTGGGTCTAGATTAATGTTTAAGTTCAGGTCAGGCACGCATGGGCTAAATGAGGAACTCGGTAGGCATAGGGGGAGGGAGGGGATGAAGGAGTGCCTGTTGTGTGATGATGAGTGTGAAATTGTGAGTCATGTGTTGTGGGAGTGTCCAGCATATAGTAGTCTTAGGAGCAATTTCTTAGTTGCCCTGCAGGGGAAGCTTGGGGATGATGGGTTTGAGCATTTCCAGTCGCTTGATAGTTTCAGGAAAGCATCCTTTATATTTGGTAGTGAGCTGTGGGAGGATAAATTTGGTTCTTTGCTTCGCCTTGTTAAAGGTTTTATTTCGGATGTTTTGGAGCTAAGAAAGGTTAGGTTATATGGCGATAATCCAAGCGTACAACAGAACCCAGTCTCAGATTGCGTCTGGGGAGCTTCTGGGTGTCGCTGGTGGAAGGGGTGAGTTGAGGTGTCTGGGAGGTGAGACAGACACCGCATGTTCATATGGTGTATGTTCGTTTGTTAACGGTTCCGCCCATTGCTCTGGGTGCGTGGTCTATGGTCCTAGTACTATGGCAGCCACCTGAGTATTATTATTATTATTACGTAAACTCTGGAACTTGCCCCGCAATTCACATTCAGCTATTGTTCATTGTGGTGCTGAGATTGATATGGTGTACAGTCGCTTCTGCTCTCTTTTGTCAACTCTCATTCTGTTTTTATAGTTTCATCCCAAGTCGTTCATTCTTTCACTGGGTATAATTAGGAATTCAACATCTTTCTGATTATAACTCTTCTGAATTCACTACAATTAAAAGACATCTCAGACATCTTTATGGTCTTCATTCTCCTTGTGAAGGTCGTTTGTCCTCTTTGTAGTCGTTATTATGGTGAGTGTTCTGCGGTCGGTCAGCCCTCGGATGGCAACGGGATAGAGTCCAGAAGGCCGTGGTTCTGCTCTCCTCTTTCTCTCTCTTCGTTTTTTATGTTGTTGGTCTATTCTGCACCTTTAGCTACTGGTGTGTGCATCAAATTATAAATAAATAAATATTATAATATTTCTCACTGTAACTCGCTAGGACCATCGGCATTCCCGTGAATACTTCTAGAGATAAACTCCAAACCTTGGCTTCGTACATTCTCTATGAGAAAAAGATTGCTGAAAAATTGCAACTCGTTACGTAATCTCTGACGCGTGTGCAACCTCCTCTTTTGTCTTGGCGCCGCCACACACACGTCATAATATCGTCGCTTGCGTCACGTGCGCCTTAGAGCAACCCACAGTCAACCCGCCGCTGAGTCAGCACTTACTGCAGAACGGCACACTGGCGTTTGCAAGGCTATGAGTGTTCTCCGTGGGTTGACGTACACACTTGGACATATAAACAATCGAGAGGTAACAAGGTCTTGGCCCGCCTGAACACCAGCCAGAGCAACTTCCTTTCGCAGCTTACGACACTTGATTACATTATAGCCGCATGCGCGGACAGCTTAGGAATGTTTATTGTGCGCAACCGCCTCCTGGTGCATACAGTCTGCTACCACCAAGACCATGTCAAAGACGACTCGAGCCATGTTTTTTATCTGCCTACTCGTTGTTGTCGCCGCAGTTTACGTCGTGGTTGGTCGTTTGTACCGATACAGTACTCCGTGGAGGCTGCCACTGCCGCACAAAGAGCCTTCTCTTCCGCATATCTCCCAGTTTCTTTCTACCTTAAACGAGTCGTCGTCACTGATCCTATCTACGGTGTATTCTACCTCCAAGTCTCTGACAACTGCTTCGAACCAGCTACACGAACTAACTTCTCAGGAAGAGCTTTCACAACCTGAATCTCTGAGAGGCGCTCTTCACCGCTGGAGGCTGTACGGAGCCAACTCCACTGCTGTAAATAGTGACAATCTTGGCCAACAGAAACAAAAACAGGGAACAAAACTCTTTTCAGACCTCTCAACCGATGTCCAGAGGGTAGTTGAACGTTTACAGGCTGTACCAATCTCTTGCAATAGCCACCCAAAAAGCTCCCAAAAATTAATGACTGAGAAATTTGGTAAATTTCTCGAGGCTCTTTCGAACTATGCCTCACTCCATGCCCAGAACAGAGGCAGTGACAATGCTAAGAAATTAGTATGGTATTGTGGTGAAAATTTTTGTGGGGGACTAGGAGACCGGGAAAGGGGTCTCACATATGCCCTCATATTGGCTATGATGTCACAGAGGGTACTGCTATTTCACTGGCAAGACAGCAGGCTTGATAACAAGACGTACCTGGATCCAAATGTTATCGACTGGAGGCTCACAGAGAAAGAGAGAAAGAAGGTTTTTGAGATAAAGAATCACTTTAGAGTAAATGAAGCAGGAGACAGTGATGCAGTGATGTTGCTCTCTCTATTCAGCCGTGGACCCATGGACACAACCGAGTCTGCTACAAGACATAAATCTGTCCTTCAAGCAATGGTGGGTCATCGACCCTGGATAGCATTGCAGAGCAACATGTTCCCAAGTAGTCTGGTGTACGGTAGAGTGCCAGTTTCAATGGATTGGATTAAGCAAGGCATGGACACCCTAGGTCTTAACAAACTAAGCCAGTTTGAGATTAACCAAGTGATGGGACTGGCATTTCGGTATCTCTTTACCTTTTCGAAGGAAATAGTTGCAGAAATGGATGAAGCTCGTCGAATTCTTGGACTAGTTAACCAAGCGTATGTTGGAGTACACCTGAGGACTGGGTTTGAAGGGTCAAAAAAACATGAAGAAAACAATCATCCAAAGCTCATTAAAGACCGTTGGCAGTGGGAAGCTACGCTCAATTGCGCTTACACACATGCCACAGATATAATATTAGGCAAGAATGCGTTAATATTCTTGGCTACCGACTCTGCTCTTGTTAAAGCCATGGCGTTACAGAAGTATAAAGATAGAGTAAGGAGTCTGAATAACTCTGTCATACACATTGATGATTTCACACCACCTCCAGAAGAAGTGGGTGATTTTGAGAGGGAGGGAGTGATGAGTGTTTGGGTGGAGCTGGTACTATTGGCAGAGGCCCATAGTCTAATTATTGGAAGATCAGGTTTTTCTTTCTTGGCCCAAAGTCTCTGCCTCGTCCAACAACCTCTCTTACTAAATGGAGTCACATGTAAATCGCTGGACGATATAGGGATGTAGTAGCTAGCTTGTTTTTTGTGTACAACAAACATTCTATAAATTATTATCAAAATGCAATATTGTAGTAATTACATTACACGACTTTTACCTGATCGTTCACTGGAGTGTATAACCTCGGATTTGACATCTATCCGGATCAGCATCAGGCCAGTGTATATATAGTCAGTGCAGTTCTAAACCACAAGGGCATTGGAATGCAATTAGTAAAGTTGTCCTTACCTAGTCTGGTGCCCACGCGTAAACGCATGCGCGAGGGAGGGAGAGAAGGGTCTGGTATTAATAACTATGCCTCCAAGGAATTTCAGCAAACACTTATCACGAGTGATTGCGGTTACACCCAACTGCGATTAAATCGTTATTCGCTGCGATACTAACAAGTGCTTTTTTGGCGGATGGACGGTACTTGCAGAGCCTGTGGAGCAAGCCTGCTTGACCTAATATAGGGATGTTCACACTTGGAGCTCACATACCACATTCCTATGCATAGCACAACTACTTGTTTATGATACACAGGAATAAGAAGCATGTCCCTCCACTGGGTGTACGACAGCAGAGACAGTAGCTGAGCATGCCCTTTCTAATTGCCTCAATAACTTGTTGGAGCTCTCCAACAAACCCACAGCATATTCCCTTTGTACTGTATTCATCAGAGAGGTAAGATGGGATATGCACAGAACTATAGAGCCTCGAGCATCGAGTAGTCGAACACACTGAAGAGGTAATAATGCGCGAAGCCAGTATGACTTGCCAAAAGACTCATAAAAACGTCATTTCCAGTCACAAACGAGCTTGTTACATGGCGCTTTAGAAGTTTGAGTGACTGGAAAGCAACTGCTTCAACAGCCTTGTCGATCGCTTGCTCTAGCTCCATTACACTATAAAACGGTGACGTTCTATTACACGCACACCTTGACGGACACGCAGCGCTATCGATCCTGTGCGGTTAGTTATTGAATACCACCACCTTTTCCAACATTGGCTAGTTATTTACCGTTTACGCGCGTGCGCTTATATTTTGTGAAGACTATAGTATTATAATATCACAGTGCACAGAGACCCTCCTCTACAGACACTGCTATCAGCTCCATGTATTGGTCAGGAACAACAGGGACACAACTGTCACAGCCATTTGCCAATGCCAATCTCATGTCCGAGTCTGATCTTGCAATACCACTACTAGTGTGTCTAGTGGGAGGAGACGTCACACCAGACTTCTTTAGGCCATCTCTGCAGCCAGAGGGATCGTGTTTTGTTGAGGCTTCGAAATCCTCATCTGCAGACGCTGTAGAGTGGTCGTGTGGAGAAATTGGTGGGGGGAAGGCTGCAGGTATAAGGTTTTCAGGTGGAGAAGTTGGTAGGTGTGCATAAGGGACCACTGTGGTAGAGGAATTGAGAGCACCACTGATGAATGACTGCTCCAAGTCAGCAGGAAAGTCGTAATCTAATGTGGAAAAAATGTCTACATAAAAGTCACACTTGTTGCACATGACCATGTACTTTTATATGTTGCAATAGCCGTTGCAGCCGGCTTACTTACATAGCCGCTTTCCAAACAAAAATTCCTATAAGCAGCAGAGAGCAGCAGCAACTGGCTGAATGTCGAGAGAAGAAGCCTTCTGTAACTATACATGGTGGACCAGATTACGCCTACCTTTTGTGTACAATGCTTGACTGGCATGGGTCAGAGTTACAGATCCACTATATAAACAAAGATCGATGCGTGAACACAATAAATCTCCAGGAACACCTGCGACCAAATTACAACTCCTCCAGAAGTGCTCTGTCTGCACTGACACAGAGTAACAGCACTTAAGTAGCCACCCTTAAGTTGTATATATATAGTAAGGAGGAACCTGACATTGTATATAACAGAGTCTACAACGTAAGGACTGTCAGATCATCATTCACAATGGTTACAAACCTCACACTTCCAAAGAGCTTTGAACACTAGCCTACTAAAAGCTAGTTTTGGTCCACAGCTAGACTGTTCATTACAAGACTATATAGTTACAGTTTAATGTTGGTAACAGTGTATCTCACATCATGAACTTTCTAAGCATAATTTACCACATGTAGAAGTATAATCTTAAAAATGTTCAGAGTACTAACAGGCATAATTACAAATACTGCATGTTGTGCCCTGCACATTCTAACTGAGACCAGTGGTTTCCCTGTTGTCAACCGTTACATGTTGGCCCTAGTCCTGTTGCTCTGCTCCAATGAGCCGACAAAATAGTACCAGGACTTGCTCGGTGAGAGGAAGAGGGTTCCGCTAGAAAATACCACCAAAAAGGCATATCTAATCCATCGCAGAGGAGCTGCAAGATACAAGCGCAGAGGGAGAAGGCCCAAAGTCAGGAGGTGATTAGGGCACTGCTCAAGGCCCAAAGTCAGGAGGTGATTAGGGTACTGCTCAAGGCCCAAAGTCAGGAGGTGATTGGGGAACTGCTAAAGGCCCAGAGTCAGGAGGTGATTAGGCCACTATTCGAGGCCCAGAGTCAGGAGGTGATTAGGCCACTACTCGAGGCCCAGAGTCAGGAGGTGATTGGGGCACTGCTCAAGGCCCAGAGTCAGGAGGTTATTAGGCCACTACTCGAGGCCCAGAGTCAGGAGGTGATTGGGGCACTGCTCAAGGCCCAGAGTCAGGAGGTTATTAGGCCACTACTCGAGGCCCAGAGTCAGGAGGTGATTAGGGCACTACTCGAGGCCCAGAGTCAGGAGGTTATTAGGGCACTGCTCAAGGCCCAGAGTCAGGAGGTCATTAGGGCACTGCTCCTAGCTCGTAGGCGCACTCAAGAGGCGAGTGGCTGCTAGGCCTTGATAGATTAATTACGCCAGGATAATTTTGGGAATAACAGGCAGTCAAAAGAGTATAAAGGAAAACGTTAGCCCACGTTAATAGCGTGGGTGCGTGGTTGTGTGTATATACATAGCATGTGTACTGTACTGTGTACTATAAGCTTCAAGGAAGCAGCTGCTTTTCGTTTGTCCTGCCCTGCAATGAGGTAGCAATGAGGCTCGAGGTGGCACTGAGGGATTACACACCATGTGCACAGCAGGGTGTCACTGTAAATATGTACTACACTTTACCTACAGGTTTCTCAGCATTGGATGTAACGCTGGCTGAGACAGCACACACCTCATCACAAGTGGGCCATTCTCAAAATCCTTTGCTCCAGTTGTTCTCAAGTTACATTTGACAGACAGGACACAGATTATTTGAACGAATTACTGAACTAAAGAGCGGCGAGACAAGCTGTTTTCAGCCCTTGCTTTAATTGGGCACAAATTACGCACAATACCACATGCGCAATGGCGTATATAGCTAACATTTTAGGTTAGAGTGTCTAAGTACCAAGCACTAAACAGGAGGTCCCCGGTTCTACCCCGGCAAGCAGTACTCACGTTTTTCCCATCTATAATGTTATGTATAATGTATGGACGCATAATTACATGCGTTCTCGGCCCCAGCTTGCAGGGGCAGCTGGTCATCCTGTCGAGTGGGAACATTTTGTCTTGTTCTTATCCTGCATGTCATATCTTGTCACATTCCTGCTTCATCAAACATTATACAGCACGTTGACTGACAATCATGGCCAACCGTTAATACCATAAGCTAGAGTATCTGAAGCAACCTCAGACCCATTGCCTAACTTGTAATAAAGGACAGTTTAATATTTCGCACGTGTTTTGCGCGTATTAAAAATCACGTACAACATTACGGTATGTGCAGTGCTCGTCACATAATTATACGTATAATAGAAAATTCCTCAATTGAAACAACTACATACATATGTGTATAGAATCACTTTGCACGCCGACAAGTTGATGTGCATGGCTCTACAGAATAAGGACAACTGCTATTGCACGTTTCAACAACAGTTTCTTAGAATAGCTGTTCTCCAGCAAGAACTAAAGTAGAGTCCACAAACCCAACAATTTTATAAATACGTTCACACACAGGACTTTCCACCATTACAATGTAGCATCCATCACTGCATTTTGTAAGACACGATGACTAGGTATGCTCACTTGGCTCACCAGTTATCGCCAGTTACTATTTGGACAAACCTGGAACAGTGTTTTCCACGCTAGGTCTTGGGAGTGATAACAGCATGGAAGTGCGGCCTGTGCTGTCTCTGTCCATGGCAGGGAGACAGCAGTCGTGAGTGGAAGGTCGGGCTATCGGTCTCCGTGGACACAGTGGTAACCTCTGACGATTCTGACAGAGTTGGGATACTCTGAAATACACGTGAACATTTCTAACAGCGAGGATAAAGGATTCTGCGATTTAGCCTAGCTAGTAGAGCTAGCTGCTTTCGCCTACTATTATCTGCAAGTACCTCTCATTACAGAGAAAAGCAGGGCTCGGACGTAAGTAGGGTACACGTCTACATCTGGTTCGCTGGGTGAAGAGCACGGTGGGAAAACTACCGCAGGTAGCCCCACCATGCCTCATGCCTCTCTTACTACGACCAGCGGCTTGCATCCTCTGCGTTGTTGCAATGTGCACACAGCCAAGCCAAATGCTGCATGGCAACTGCAAAACGTTTCCAAGGTGGGCTAAATTTAGAGTGAAGGCAAGACGTGACGCGCTTTATTTGGAAATCGAGTGGGTGTCTGGTCCGTAACAAAAATGCCTCTTCCTCCGGAGCTACAGGCCCGTCTTTCAAAGAGAGGACTCCTGAAACAGAAAGGTGTGTACAGATAGTATCATCCGATCTTATATAGACTATGTGTGTAAATGTCAGGAGAGGATGGAGAGAGTGTGGGAGGAAAAGAGGAATCTGCTACTGTTTCAAAGCCTGCAGTTGACTATGTGAGTGTGCATGCTGTATAAACTGCTGTGTCAGAGTGTTTGCCTTGTATTTTACAACTGAGCTGCTGGTTCTTTCATATGACTTGAAACTATCTCTGATGTAATGAGTGAATAGTTCCAGGTTATATGAAGAGCGAACTGAACTGCTGCCTCTCCTCATAGCTCAGTAGCGTCATTGCAAGCAACCCCTCCCACAAGAGAAGGGACGTGTGGTAAATATTGCACAATTCCTTGTCTCTAACACCTTTTTAACTCCCAACTTTGATATGGTGCCTAGACTGCACAGTGTCATGGGTTTCGAGTACAATCACTTCTCTAGTACAGTTCGTTTGGCAGAATTAGGATAGTTGTAGAAGTTTCTCTAGTTTCAGAGTTGAACGCAGTCTTGCACACAACATTACTTCATGGTCTCTATGAGGACAGGACTTCGCCGCTTGTAGGATCAAATACATACTGTACATACTGTATCATGGTGTATGCAGGGAAGCTAAGCTCTGCTGTGAGACGATAAATGACTATGCATATCTGTGTGGGTGCTCACAGTAATGGTTCAGTTCACTGTGAGCAAAACTTTATCTGGAGTCTATATTGCCCAGGACATCACATAGGAGTGCTGGAGGCACAAAAATGTATGGCAGTCTAAAAGAGGGGCTTTTTTCGGCACTGCGAACAGTCGCTGCTATTTTAACCAAATTCCAGTAAAACTGAACCTTCGCTGTTTGTTCCCGAGAAAAGTCAGAGTTTCAGGCGCTGTTTGACCACCAGATAGTACAAGTCCGATACTATGAGGTCATAACAAGTATTTCAATTGGGGCAAAAACAGTAGTTTACAGTAGTTACTTCTTATGTAAAATTTCATAACATAATCTTTTGCAGGCTGAGACTCTTGTATTACCTCCAAATTGGAAAAAAGTACTAGATGAGAAAATGTAAGATGAAGAAGCTGCATGTACATATTGTACTTGTTACACATGGTTTCACTGATATCTATATATGCCACATTCATTGCAGGGGTCATCCATACTTTTGGAACACCAAGACTGGTGAGGTGTCATGGCACCTTCCACCTGGAAGTGAGTAATAAAACCACTATTTTGTCTGGGTTTTGTGAAAACTTAAACAGAATGAAGTAAACTTTGGTAAACCTGGTGAAATGTTACAAGATTGCTTAGCTACACATTTTATATTATTACATATTAGCGAAAACTGTTTCTGAGAAGAAGCCACAGGCAAAGCCCCAACCAGAGCCAGAGCCAAAGCCAAAGCCAAAGCCACCACCCAAAGTCCAGGTAAAGGTTCATGTTAAGGTTTCTTGGTGTAGTTTGCAACTTAGAGCCAGCCAATGCAAGTGACGAATATTCTGTTTACGTAATAAATGAAAGGGAATTGAGATTTCGTGCCGACCAGTTGTTGGCTAGTTGGCAGATCTCGCACCTGGCAAAGGACGACAATATAACTTTCCTGAGTAGGAAAGTAGGAGGTTGTAAGTCTTTCTGGTTTGCGTTCTGCATGCATGTGTCATCAACATCAATGAGGTAAAAGCAAAGGGCCACAACACAACTACACCCACGTAAATTCTTTTTTCCAAAGTACCCAGGTGGCATTCAAACCCACAACACTGCTCTCCCAGCTGAGCTACATAACAGTGGGTAGGGGTTCAGTAACACAAGTCAAAGGCAAACCTCAAACAAATTGAGTATATTATGCGTGTTAACGAGGTAACCAGGTAGAAAGGCAAGGCAAGGCAAACAAGTCAACTGCACCCAGGACAGCTCTTTGTTTTGAAGGGAAAAAGAAGAGCGGCCCTGGGTGGGATTCGAACCCACGACACTGCTTTACTGTGTAATAGGTGAGCGCTCTACCAACGGAGCTACCAGGGTAACTCAGCTGGCAGGGGTTCGAATCTACAACAACATATAACACAAGGCAAAGGCAAACCTCAAAACTGTGCTTGGCATGTACACATTATCAACCGGAAGATTAGCAGGGGCATGTTGATTGCAACCCCATGTACTGCACTTCGTATCTTAGCCAAATTTTATGAAGTGGTGTGCGAAAGGAAAGTCTTTGTAGTGGAAGAAAAGGGCACCGATGAGTTGCTCCTGGTGCCATTCGGGACTCTGGTTCTCTGTCAGTTTCAGCGCTACGCAAGTGGAGAAATGGGTGCAATACGCATAAAACCCTCGGCGAAATGCGCATGCGCGATACTGCAAATTGATGGGCTGGGCCGGCTATTTGTCGTTTACTCGTGGTCTTCGGTCCGCTAGTAGCCCGCGGAGAGTCAGACACGGGCTAGTTACAGTAGTAGATAGCATGCGGGAGTCGATACATGCCATTCGTTGTGACTTCCTGAGCCCCCAAGGTACACAGAGCGAGCGGATCAGGTCGCGGTAAGCCAGTGCGATTAGGCTTTTTCGCTTGTTTTCATGGCATATCTCTCGAACGAAGTCTTTTCAGGAAAATCGCCTAATACATTTTCAGGCTCCCGTAGTTCTGAATCCGCTGGTATCGCTAATGGGCCGCCTCGTAGCCTGTAGTGCCAGAATAAGCGTCGACACACACACACACAGACAGACAGGCAGCAGTATAATATAATTATATACAGACAGGACGACTACTGTAACCCTCGCTGCGCATGCGCGCCGAGGGTTAACCCTTTGGGTGCCATAGGTGTCTCCTTAAATAAGCAGAAATTGATGTATAACATATCTAAGTTCCAATATTCCATCTGGACCAGCATACTGAGTTTATATTTCCCAATTAGTACGTATAGGTAGAATATGTAGTGATTACTCGGATTTTACGTTGAGACATTTCAAACTAACGGAGCGACTGATTCATCAAGGATACAGATACTCTGATTTGTGCAGGTCCTTTTATAAGTTTGCTAAAAAGCACACACAAATTATGATTAAATATAGCTACGGCATACGCAAACATGTGGAGGATGGTATATATCTGTCAGCAATGGATAGATTCCTCAGTCGCCATGTGTCGCATAGATAGAATGTATATTTATAGTCACATATTTATTTTGAATAATCTATTTTTAACATTTCTATTTCTACCATTTCTACTATTATTTATATTTTTCTTACACGTGTATATATATGCTGTGCGTTATTTAAAGTAACCGACAGAACTATTAATCTTATTTTAGTAGTTCTATTTTTCTTACACGTGTATATGCTGTGCGTTATTTAGAATAATCGCACGTTTTTATGTCTCCGTCGTGTCGTCGTGCTGCGTGAGTTTCAGAGTTTTTATATTTTTCTATGGGTTTATTGGTCCTTTGAGCCTTTCTATTTTTCTACCGGCTGTTGTTTTTATCCTGTAGCTGTCGTTTTTTGTACATGATTTCTATCTATAACTATGTGTAAGGGAGGTTGGGACACTGGGTGTGTAGGGAGAGTTGGGCCCATAAAAGACTCTTTAACCTACCGCCCCGGTTCTCAAGGCTGGGCACCTAGGGTCCTGCCTCTTTCTTTCTGTATATATGTTATTGTCTGTGTTTTTGTAGCTTGGGTATGTTATTGTCTGTGTTTTGTGTGCTTGGGTGGGGGAGGTTCTTTCTTTTCCTCTGAGCTAGTATACTATAAACATGTTTTTTCATATTAGCGCCTAGTATTATAGCCATAATATATAAATTCTTATGCACTTATGGAGGCTCTGTGCATATATGTGAGCGCATCAAGTAAGAATAGGGGCTATGACACACAGGGACAAGTTTGAGTTTGTGAATGAATTATGTAGTACAACGAATAGAGAATTTGCATGCGCGGTATGGCGACGATTAGCCACACCAGAACCGCGCGAGAGCATTGCGCGCAACGCACATTGCGCTCTACGTATGGGATTTCCCCTCCGCCCGTGTAAGGCTCGTGCTATACTCGCGTATACAGGGAAACATAATGTGGCGTACACCCTATTTTTACTTGATGCGTTCACATATGTAAATTGCGCCAAAAGGGTTAATAATGTATGTGCCCTAATATTCCGAAAATTTATGCTAGCATACTAGAATGAATTTTGGTGATGGAGCGAGAGGTTCAATTTTTCACACATGTTTGGCGCTTATTTAAAAACATTATGGTACGTGCAGTGCAGCAGTGCGAGTCACAACATACAAATAATCCCACATTAAGACGATTTGGTGGACTCGCTTCACTTGCCAATTAATATGTCAAAGCCTTATACTGCACACTTCTCAATTTGCAATCAGCCACTCAAATATTATCATTTTGGAAATTATGGTCGTCCTTGCCTGCGTGTATTATGCAGATGCCGACAGTGACAGTGAGTAAATCCGAGGCTGTTGAGAAACAGTTCAAGGAGAAGACCAACAGACCAGCTCCCTATAAGATCAGCAACAAGCCAAGTGGGTGCTTTTGTTGTTTACACCGTCATCGGACTGTCTTAGCTTTTATTTAGGGAGGTACAAGCCACCTTCTGATGATATTGATCCTATGGACCCTGCCGCCTACTCTAATATTGCCAGGTACAGTGGCTATTGTACAAGGTGTCACCCAGTGATTATGCCCTAATGAAGAACACTTAAGTGTAACACTACCTGAAGACCGACAGGTGGAAATGATACTTTTAAGACTAGCTGGACTAGCCACATAATAGAGATTAAAATAGAACCATTGTTACCATTGTCACCTGACACCAGGGGCACATGGTCGAGTGGTCTGGAGAGAGGCATTGAAGCCAAGACGGGAGTGGACAGTACAGCCAGTGGACCTCTGTTCCAGATGAGGCCCTACCCCAGTCCCGGGGCCATCCTCAAGATGAACCAAGAGAAGTCGGCCTCCTAGCAACAACTCCTCCCAGCTATACCCTGCACTTCTGTTCATGATCAAACCTGCCCAAGAAACACTGCATGCGTATCACATTTTTGTGAACCACTAGTATAAGTCCTACTGTATGTATCTTGTCAACATGTTTCCCTGCTTTGCCTTCTCTGTGTATATATAGACCTCATACGTGTGAATCACAGCGCTTTGTGTTTGAGGACCATAATTCAATATTGCAGCTGATTAGATATGGAAATGTAATTGAAGCTACATATAGCTAATGTCAACGAAACAGTACAGGCCAAGGCACCATCTAACCAATGTTACTTATCCCTCCCCCCTGTTTGCTCTTCACAGTGTGAGCAGATGCCCACCTTCTCTGTTCGCTTTTATTTGCTATCTTGACATTCATTACACTGTAAAATTTTGCGTTTTGGACACACATACATAACATACTCAATCAATGTCATCTCTATGAACTTGGTTTGAGTCATCACAGTTGAGTCCAGTCATGTTCGAGCTGATGTCCCAGAGTCTCTGAGCTGCCTGAGAGTCAAGAGAGGCAGGCAGAGAGACTGGAGTCTCTCGACAGTCTCGGAAGTGTCTCCCACTCACTCCCTCCACCTCCTCCGACACAGCACAGAACACAGCCGTGGCTGCTCCCTGACTGGGGGTCCGCAGGAACAGGTATATCAAGGGAAACAGCAGTGTCTGACAGGAAAATAAGACACCATGCATGGAAATAATACTACTAGAGCGAGTGTAAAATTCAGCTGTCATTACGTTATGGTGACAGTGTCTGACATAAGATAAATAAATAATTTAGACGACTATGTAGGCTTACCAATAGGGCCCAGTGCAATAATGCAATTACGTTTCCATTTCCCCCTTACTACCTATATTGGTATACCTTCTCCAGCGCATGCATTGTGCAAACACAACATCTCAGATTCAGGCTTATGCTTGTCTGGCATGAAAAAATATGCTCACATGGACATATCCAAAAAAGTAATCTCGATAGCGTCCGTACTCATTCCTGACGAGGCCAGGAGAGACAGAGTTGACGGTGACAGTGGTGCCCTGCAGGAGTCTAGAGAGGTGTCTGGTGGCCAGTATGACACAAGTCTTGCTCTGGGCCACCGCCCTTGACTCTGTTGTAGCTCCTCTCACTGTTGATGTCCTCAAAGTCAATGTTGGCCAGCCACGACGAGACGTCTGCTGCCACATTCACCACACGAGCACTAGGAGTCTCCTTCAGTCTGTCTAGCAGCAGTCGAGTCAGCAGGAAGTGGCCCAGGTAGTTGACGGCCAGGTGCATCTCCACTCCATCCTGGCTACGACGCAGCGGCATCATGAACACACCAGCATTGTTCACCAGCAGGTCAATGCGGCTCTCTTCCCGCAGCACACTGGCTGCAAACTCTCTGATAGAGGAGAAGGACGCCAGATCCAGAGGCCGGAACAAAACCTGGTCATTCCCTGTTAGCCTAAGACGAGAACAAAAGTAGTGAACGAAAGACGTCCACCACTAGCTTGTACCTGCTGATCTCCTGGCGCGCAGCTTCTCCTGCCTCAGTGTTTCGACACGCCAGAATGACCCGAGCCCCTCGTTTAGCCAATTCTAAGGCCGTTTCTTTTCCCATTCCAGTGTTGGAACCTGTGACGATGGCAGTTTTACTCTCCCATGACCGTCTTTACTGGGTTCACCCGCAGCTAGCTAGCTACGTGCCACACCTACTCGAGCACGCACGCACGCACACCCAGAGAGAGCCAGTGTCATGTCAGTATAATTAGAAAGTGTAAGCGCATACGGTATTAGCGAGCGCATCTAAACGCGCAGGAAAATCGTTGCCGCTGTAGCTGCTCGCTGTTTCTGCACTGTTATACCGAGTTGTGTCTGCACGACTGCACTCCTTCTCGTCGAGACTCAGCGGTTGCGCGGATCGCGGCCGCGCGTCCAGCCCTTCAACGAACCGTCTTCAACAATACGCTGTCATCGCATTCTCAATTCCCCCTCAATAGAGCACAGAACTTCAAAACAACACACTGGCTGTGTTTCGACACTCCTATATAATAGCAATATCCCGGGTGCGGATAGAATATCCTAGGAAATTTCTTCCGGGGGGGGGTATATAGAATATCCTATATATCCGGCAGGATAAAAAAAATTGGGGGGGATGAAATGTACCGCTACACCGGTGTACACGAGATTTGGAAATCTGCGTTTTCCCGGTCTTCGGCTGTTTGTGAAGTAAGACGCATCCTCCTGCGAGCTTTGTCTCGTCGTGTTAGTCGCCCCTCTTTTGCGCAGAGAAAGGCGCTCCTCGGCTGTTCCGCTCCAACCTGCAGATAAACCTTTGCTTAAGCAATTTGCTTGATTTGGAGTATTTTGCTTGCTGGCTGTCGAATCACGTAGACAACAAGTGTGTCGGTATCTTGGAACCCCGAAGATTTTAAAGAGATACAGCCTCGGTCAGGCATCGAATGCCGGAATGGACGATTGCTATTATAGTTCGCGACACACGCATGCGCAATTCCACGACACCGGATCAACCGGATCAACTGGAGTAGTGTAGTGTACGGACCCAGCGCGTAGCGACTTCCGGCGACTCGCAAATCACTCGCAATCGTGCGCGCCTGTCCAAATAAGGCCACGCCCATTCCATGCGCGTCAGCAAGCCAAGAAAAAGGGGAGCACGTTGGTCCAGGGCTAGGTTCCGACTAGCTCAATGTACTTCTCTCGCTACGCTCGGTGACTTCACAGCACAACGACACTGTTCCACGGAGGTCTAAGTCCACGGAAGTCGGGGACATTTTGGGGAACAGTAGGCTGCGTAGACAGCGGAGCCTTCGCGGTCATCCAACCCTGCATGCTTTTTCTTGGCTTGCTGACGCGGCATCGAGTGGGCGTGGCCTTACTTGGACAGGCGCACACGATTGCGAGTGATTTGCGAGTCGCCGGAAGTCGCTACGCGCTGGGTCCGTACACTCCAGTTGATCCCGGTAGACTCTATATAGAGGGGATGACGCGGGTGAAATCTCACGTGATCCGCGTACAAAACGACTAAAAACTCGGTGAGAATCACTCCCTAGGCCTTCAAAACATACTAGCAATAGTCTACGAGCCCATATCTACCTATATATACATGTTCCCAACGCACCTTCAGTCGTCCACGCGAGAATTCGCTCATACGCGATATCACGATTTTCGTGTCATAATAATTATTATTCTTCTCCTTCTTCTTTAAACCCGCTATCTCCTTACCAGTACCAGTTCAAGCACTTATTTTTTCACTAAAGGTCCAATTTCGCCGGTGGTGTGCACGGACATCAAGCGATCGTTTCTTTCTTGCCGCTAGTCACTACGGTAGATCATGGAGGCTCGTTCATGGTCGACCTTACTCAGCATCAGTGAGCCGCGCGCATGCGCCAGGCAGGGGCGATCGTATTACCAGGCGAGTTGGCAGACCTGCAGAGGAACTCTAAGCCTCCAGTACCTTCTGTAAGTGAGTGTGCACATTTCCAACTGGCTAGCTATCTTGATTTGTACGAAGAGCAACTTGCCCAGAGTCTGCGCGGTGTTACGCGAGCCTTGCGGGGCGCTCAGCCTTCATTGTTTGCCCTCCCCCCAGGTTGTAGCCTGATTACCAAAGCTCGCCCATGAAACCACAACCATGTGCAATAATCTAAGTATTATACATCCTTGTTGAAGACAATACATGAGGTGAATGTTGTATCTAGCCCCTGCTTCAGGCACTGCCAGTACTACTTTCAACAGTTACAATTTGTCTATGGTATATTATAGCCTATATATCTACAACATACCCATGAACATCACAGTGACTCTAACAATAAGTGCAGTGTTGTCATAAGCTGTTAAAAATAGTGGAAACAAGTGGAAAAATCATTTCAAAGGGGGATATAGGGATGGCTTGAAGCACCAAAAAGGAAGAAACAAGGGGTCATTACACAGCAAAGTTGCACAAAGCTACATGACACCATCCCTATATCTTTGTTGTTATACGGCTCTGCAATAGAGGTTGTCTTGCATGTATATTTAGCTCAAGGGAAAGTTTGCATAAAACAAAGATATAGGGATGGTGTCATGTAGCTTTGTGCAACTTTGCTGTGTAATGACCCCTTGTTTCTTCCTTTTTGGTGCTTCAAGCCATCCCTATATCCCCCTTTCATTTTGAAGAAATAATTTTTCCACTTGTTGTAATACCATGCATTCGCCTACTAGTATTCACTGGCAGGGGGTGCGGCAAACTGTCCGTTACGCGAGGTTTTTTTCCACGTTGAGAAGCATTTGGGATTGGTTTTACTGTCCGTTATATGGAGTAGCGGGGTGTCCGTTCTTGAGGGGTTATGAACGTACGGAACTCTACGATAAAACAATCGGAACCTGCGAGTTTGTCCGTTATAACGCGGTGTCCGTTGTAGAAGGGTGTCCGTAAGCTGGGTTCTACTGTACTACATTTCATGCCTGCCAACACCCTTTCTTAAAACCCACCTTTTAAAAAGTTAATCACCATTACTTCATTAAACTATGTGCAATTATTCAAGCGAGTTTTCACACCCTGGCATGGCAGATTGTGTGATGCATGTGCGATAGGGCAGAAATTATCACGATTCTATTTGCACGCAATGTTTAACGTGTTAGTGGTTAAAGTCTTCTTTTACAGTAGTGCTATTGCACTTTCTAATTCTGTCAATTCTGTTTGTTGAGCATGAATATATTATACTAAATAATAAATCCTCAGAAAATAAACTACCAGCACAAGGGGTAACTGAAGGCAAAATCCGCAACTTTGCTACAACACAGCAGAGATGGGAGGAGGCAGTTGGGCTCTTCATCACCTCTCCATTCACTCATAGACACGAGTTCGGGAAAGAGATCCCCTGGGTTTCTCTCTTTACACACCATCCTGAAAAATAGAGGTAGCTTTCCCTCTATAGCCAAAAAGAAAAGAAAACCACTCAATTCTGGTGACCCTCTTTTATTGGAAATAGGCAAGTCTTGCTGGTCTTCCTGGTACCTTGCTGGTCAAACACCTTTGTTGGTCACAACTGGCTCTTTACACTGCTACCCACTGTTTGGTTGTTTGGTTGCCTGGTATTGGGTGCCATAGACAACTTGGTCTTGTCATCACTGATGACTTATCCATCAGTCTGGTGTCACACCTTTTAAAAAATGGCTGTAGGGGCAGATACACTGCAACGTCCCATGGTGCTCTGCGAACAATAAGTTTTTGCATCATGAAGCAGCCCCACCCACTCTCCTGTGTGTATATACTATATAGTTCATGAAAACTAAATAATGGCTAATTGTAAATGATAACTACAGTCTGAAATAGTATTGATTTTAGTTTTTAAGAGGTTGAAGTCTTTGGAGAAGCTATTTCAGGGGCTTTCTCCTTTCCACACACCCTCGAGCACATTCGAGGAGAGATGAAAAAGACTAAGAAAACTGCTGGGTAGAGAGCAAAAGCAATGTAGACAAAGGTCTCAACAATGCTGTCTTGCTCGAGTTCTTCAAACCCAGCCCTGGAGCACACTGCCTCTGGGTCTCCCAGACTTTCGCAGAGTAAGTGGTCCCCAATAATTCGTGAGTGGTCAGCAGTGTGACTCAGAGTTATGTTTGCGGAAAGAGTCGAGTGAAGGGCCACACACATGTAGGCAACAAGAAGAATGATGAGTTTCACTTCCGTAGCTTTGAACTTGGCATCCCTCGGAAACGGTTTTCTCTGCAGACGATATCTCTATAAATATGGAAACAAAATCTGCTTCATAAAATTGCCTTACATAAGTGTGCTACATCTTACCACATTTCCAACATGCCACACAGTAATAACGAGGAACGAAATGGCACAGATGGCTAAAAGAACAAATGGAACTGAGAAGATGTAGGGAAAAACTTCTAGGTCCAGTGGAAGGCACTTTCTTGGAACAAAAATGCTGGGTGCAAACCCTTTGCTGAGGGACATGCCCACAATTGGAATAGAGTTAGGCTGAGTATCACGGACACCAAGTGGAAGGTCTTGACCTTGCCAGAAGTATTGAATGAATGAAAGTGGACAGGAAAAATGATAATCCAGAAATAGACTGCTGTTTGGAAGAGCCAGAAGAAGGTCACCACCAGAGAAGCATACAGGAAAAATCCCCCTACGGTGGCATGATTTGTACACAGAGGTCACAATGAGGCCAGCCTACCTTGAAATCTGCAAAATGTGCTGCTGAACTCTCCACCATTTAAATTCTCAATAAGGTCATCTGACTTGCAGAATAGGGAGTTGATAGGTAGAAAGCTGACCAAGTCTAGCAGTGATATCACTAGGACAGTTACCGACGAGTATATTATCAGCACGGATGGAAAAGTAAAACTAAAAAAGAACATTTTGTTATCATCAAGTAGGATTTCCTTACATTTGCTTGTGCCGGATAAATGATAGGACTAGTATAGAGGAGAAAACTATAAAACTGCTACCACTTCCAAGAAGCAACAAGATCAGATTGGCAGTATAATATATATATACACCAGGAGAGAGGGACTCCACTCTCCGCACTTTGGCTTGCACAACAGTGAACTCTCGTCATAGTAGAAGCCATCACGGCACGACACGTTAAAATCTGTCACTCTGGTTTCATTTCCTGTTAGAAAGCAATAAGCACAGACATAACAGGACATGCAAACACTAACTGCATGGTGGTGGCTGTCCAAGCCTAAAATTGTTGCAGTTGAGAATGATTGTAGACAACTCAGGGACCGTGGAAGCAATTTGGATGAGGTCGAAACAGGTTTGAGTTTGCAGAGAGCTACAAAGCTCAAACGATGGTAGTCTGTTCTGTCCATCACACATACCAAAAAGCAAAAGGCACCAAAACTCTCTGAATTCAGTCTCACAGTCATGACTGGGCCACACCTCCTGGAGATTGGTAAACAGAGTGGCGGCCTGGGACTCCACCAGCTCCTGGTGTGTGGAGGAGGGGATGAGGACTTCTGTAGAGTTGATGGAGGTGTTCTCTCTGTCGGGCAGGCAGCTCTGCCACTTACAGAGTTCTTGCAGACACACTGAGCCAGTGTAAGGAGCAGGAGAACAAGACAGTGGATCTGTGGCCTGTGTGTGTGAAGATATACAATTAAGCACTCCAGCCACTACCGTGGAACCTTTTAACATTGGGATTCAGTGGGGGCAACGTTTGGAGGTTGTCCCTTCCTTGGGGGCTCTGCCATAAGCATGACAAACCACAGCGGTCGTGATATCAACCAAGGATATGCTGCTTGTGGGTCTACATGAATCTTGCATACACCAACTTTGTAATGCCAATATTGGCTGCTATAGGGGGAAAAAACAGTTCGCTTCCTAAAGCTTGCCATAACTGCTGGCTCATAAATAACTAGTTGGGGTCAGAGGCATTTATAATAATAATAGTCCTTCTGAAGGTAAGGTTATTGAGGAGCTATAGGTTTACATTGTCCTTATCTTCGAGGTGGAAATGCTGATAGACCTCTCTTCCCATTGCCTATATTGACTGTGTTATTGTTAGAAGTAGAGTGGGTCTGCCTGTTAAAAAACAATTTCTAAAGGATATTTACAGCATTGACTGGCTTTTGTGTCCTAACATTAATTGTGTCAATACTATACATAAATTCTACTATTAGACAGCCAAGCCACCTGTTGCAAACCTAAACACATTATCTGGTAATTCTCTCAAAGGAGGGCTTATTTATTACATTTACATAAGTGGCATAAGTGTAAGACAACTCTTTTCTCTAACTTTTGCCATGAGGCTTTAGTAAGTCACACACTCATGCTCAGTGCTAATCCTGGAAAGACCTAGATATAAAATAAAAAAGGTTCATAGTGGCAGTTACCTTGAAAACTTACCGTCAGAGAGTACTCATCACGGAGGAAATATGGTAGAAGAACCAAAGGGATTGCAAGAGAAACAGAGACGATGATTCCTACAGGCAAGCAGTAGGACCAGTGGGGGCAGTGAGAGAGCCTGCGAGTTTTCTCAACAGCGACAGCCTCCGAACTCATCCTTTAGTTTTGCAGCAAACCTTCCACGCGGGATACGCATGCGCACATGCATTGTCACTGACTCGACTCCACTCCAGCCACTCCCCCTTCCTACGTATGTGACAGAGGGAGAACAATGTTTCTCTCATGGCTTGCGCTTCTTTTTTCAATCCTGGGCGCGGTTACTGCCGTGGATATTTGTAGCGACTATCCCAAACCTGATCCGTGCCTTCCTGGAGGAGAATGGGACCCGGTTCTGAACAGGTATATACAAGTAGATCGTGTAGCTTCGTACGCGATTGACATGCCGTCGCTCGTGTAGCTGTTCCGGTTATGATGGGCGAAGTTGCTTCCAGTGCTACTCTGGACAGTTCTGCAAAACTCGTGAAGACACGCTTACCTGTCAGCTTTCCAGTACCGGGGGAAACCCTCTGGTGATTGCCCAGTTCTGGCTCCTGAACTCAACCCAGGAACCATGCTCAACTACCCTGGCTCACTATAGGTTATTTTTACCTTCAATCATTTTTATATTCCTGATGTAGTGCTGTCAACTGCCTTTCTGCAGACCTGCCTACCAGAACCCCCCAGGTGTACCACTCCCTCCACTTGAAGATGCAATCAGAAAACTACATGCAATTGTACGTGTGGTCTATCTAGGTTGCCTGGTTGCTCTTGCCCCTCACTACACACTCAATTTTTTAGTCCCAAAATGTAGACACAAGCGGGAGGCAACTGATAGGAGGATTTGGAGCAACCATGATGCTTCATGCAACTGTGGCAGCCCTGTCAGAAATGATCCTCAAGGTATGTCTCTGTTAGGCCAGTAATGTTATTGTTAAATTTCTCTCTCCCCCCAAAGAACTGTACGTCCAACTGCCCTCCAGTAGTTGATGTAATGGCCCAGCCCCCATACTACGACAACTATCCATACATAGTGGGTATAGTACAGACTGCGAGGTGGAACACATCAGCGGATCCTACATCTCCATACACCATTGAGATACTCACGTAATGTTTGTGTTTTAATAGCATGGTCTTCACAGCCATTTGCCTGTACTCAGTGTAACACAGGAGAATTTCTTTCCCTCCTTTCCCTCTCCTTTATATATACATCACCCGTTGCCTGGTGTGTAATCAGGAGCATTGCGATAATGTATTCCACCAGTTAGTGTCTATTTCCCTCTAGCTATCCAAACAACCCCAATGGTGTACGAAGAAATCCACTTGTCAAGAATCCAAATCATGTCATCCGTGACATGGTGTACTACTGGCCAATGTACACGGACATAGACACCACCATATCGGAACCCATCATGATATTCTCCAGGTATGCCCAGCATTGTGCTGTATATATATATACTAGTAGGCGAATGCATGGCATTTTTGGCGAGCGGAAGCGCGCTTACAATTGGGGTCTAATCGTATGAGTCACTCTTGTGTGTGCACAAAACAGTGAGATACATTGCACAGGACCAAGTAGGCCGAAACGACCCGAGCGCAGTAGACAATTCGAATCGAGTCAAAAACAGTCAGACGACAGCGCGGAATCAGGCATAATCCGGCAATCTGATTGGTCTTGCAGGAATAGGGAACAAGTGGCAATGTAGAGAAATCTCTCGCTGGACTGTGCAGCAATACTCGGTAGCTTCGGAGGTGTTGCGTTTCCCCTGATTCCGCTCGATTCAGGCAGCATTATGAAAATGTTGAAATCCCTTTCGGATAAAAAGAAGCGCGTAATGCTGGAGCATGCGCAGTTGGACGACGTACGGTGACATATATATATATATATATATATATAGAGAAAAATCGCGCCGTTCGGACCACTAGGTTAGCTCGCTTCCGCTCGCCAATAACACAATGAATATTGTATGTACTTGTTTGCTGAAATCCTGCTTCCCCAATCCCATATTCATGCTCCATTGTTGTTATTAACCTATAGCTACTACACATACACAGTATGTACAGACATAATTATGCCTCGCTAAGTAAATGCAATGGAAGGCTGCCTTGCTGTTAGAGCCTGGTGGTCAACCTCTCTACAACATTTGGACAAGTAATGGAATGTATTTAGAGCCACAACAGGAAGGAACAAGGGTTTGTGAAAAAGCACAAAGCTACATGATACCATCCCTACGTCTTTGTCATATAGACTCATAGTAAAATGCTATCTATAGGGTGGTATCACGTTGCTTTGTGTGTGTTTGCTTTTTAACAAACTCTTGTTCCTTCCTTGTTGGTGCTTTTTGAGCAATCCCTTCATTTGAAGATATCTATATAATTATTATATACAGCTCAAAGCATGAAGGTCTTGCAGGCACCAGGTTTGGCTGGGGGCTCTATCAAGACTCTGTCCTTGCTCAGAATGTGGCACAAGTGGTGAACGTACTTACACTGGGACTATCAGTAGATGTTCAGCTACGAGTTCTTGCAAGTATACAAGCTATCATAGGTAATAATATTGGGTGATCCCTACAGAAGCACCTACTACTTGTAGAGTGTGGATGTCCTTTTTATGTTAATGGTAGTGTGGCAGTAGTAAGGAGAAAATAAGAAAAGGAGGTAATTATTGTGTATCACTGGGCCCTATTGTTTGGTGCCATCTTCTAAATTTCCTAATTATACTGCCAGAGTCACATTAAAGCGTGTGGTTCAAGCCAGGTAGTGTGCAGTGCTCCTAGCTAAAGTTGGCTCTCTGCAGTGCTTGAATTAAAGGCTTAAATTTTAGACATTTGCAGCTAGGTTATCCCAGCATCTAACCTTACATTGAACTGCAGGGTGTCGCTAGTGTAAGAGGCGAGTTAAAGTGTCTGACTGACACCAGTGTTTGTGTAGTTTCACCCATTGTTCTTGGTACATGGCAGCCACCTGGATAAGCACTGTAGCTCAGTAATGGCCTCTGTCAATACTGTAAAAAATGTGCCAGTTGCTCACAAGGGTTGGCATGCTACCACTGTTGCGTTCTGCTACATAGTCTCCCTTTGCTTTTGTATATACTAGTCCGGTCAAATGAGGATGTGCAATGCTGCATCACCTACCATAGAAGGAGTTCAAGTGTAGTATCACAACCTTTCATCAGGTCACTGACTTTATACTGTGTCTTCAGGAGAAAAGCTAAATCCGTCTGGCCTGCTACCGTTCCATGAGGCCGGCCGGACTGTAATGGAGTCACGATTTGCCAAGCTGTCAGAGGTCTTGACATGTGCCACTCTCACCAACTACCCTTCTTCCTCACACGGTGCATATGCCTGGGTCCAGTGCAAGGAAGGGTTGAAGTGTCTGGACGTCTTTGCCAGTGTCAACATTATTGCCGAGGACGGTGCTCTGTTTGGAAGCACTTCACAATGTAATAAGTCTGCATGATTAGACAAAATCTAGAATCCCTCACAATGTTGTGCATTAGGACTTGGAGACATCTCTTAGTCTCAGCATGACATGCTTTACCGATTGTGTCATTTTTGCTGCAAAATAATGTAGCCATTAATGTTTATTGACAAGGGGTTATTATTCTTCGTATTCACTATTCTTTCTTTGTAGATGTACGGTTGAGTATGCTATTGCCTGATGCAGAGTTTGAGATACTCATCGACAAAGTGAAAGCACTATGTAGCAGTTGAGGTTTTATTATAATTAATATCTGAAACCTTTTGATATCATTGTGGGTATAATTGTAACTCTATTGTTATTGCCATAAAAAAAATTAGTTAGTTGATGTTGTTCTACCCAGAACTAGCCTTCCTGGACAAGCATGGTCCCAGGATGTTCATGCCAAAGGACAACACTTGCCTTTTAACTCATCTCCAGAAGTCAACAACCAATATAAAAAAATGCATGTGCTTAGCTCCAAGAACTTGGATATAATTATTCTCTGGCATAAACAGGTAACAACTATAATTATTTATTATATAGACAGTCAAAACTAGCTGTTTGTATGAGAACCTCCGAAAAGGGGATACAAAAAGGCATCATCAGGTTAAGCTATTCTGAGGAAATTGACATTCAGGTTTACGATGTTTATTGAGTGTTTGGTATAGCAAACATTATTCGTATTACAACAGTAGTGACACGGCACAAGTACATGCTTTATCATCAAAGTTACTCTGACAGGTTATCACAGGGAGGGGTCACGTGTTCATTCTCAGGCTCTGGATCTGAAGTAAAACGATAAAATTATGACAAGTTACATAATAATAATTATTCATACCAGCTGATGCCTCCTGCTCTAAATCAAGATTACTGGAAAAGTTAGTTGCTCTAATTTCATCATAAATTGGCCTCGGAGCCAGTTTATTATAGAGAGCAATGAGAGCCACAAACGGTATGAGAATGGAACCAATGGTGATAGCCATTGGGAAATAAGTATGCTTACCAATCCAGTCGTAGCTTTCAACAACTATAAGATATTATTCAAACAGAAAAATATAAGTGCAAAAATGCAGTGTGTGTGTGTGTGTGTCAAAGCTGTGAGTGTATATTTACAAGTTTATTAAAGCTACTTTGTAACAGTTTACATAATTATGGTATACAATAAATGTAGGGATGGACCAATGGAAAATAGCTAGCTAGTTATAGAAAAGCTGAGCGGGACTAATGCACTGTCGTGCATCTGCATGGAATATAGCTCGACAGAAAAGGCCTATCCCACCAAGTAACCTTTCACCAACCTCATTCACATACTGACAACACGTGAGGACTACGTAGCTACAACTTCAAGCCACTAGGCCTAATTGGTTGGTAAAAGGTTAATTGTTCAATCAGAGATCCTGATTTCCACACAAGGTCTTCTGAGAGCAACTTCATCATCATACCTGTTGAAAAAAATCACCCATTACCAACTAGAAACTGCATGCAGAAAGCATAGAGACATGTCTGTGTGAAGGAAAGGGGAGGGGTACATGTCATGTAACAGTAGAGAATGAATTACATGTTCACTTACACCAAAAGGGAGTTATTGCACGACTCAAAGCACCACATGCCACCAAAAGTGTAGACGCTCTTCCCTGCAAAGGATCAATATTGCCTAGCATATTGGTAATACATCTGCCTGCAGTGTAGCTTTACCTGGTGTTTCACTGGCGTAACATCTGAATTTAGTGCATTGACAAAGATATACCCAAGTAAAGACCCCAGTGCAGTCAAAAACACACCAGCACTGAATTGGTAGAAGTTGAGAGATGTCTGCTGGCTGAGACAAGCAGGCAGACAGGTACTGCAGTAGTCTCCAGTGACACGAGACTGAGGGTTCCAGAAACACTGGTGACTGGAGGTACTTTGAGCCTCACAGTCTGCCACACTGAGCTGAAACCCAGTCAGATTGGCATTGATGTCATCAAGACCAGTAGCACTGCCAAGAGAAGCTGTATCATTCATTGTTTGAAAGGAACAAGGGTCACCATCAATAGTCTGCCAATCACCAATCAGAACACATCCGACTAGTGAAATAATCAGTGACAGTCCAACCATCAACCTGTTGTTCCGTTTTAACACTCTCTCAGCTATTACTCTGCATCAGTGAATTTAAGGAAAGAAAGAAAAGCACATAGAGACTTACACCAAGATTGCTACGCCCAGGTAAGCCACTGGCACTGCCAAGAGGAACAATGAGGTGTTGGCAACATCGAATCCAAACTGGTGACTCAGAACAGGTGTGACCAATGTAAAAATGACTGCCTGTACTTCCCCACCGACGTAACCACATGCCATGATAAATATGCGAACCTGTGCAGATAAACATGTTTGACAGCTTCAAACAGGCTGTATGCAACACGACGTACTGTAAGCTGTCTCTTCTTTTTGCTTCTCAGTTTGACAGACAGGCCAAGACCACAAGGGACGCATTTGCTCTTGTTGTTCCAGTGGCAAGTCCATGGCCGAGGCTCAGTGAAGAAGAGCACCACTACCACGGCTGAGGATAGGGCCAGGGCTGCCAGAAACCACCCTGGCCATCGATATGGATTCACAGATGGTATTCTTGAAATAGCAGCATAAATTCCTAAGAAATTAAGGAACGTTTTTCATCATCATCTTCTTCAGATTGAACTCGCGTAACTCAAAAAACGAAACAACATATAGCTAGTCGTCACATTTTGTAATAATGCGGATATCCATCACTAGATTTGCATGGTCATACCTATTTGTTTGTAAAAACAACATTGTTTACTGTAAACAACAACAAATATCCCAAGGCAACATGGTGTCAGTGTAAGGTAAGAGCTATGTGAACGAAACATAATGTATTCAATCACCAACATCAAAATAACAACAAAACATGTTTGTAAAAACAACAAATAGCCTCAGGCACTTTTATTTAAATTGACTTCTTCGATTTAAAAAGTAAGGAATATAGGGATGCCATAAAAAGCAAGGAGAAAAGACAGGGATGAACTAGTGCATGTGCAGTAGTAGAATGGATGATAGTTAGCTACATCTTCAAACTGACATCTCTTGCTAGTATGTATGGCCTGGGGCTATTTTTGTTGTTATTTGTTGTTTTGCTTGTGAACAGAATTGTTTACAAATGCTCTTGCACGCCGGGTCATGGATTCCGATCTCTGTGCAAAGCATATTCTTCCTGGTTTTTGTCTAAGCTGAACAACAACAGTAACAATGAAAAGCACTAAAGTGCAAACCCTCGGCGAACTGCGCATGTGCGGTACCACTAATTGATGGGCTGGGCTTTTTATGCCTTTACTCGTGGTATCCCGCTAGTAGCTCGCGGAGAGTCTGGCACGGGCTAGCTACAGTAGTAAATAGCATGCGGGAGTCGATACATGCCCTTCGTTGTGCCTTCAAGACACACAGAGCGAACGGACGCGGTCGAGGTAAGCCTGTGCTAATTTACATATTGGCTTGTTCACTTGGTTTTCACGCCATAACTTTAGAACACAGTAGTTTTACGAAAATCGCCTTTTTTTAAATCAACCCAGTGTAGCACTGAACCCGATCATATCGCTATTTACCTGATTTCGTGCGCGCGGTGGCAGAAAACGTGGTAACAGACAGACAGACAGACTGACAGACACACTTACGGGACAACTACCGTAACCCTCGCTGCGCATGCGCGCCGAGGGTTAATGAAAAGCACTACAGTGCAAACCCTCGGCGAACTGCGCATGCGCGGTACTGCTAACTGATGAGGGCTGGGTCATTTCGTGGTGGTCTCCCGCTAGTAAGTATAGCTCGCGGAGAGTCTGACACAGGTTAGCTACAGTAGTAGATAGCATGCAGGAGTCGATACACGCCCTTCGTTGTGACTTCTTGTGCCTTCAACTCAAGATACACAGAGCAAGCGGGCCCGGTCGAATTAGCATATAACAGCATGCGCATTTTCCGTAGCGATAAAAATGGCCAACTACGCATTAGCCGTACAATGCTGGAAGCGCTCTAGCTTTGCAACGGAGCATTTTCAGAAAAAAACGTTCAAAATTTCTGAAATTCATTGCCCATTAAAGGTCGTATCCTTTGTGAGACAAACGAACACTCGAGAAGTGAGATGTAGAGTAACAGACACAGACCCAACTACAGTACCCTCGCTGCGCTTGCGCGCCGAGGGTATAGAAGATTTTTTTTTTTTACTTTTTCATTTCCGATCATGTGATGATCAGACTGATAGATCAAAAGTGGGATTTGATTAAAAAACTTAAAGTGAAATATACAAATCTCAAATGTAGGGGCATAATGCAGGACAACCTGTGTCGTCCCTATCTGTACTAGTCTACTGTACTTATGATAGACCTAATGTTGGTAGCTATACTCTGTATAAAACCCCTCTTATATACAAAGAAGTGGTAGCTACCAACTATACTTTATGCATACCAGTTTACATCAACTTTTTCTCACCTAATAAAAGAGCATTTGCAAATGTTGCTCCTAATATAGCCAGGAGATACAGCAGATTCTTTCTTGGTAGCTTTCCCTTTTTGTTTCTTGCTCTATCCATTGTAGTACCCATCTCCCCAATATATGTGTATACAATTGATGACAAAAGCAAAGAAGCACATCCCATCAAACAACGTGCCAAAATCACCATCCATACATCTGTAGCAGTAGCATACACAGCTCCACTGACCCCATAGAGAAACAGCATTATTAGAATCAACACAGTGTAAGGGACAACGTCCATCATGGCCGTCGCCAGTGGAAGGGTGCCAGCTTCAAAAAGAGAGAATGATATCAATGTCCAAGCATAATCTCTGTCAGTTCCACCCAATCCAGGCCAAAAATGATCAGAGTTCTGAAGAAATATGTTAATGGATTACTCGAAGAGCAGCCATAGTATAAACAGTTCAGACACCCATAGCAACGGTACCAGTATTCATGTACGCATATTAACACTGTTCTGTAACTTACCTCACACCCTAGCAACATCCAGATGCAATCTGAGACTGGAAACCTTCCTTAGCACACAATTATTGTAATGCAAATCACTCAAATGCAAACCCTCAGCGCAGAACCAGCGCTAATACTGGAGTGGAATTAGTGTAGCAAAATACCTTGTGCAGGCACAATAAGAATTAGTGCCACACCTGAAATCAATATGATTAGCTAGCTGTAAAAAACTGGCGTGGAATTAACAGCAAGTAGTTGGATCATTGGTAGAGACAACTGGACCAACTATGCAATTTGCAAATTTCTCTACTGATGCCTGTGTGTGCAAGCACATGCGCGTATCAATTCTATGAAGAAATGCATGCATGTAGGAAATACGTCAGTCATAGAATCAAAATGGCGAACCTTGCCATGGTATACTATTCAGGTAAGGGATTTTTTAGAAAATTGCTTTTGATTTCCTTATAAGGTAAGTTTCCCATGTCCTAGCGCGAGAGGAACAGACGCAGACAGACAGACACACAGACAGACATACAAACCAAGTACAGTAACCATGTGTGGTGAGCACCTAGGCCACTGCAATAACCTCAGAACACATTGTAAATACAGAGAAAGAGGAACCAAGACACACACACACAGACCAACCTCTTTGCACCACGTGTGTGCCAAGGTTAATGACCCTTTCGAAGTAACTGGAAATGCTCAAACCTATCCACTATCATTATGCTGGACACTCCCACAAAACATGAGTAATACTTTACAAATTACCACGAGTGCCACTTTAAACCTAGACCCGGCATCACTTGTCCCGTGCAAACGCTTCTGAACCCTATCGCCTTGTAATAGAGAACTTTCCCAACATCATAGTGTCCCCTAAGTTTAAGGAACAATCATACTTCGTCACCAATAGATCATACTCCAGTTCATGCTCCTTACCCCCATATGTGCTTCATGAACGCAAGATCATGCAACCCTTAGGAAATTATTAGCAACTGTTGAGTAATAAAACACTCTGCAATGTCAAGCTTATCTAGACAATTATCTCATCTTATTAACAGGCTAAGGCCACTTATGGACGAGAGGGATTAGCCTCGTCACCTGGCCTCCAAAGAAAAGGAGGGTAGGCTCATACACACTGCAATGTGTCTTAATGTGCATGCGCACCATTCCCAAGAATCTGGTGACCTCAGTAAATTTTCACCGTAAATTACAATGCTTGCACGTGCTGGCTACGCTAGTGCTTCGCGTGTTAGTAGCCAGGCCTCCAAAGACGAAATGATGATTGTTCGTAGAGGTAGGGTTACTTGCACGGAAAAAGCCTTGAACTCCATGGACTGCGTCTACCACAAATTTGGTGGCAGTTTTACGGTGTGTTATAAGGTATCTGGAGATATTTGGTGCAGGTGCATAAGTACAAATGCAGTAGATATCTTCGTAGGCCTGGGGACGAGGCTAAGTAGCCATATACAAACCCTGTGCATGTGCGCTGGGGAATAAGATAAAAGGAAAGGCTACACTGTTGTACTTTTCAGAAGTGTCTATGCTAACCTCTTCATTATCATCACTTGAAGGAGACCGGTCTGTGGTGACAAACTGATAGATAGAAGGTGTAAACATTATGTGACCAACATAGCCAACAGTAAGGAGTACAAAAATGGAGATCAGCCAGTTATGGTGAGGAAAATTATCCTCGAAATCACGACGTCCTGTGAAAGGCATACATGAGGGTTATTATTGTCAGCTAGAAATGTGATACTAACAGTAGTACCCCGTCTGCAGCTCTCCCATAGGTAGGAATGAGAGTATACTGTGGCATAGCAGTGGTTTGAGGTTTGCCTTGTGTTGTGTTGTATTGTAGATTCTAACCCCTACCAGGTGAGTTGCCCTGGTAGCTCAGTTGGTAGAGCGCTCGCCTAGACTGCAGAGTGTCGTGGGTTCAAATCCCACCGCCTAGGGCAGCTCATTATTTTTCCTTGCAAAAAAGGGCTGTCCTGGGCGTAGTTGATTTGTTTGTTGTGCCTTTGCCTTTCTATCTCATAGTTTTCACATGCATTATGTACGTAAAAGGGACTGAATATATATACCAGGCGCAAGATCAGGAACAAGAGGTGCTGATTAACGGTGAAACCACCGAAAAAGGACCCTCCGAATAAAGGACCTCTATTTGGTTCTCCCAATACTAATACATTAGTGATCAACATCTCCCTCCCAATCCCAGTGTCTGGAACACTGAAGATGTGTAAGGTAACCTAGTTATGGCCAATGGATGCACCCGCTTTATTATCATTGGCATTGAAAGAGTGCTGAAGCACGTCGAAAGTCGTAAGCGCAATCACCCACTCGATTCTGCTAACTCACCTCTACAAAAGCATAACATAGTGGCAGCCGTTTATCTCTCCAAGCAGCAACTAAACCAGCTATAGGGAGTAATTTACCGGATAATAACAGGTTCTTAGCCAGGTTCTTAGCCAGGTTCTTCCGGTGTAGCGAGCGCGGTATTATTCATCCCCCGAATTTTTTCCGGCCGGATAGGATATTGATATTCTATCTCCCCCGGATAAATCTATCCGCACCCGGGATAATTTGTACCCCGTGCTGTGCGTTATTTAGAAGTGTCGAAACGCAGCCAGTGTGTTGTTTTGAAGTTCTGTGCTCTATTGAGGGCGTTACAGAATGCGATGACAGCGTTGTTTGGAGTTACAGTATTATTAAAGTTAGACGGCTCGTTGAAGAGCTGGACGCGGCCGCGATCTGCGCAACAGCTGAGTGTCTCGAAGAGAATATGCGCACGCGACGACAACTGGGCGTGCGTGGAGTGTACGGACGCGTAACGACTTCCGGCGACGTCCAAAATCACTCCAAGCGATGCCTAATTAAGGCCACGCCCACCCTTTCAAGCCTAAGCGGAACCTCGTGCGTATGCTGACGACCCGACCGGCCGATTACTCCACAGGACGACTCGGTCATCGTACTACCTGCATTCTTTAGGCCAGTGCTACTCGCACCTTACTTTGCTTGCCGCCAGGATGAAACATGATCGGAGCCGGACAGTCTCAAGTTGATCCCTGCGCTCTGCGCTGTGACTGATGCGAGTCGCGCGGCCGTAGCGCCGCACCCTATCTGTGTTCACGGCAAGGAACACTATTCCGCAGCGACCGTTTCGTTACACCTGCCTGTGTCCCCACACGATAAGGCTACGGTCGCGGGAAGCACCAGAGCGGGCTCGTACGGAAGGCGAAAGAGTGCCAATATCAAGGTGGGGGTCTATTTCTTCAGAGGGTGGTTTCCGGGGAGAGGCCGGGTGCTCCCTCCGAGGAAAAAGAGACGGTGTTCCCTCAGATTTGGGTGCACTCGACTTGATGACGTGGGGTCAAAGGTCACGTAGCGAGTGCGAGCAACGCCACCGTGCCTGTGTGACGTGTAACGACTGCATTCGGACACATGAAAGCACGCCCGTTGCCGTCATTGAAAATTAACCACATCGACGCGGATCGGTCCTGTGCTGACAGTTGCCAGTTGCCAGTTGCCAGTTGCCAGTTGCGTGACCAAGAGCCGTCAGTGATGAGTGTTCAGTGGTTCGCTGTCGCTACTCTCCTCTATGTGGAGTTGGCTATCACTTTATTGCTTCTGATCCCTTTCCTGAAGCCAGCGACGTGAGTTATACTGCGGGATCCAGTTTCGTGGTTTTGCCCTCCCCCATTGATCAGGTTTCAGGTTTCAGGTTCATGCCCCTGAACTCTGAAACCCTCCAGGACGTTATAATTGCGTGTGGGAGTAATAGCAGGAGTGCCCATACCACACTCACTAGATGAGAAACGGGTCTGGTGACATGGTTCTTGTTGACCAGTAGTGCAATTTTCTTTCTCTTTCCTCTTTCCTCGTCTCTTCTCTCCTGTCTCGCTTTTCCGAACGGTGGGTGTGGCTGTTGTGCAACCTAAAGATTCACATCTTGTCTTTACCTGCAGTCATGAGAAATGTAACTTAGTCGGGGAGAGCAGCAAAGCAAGCCAATGTTGTGTGTTATATACATTTAGTGTGGCCCCAGTTTGGCACGTGACCTAGGATGACGGAGAGGAGAATATATTGGAGTGGTTCCAAGTAGTTCGAGGTTGTGCAGTCTGTAGATGCCATTCATATTCATACCCTCGTACACATTCCTGGGAGCAGGAATTTAACACGCATAGCACTACCCGTCAGATATTATACAATATTCACTGTTAAGGTTAAAAACATAGGTTTCCATAGGCTTTTGCTGCTCTCTGCACATTGCTTGTGGCAAATGGAAAGACGCAGATCTTTGTAGGCCACACTGTGGGCCACACCCATCAACGAGAGAGGAGAGAAGAGAAGAAAGGAGAAGAGAGAGAAGAGAAGAGAGGAAGAAAGAGAGGAGAGAAATAAAAAGGTTTTTTACCAGTATGGTTGTAGCAATAACCTGGAGGGAGAAGACCTGGACAGTTTTTATCACGTTGTGACTGTCACACTGTGACGTACTTAATCTGCATACTTTGCTGTGTAGTGTAACCCACTTGATAAAATGGCTTTCCTGATATGTAGGTTGCACATGATATAATCGTCGCTGCCTTCTCCCTCTTTACTCCTACACGTAATTATAACGTTTGGAGCATGGAGGGAGAGGGCAAATGTTACAGGATGTTGACAACACCTGAATGAACCACCACCACCGCCTTGTGTGATACCAACTTCGTGATGCTGTATACCACAAAATCATTATACGGGAGCAACTTTTGGACACTTCCAGTACCATAGACTCAATCCCAAAGCTACAGAAGGCTATATACTCTGGAGTGTGCGGGTGTCGTGCATGTTCAGTGGAAGCAAATTGGCAGGAGGTTTAGCGACCTGTGTCTGCCAAAACACAAATTAGTGCTTTCCTGTAGGAGTATTATTCTTGTGCATCTGCCTTGCTTTCAGTCCAAGTCTTCTAAAAACAATTATGAAAACATGATGCTCTCCGACACCTGACATGTACAAATGTAGGAAGTGTGAATATCTGGCGTGAAGAATTTCACACGAATTGGCTAAAACGTATGCCTACTATGACTGGCTTGTATGCAGACCACATGTTTCTACACATTTGCCTATCTACTTCAAGTCATTGTGAAATGTTTGCCGCCTTTAGGTGGAAGAAAATTCTGAATTTGCCATTCTTTGGAGCAATCAAGCCAGCATGGACGACCATCTTCTATGCCACACTTCTCATCCTTATCGTACTTTTTGCTGGTCAGTATAATATATTATTATTGTTTATACATAATTATTATAGCTGGTAGAGGAGAACAAAGTAAAAGCATAGTCTGCCCCTAATGTGGCTTAGTTGAAGTGTAAGCTTGCATAACTTGTCCGTACTGTCGTAATATCTGTGTTGCTCATGTCAAGGGTTGAACTAATGTAGTGTGCTGTACCATTACCATTCGTTACTATACTTTGTGTTAGTACAGTATGTACACATGGTATATGGGTAGTTACCCTCGGCACAGTGTGTGAGTGGGTGTGTTGGTCCGCTACTCTATTTCTCTGTTGCCACCACCACGCTCAACAAGACAACAAAATAGCGATACAAACAAGGGATGTCCAGCATTGCCATCAAAGACATTCCATTCCATTCCCATATATGTACGCACCCCTAGCCCTGTGTATTTAAAGTATTGAACAACTAAAACAATGATTTAAAAGTGATGCAATATCTAGTTTCTCCCTGTTTTTTGTTGGCGAAACTGGACATGTATAAAGTTGTAAACCACGTGCACCTAGCATACGCACGCACGCGGGAATTCCGCAACAAAAATGGAAGGGGATATAGCTGACTTGTAGAGCACTCACTTTGCATTCGACCTTTGCTTTTGTCGTTTCGGCGTACCTCGATATTTTACTAGGCCTGGCTTACCTTGACAGTGTTGCACCTGCTTGTGTGGATGACTTAAAAATTACAACAGGGTGCGAATATCAAATCCCGCATGATATCTATCTCAGAAAGTTAGCGAGGCTTTGAAAGCGTTTTGATTGGCAGCTCTATGACTAATTAAAGTGCAAACACTCTGCACACTAGAAATCCTCATTGATGTGCATTGCAACACCCACAGTCATGCGTGGGTTGGCCTGGAGTATTTTAACTTGTGGTCTAGTGCAGCGGAACTGTACATGAAACAGGCCCATAATGCTCTGGCCCATAATGCTCTTGTAGCCATTCTGCCATTTGTTCTTATGATACCAGATTCAATACGTACAATGAGGAAGTATGGAGACGTGCCAGAAACCAAAACCATGACTCTAGATGCTAAGCTAGACTACCGACTGAAGGAGTGCCGGGGACAGAGAAACTTCTACATCTCTGGTTTCACCCTCTTCCTCATCCTGTGAGTTACAGCACACACGCACTAAGTCAGCCCTAGCATGGGTGAAACCACCTGTTGTACATTGTCTTGGCATGCTTCATTCAACACACACTTTGTGCCTATTCCACTATCTTCCAAAACCCGTGTATGGACACTAGTGGTGTTGCAATAACAGGGTGATACGTCGACTGGTGATGCTGATCTACCAGAGAGCCCACCTAGAGGCAGAGGTGACAGCTCTCAAGAGTCAGGCAGCACAGGCTAGTAGAGAGCTCCAGAGACGCCTCCAACAAGACACAGACACAAAGGTGTGGTTTGTCTATTAGGTGGAGACGGGAGGGTAGGGAAAGGGGAGAAGAAAGAAAAGATAAGGGAGTACCAGCAGACCTTCAGTAGCCACCGGACCTACTGCGATTACACCATTAGAACACTGTCCGCCGTCGGAACTTGTGATTCCGGAAACGTGCCTCAATGGAGGGGATACAGCTGCCCCACCCCCCACATCTTTCTAGTACTATAAGTAGGGCATATACATGTGTTTATTATATAGTCACGAGCTGGTCATGTGATGTGTTATCCTGCTTCTGTGTTACAGGGTGAAAAGAAGGAGAAGCCAGAGATCAAGAAAGCAGGGGAGGAGGAGGAGGAGACTGTGGAGACTGTGGGACCTAGCCAAGAGGGGTTTGACAGACTCCAGGAAGGTAATATACTGAAGCCAGAAAATAGGACTGTATTTGACACCATTGTATGTGCATATCATCATGGTTGTCATCATGGCAATCCTTGAAAACGATTCACTACAAGTGTGGTTCGCACGTCGTATCATGGCCAAAGCCAAGACACTGGTTATGATACACACTGCTGGCGGAACGAAAAGTTGAGTCATTCATTAGCTGATGCAAATGATAGGGGAAGCGTAAAACTTGGCCTGGTCGAAACCAGCCCTTTTGATTAATGACTGGATAAGAGTATATGCTTTACTGCCTGTTGCTAGAGCTACGTGTGGCTCGAACTGACCTGGAGGCTATGAAGAAACAGGCAGAGTCCACTAATGCTGAGTATGATCGGCTGGCAGAGGAGCACCAGCAACTACAGGTAAACTTTGACTTAGCGTGCAAGATTGCACTTCCTTTTTATTCAGGCAACTCAGCAAGGCAATTCTGAAGATAAGAAAGACCAGTGAACCATCATTGACCTCCTTTAAACATTGAATTTTCCTGCATATAAGTGTATAATGCAGATTGTCCATAATTATTATTAATACGCATGCGCGAACCGCACGCAGCGAGAATTAACCGCACCCGGCCCCACCCCCCCAGCTGGCCCTTCTCATTCTGATGGCTGCAGTGAAATCCCCCGAGCTAGCTCCCAGGGACAAGGAAGAACTTCTATTGAACAGCGTGTGGAATGGGTACGCACTACGCTGTTACAGCTGGTATCCGAGCTCCAATCCCGCGCGGTGAGCTTTTTGGGATGCACATACTGACTCCACTGTGTCTGCCTTTTCATTAGGAAGTACTGTGCGTCAGAGAGCATTTTTATGGTCTGTGCCCTTTCTATTCACATGCTATGGATGTGCAGGGCAATGGTGTACATAGCACATGGTGTGACAGAACACATGGGTCGTTACGATGAGTTTGCGATACTGCTGGCAGATAGTGGCCTGTGTGTGTTTGGACATGACCATGGTAATAATTCCTAGAATAATTATTTATGGCAATTGCTTCGTAATTGTCTGCAGTTGGCCACGGTCATAGTGACGGAGAGAGAGTACATGTGGAGAACATCGATACTTATGTACAAGATGTCATCAATCATGTGGAGCTGATGAAGTCTAAGTACCCTCATCTTCCATATATTCTGATGGGACACTCTATGGTGAGCATCTCTGTCACTTATTTTCACTTGCCAGCCATGCAAAGCAGTGTGAAGGAGCATGTAATGGCAGCATAGAACAAGGGGTAGGACAATGAGATATGTTGGCAGAATAAATATAGCTATAATTTATACTCCAATGAAATGGGTCACCACTCTTTAGCAACCTAGGTTGTGGCTGAAAGTCTTGGTGAAACCACGGTGGAACCACATGGTTTTTGCTAGCAGCTTTATAATGGGTGTCCTCTAGTTCACAAATTTTGGAATTTTGCCTCGACTTTCCTTGTTGTGAAGTAGAAGCATTAGCCAGGCGGAACTTTTGGCCACATATTGGTGAAGCCACGTGTGGTACAAATATGAGATGCCAAAGCATGTAAAATGACACTCAGGGGCGTTTTGAGTAGTGAAGAGTACATAGGACAAACTTTAGAGTAAATTTTGCCCTGAGGAACCCTTTTATGCCAGCACCAAAATTACAGTGAGATATCCCTGTGAGTGATGATACAATATAAACTGTATTTTTGAATCATCAATGCACCCCCGTAATGGATGTGACTGCTACGTGTTCGACTTACTTTGCTCCGTTCTGTCAATAGTAAGGCTGAGGGGTCAGGAAACACATGCCCTCCAAAGTATATACTCAAATCAAAACTGTAGATATGCACATTATAATGGCCTTTATTTTTGGAACAAACCCAGGGAGGTCTTATTGTTGCCCATGCCACCATCCTGAGAGGGGACATGTTTGCTGGACTAGTACTCAGTGCGGCAGCTGTCAGACCAGTGGTCGTGAGTCCTGTGACTGCTGCTATAGTGGTGAGGATGGATACAGTCACAAATGAGGTTATAATAGTGTTTGACCAATTAGAATTTTGGGGCTAAGAGTTTGGCGTTTGTGATGCCGAGAGTTCCTCTCTTCCCCTGGAAGACTAGCAACATCACCAGCCTACCTGAGGAGGTAATGATGTCATAATAACGGTTGGTTTGTACATCACGCACCACTCACCATTATTGCTGTATGTCATGTATATATGCAAAACACACATTTTTGCAGAACTTGTAGTTAGCTATCACTAAGTACGGTAGTACTTAGTACATAGTGATGACACAGGTTGTCCTGCATTATGCCCATACATTTGAGATTTTCATGATTAAAACTCAATCAGATCCAACTTTTGATACATCAGACTAATTTGTATCGTCACAAAGAGCATGTATCCAAGAAATAGCTTAAATCGCATAATCGGTACTTGATCACTTTTCAATTTTCTTGTTGTTGTTGTTGTTGTGCAGTTTCAACAAGCGTATCTCAAAAGCCAGGTAAGATATGGAGATCAAACCTTGCACAAAGATTGGAATCCATGACAGGTTGTGCAAGAGCATTTTTATTTCTTCGTAAACAATTTTGTTTACATGTAAACAACACAAATAGCCCCAGGCAATACATTATTATAGACAAATAAAGTGTGCTAACTGGGTAAAGCTAATACCCAGAGTGATAAAACTTTGTACACACATGCAACCCATCATTAGTATCAAAATGTAAACATTATAAGTTTGTAAACGACAACAAACAGCCTCAGGCAATAAAAACCTGTAAAATGTGTTTGTGCCTATAACTTGCTTATGGTGGGTCCTCTAACAATGAAACTTGGTACACTTATGTACCATGATGAGAGTTGATTGAAACAGAAATTACAAGTTTGTAAACAACAACAAACAGCCTCAGGCAATAAATACTTAATGATCTTTGTGCCTGATAAGAGTTCATTGAAACATGAATTACACAAATTTGTAAACGACAACAAACAGCCTCAGGCAATTAAGTGCTGTTTTTTCCTATAACTGTGTGCACTTATCTACTTTGGAGTGAAATAAAAACACGACTAAGAGTCCGAGGCAATAAATACATATTACTTTTTATATGGAAATTATGCCCCAATGCATGTGCATGCAGTAAAAAAAGGAAAGGAAACAAGTAAATTAAAAATATTGTGACTTAAAAAATGTGTGGAATATAGGGACGCCATAAAAAAAGGAGACAAGACAGGGATGACCTGTGCAGTGGTACAATTGGATGATTGTTACATCTTGAAACTGACATTTCTTGCTCATGTTAATTTTACTCCACACAAGCCCTATATTGTCGCAAAGCACGAGTGATCTCTATCGTATGATGTGCAGCTATGACTCGTTTCCTATGCACGTAAGACTGGTAGCAAATACCCTCTCTGACAGGTCCTCAGTTTTGAATCGTGACTGTGTTTACTTCAATATTCGCTCAACTAACCAGTTTTACAATACTGCTTTCCCTACAGAATTCGTTTGCCAGTCTTCACACTACACTATTCAAAACTCGTGTCATGAGTAAGAGTGGCGACAATATAGGGCTTGTCTGGAGTAAAATTTACATGAGCAAGAAATGTCAGTTTGAAGTATATTCCACACTTTTTAGTTCGCAGTTTGTGTCGCAATTTTTTTACTTGTATATATACCTAGCTGTAGAGTTTGGAAAAGTTATTGGTGTTCTATTATTACTGGCTAGTGAAGTGAGCCTACCTAGTTGTTTCAATGCGAGAATTTTATATAATTATAGAATGTGACGGTTCTGTCGGGCACTGCACATACCGTAAATACTTGCAAAATATTGAACTGCTCGCGCTCGCTCGCCAACAATGCACTCAATTCCTCTAGTAATTGTAATGTAATGACCTAGAGTTTTTTTGCAGGTCAAATGCTATGAGGAAGACAGTTTGACCCATTGTGGTATGATGAAACCAGCCTGGACTGCCTCCATGATGGACTCCATGTCACTACTCTCCCAGTCTCTGCACAAGATCACACTCCCAGTCCTGCTCATCCATGGTGCCAGGGACCCTGTCGTTAGCTACTCATCATCAGAGTTTGTCTACAAGAACCTGTCCAGTAAAGACAAGACATTTCTTGTAAGAATTAAGAATAATGGCTGTCACTGTGTGTAACAGCATCCTTGCTCAATTTAAAGAGGTTTGATGGTTTCCATGATGTCCTGCATGACGTTGAGCAGGAGAAGGCAAAACTGGCCATACGAGACTGGATCAGAAAACATTTAGCATTAGCAGATGCAATAGATCATTCTTGCTGATTTTTTCAACTCAATTATATTTTTATTTTTATACCACCCTGTTTAGTGTCTGGCCACCTATACTGTTATCTGAAATCTCTATAGTTGATGACACTGTTAACCCTTTGGACGCCATGGTATCTTCTTAAATATGCAGAATTGTGTCCGTCACATGTGTTCGTGTCTGGTTAAGTGATAACTCGTTGAGTAGCATTTTGTGTCATCCTTGAATGGAGCTATGGGGTATATAGTGGTACCAAGTTTAGTGGAAGGTTTCAAGTTGGGATCTGGGTATATTGCAACTTATTTCCAAACCTTTTTACAGCCTTAGCTTTGCTTTGAGCCGATTGTATATTATATTGTCACTAAAACCCTCGGCGAACTGGGCATGCGCGACCCTGCTAATTGATAGGCTGGGCTATTAAGTATGCTTACTCGTGGTCTCCCACTAGTAGCTCGCGGAGAGTCTGACACTATGCATGCTAGCTACAGTAGTAGATAGCATGCGGGATTCGATACAAGCCGTTCGTTGTGACTTCCTGAGCCCCAATCAAGGTACACAGAGCGAGCCCAGATCAGGTCGCGGTAAGCCCAGGCTTTTTCGTCGCTTGTTTTCACGGCATATCTCTCGAACAAGTCATGCTTAAAGCAATGATAATGGCCATACACACAAAGTTCTAAGACTATTAACAAACTGCTACATAATTGAATACAGCTGCAAATTCAGAGATGAGTTATCTTTAGACCCTCTTCCAGGGGGTCTCTTTCAGTGGCTTCATCTTCACATTTTCCCCTGGCTTGGTCATCAACTTCCCCTCTGTTTGCAGCCATTGCTGTTGCAGGCACAGGAACGTAGGTATCAGAGCCAGCCCTCATTGGGAAAACTCGCCCACTCTTTCCTCCTCTGCCACCATCTCCTGATGGGTCACTAGTGGCACTGCCACCCGTCACAATCATAAAGCTTTGCCGATTTTTTCGGAACCACACCAGAACTGCTCCAGCCACCGCCATAGCAACAAGCACGGCAACAATGAGGACCACGACCACAATAGCCGCCACAGCAGCTCCACTCAACCCACCACCATCACCACTAGACCCAGTAGAATCTGTTCCATCACCATCAGGACGCAGAGCCTCTGGTACCCCCTTCTTTATTCCCCTCACTTTGCCCCCAGCCTGCAGAGAGAGAGAACATAGTGTTGGGTTTGAGTTGTGAGCAAGGTGTACACAGGTGGTAATACTGGCATAGTAGGACGTTGAGCTCATTCTATTGTAGAAACATGAATATGTATCCCTAACAACTGTATGAAGCAAGTATCTAGGACAACACATAATATATACATATAATTATACACTTTGACACATTAGTCTACGTTAAAATGTCTTCCTATAGAACCGCCACATACAAACAGATGCAAAGAAATTTCGTCGTCAGCATACTAATGGTGTACATACAGCATCACTGATATCATCGCTGTTGTCATCCAGGACTTTGGCCAGGTCACTACCATCAACCACTCGCTGGCCGTCAGGATACTCAGTGAAGAAGGCCACCACGACCCCACCACCATCAGTTGCCACAGGCTGTCCAACATATGTGATATCATCTGCTGTAAATTCCTCCTATAATATAGAGTATACCAAGAGACACAGTCTTGATTATAATATACCACATTAATGAATGTGAACACAACCATTGCCGCAGAGTCATGTGCATCCAAAGAAGTTCGAGGTCTTATGTAGATGTGTTATGCATTTCTGAGTCCCATGCACATGCAAATCCTGTTCACATCAACGTCCTCATATCAAACACTGCAAGTACAAATGTACTTACTTTCTGCCTCTTTTTCTGTGTCAGATCAATCCCTTTGTTAAGGGCATCAGCAATACTTCTCCTGAACAATTGCTCCTTCTCAAGAAAAACAGCCACCTTTGGCAAAATCATAATATACACTGGTTCACAATATAGAAAAATGGATAAAATATATACATGTGCTGAGGCAAGATCATATGGCTAAATGTGCAGCAGCGGTTTGCGAAAATATGTAGTAACAGACTCTCCACAGGATAGGTATATAAAGCTAAAGTGCAAACCCTCAGTGCACTAGAAATGCGCAAATGCAGATTGTACTGCTGATGGACTCAGCCATTTGACCATTATACTAACTCGTGGTCTCTTACCAGGTCGCTGACAGTCAGTAACGGGCTAGCTACACTACTAGATAACATGCAAGGGTCAATACATGCCCCGCATTGCAACTTCTGGTGCTTCCAAGTTCTCCAGGTACGCAGAGCAGGTCGAGGTTATATAGCAAGTGATAATTTGCATTTTAGCTCGTTCACTTGGTTTTCACGCCATAACTCTTGAACACTGCAGTTTTCAGAGAATACCCTACATATATTTCGACCTATATCCGACACTGAATGTGAAGCGATTGAGGGCTCAAGGAGTGAGATGTCGGGTAGCGGACTGACAGGCACACACTGACAACTACCGTAACCCTCGCTGCGCATGCATGCTGAGGGTTAATAATTCATAGTGTGCTACTAGTACCAACACAACAATACAGTTTAAATTATGTCATTTTGACCTGTTATGTGTCCTACCGTGATGCCTTGGATTTCAAGACTGACAGTGTTCTCAGCTTGCTCCTTACTTAGGTTACTGACATCTACAGCTGTGCCCTCCTAGTACGGCAGAGGAGCAAACCACACATTATTATACAGTATGCTAATGGAAACTTACTGGGAAGGTAGAAGTGCTTGCTGTAGGAGATGGAATCACAGTTGACTCAGAACTACTAGAACTGGGTATAGGCTCGGCCTGCACGGGGCTTGACGTAGGCTCGGCCTGCACAGGGCTGGACGTAGGCTCAATCTGCACAGGGCTTGACGCAGGCTCGGTCTGCACAGGGCTTGACGTCTGCTCAATCTGCACAGGACTTGACGTAGGCTCGGTCTGCACAGGGCTAGACGTAGGCTCGGCCTGCACAGGGCTGGACGTAGGCTCAATCTGCACAGGGCTTGACGCAGGCTCGGTCTGCACAGGGCTTGACGTCTGCTCAATCTGCACAGGACTTGATGTAGGCTCGGTCTGCACAGGGCTAGACGTAGGCTCGGCCTGCACAGGGCTTGTAGTGCTTGATGAAGGTGCAGCAGACACAAGGCTTGATGTAGGCACAACCAACACAGGACTCAAAGTAGTAAGTAATGCTGACATGGGGCTTGATATGGCTAAAAGGCTTGAAGTGGCTTGAAAAGCTGAAGATGTGCCTAACACAGTACCCATTGTTTCCATAGATAAAAGATCAGTTGATGCAGTAGGTGATAATAAAGAACTGCCTGTCAGAGGCAAACCTGCACTAGATATTGTAGGCACAGTTTGGGATTGAGAAAAGCTGAGGGAAATTGATGGTTCCAGCACACACAAGTTCAGAATGGAAAAACAATTGCCGCAAACTTCAGCAAACCTAGGAAGGCTACAAGTCTCTCCCGTGGCTAAAATAATGCAATCTGTGACCAACTCCTGCACCTCACAGATGCCACTGTCATCACTAGCAAGGCAAAGGCCCATTATATGAGAGCAGTAGTCCCCCAAATCTTCTTGACCACCTATACACGGAAAGACAGTCTCATAGTGCGAGCAAACCTCTCTCGTAGAGGGAAGAGTTAAATCAGGGCAAAAGAGTAGGAGTTCGCAAACGTGACAGATACTCTGTGAAGTGCACTCCCCGAATGCGAAGGACGAGAGGCAGTAGTAAACAAATCCTACCTCCACTTGTGAGCAGAGTGAACGTGAACCACTGCCACTAGAACTGCCAGATCCAAAAAACCACTCCCACCACCACTTGCAAGCCCACTACCACTGACTCCAGTGCACATGCTGGTGAAAGGACAAATTTCTAAGAAAAACTCTGTTTCTCTGGGATAGTACTCACAAGCAGACACAAGGCTTGAGATCTTGCATAGATCTGAATGACTGACATGAGGCAAATTGCTACATGCACCTGAAGCAATGAACTCACAGTAGCCACATGTTTCATTTGAATACGGACAATAGCTATGCATTGAGAACGAATGGCACAAGAACACGTAGCCTAGACCTTCATCCTTGCTGAAGTAGTTACAGAGAGGGCAGTGTGCCCCTACACATGTACTGCCATTCCCTCCACAGTCACTGACTGCGATGTAACTGCAAATTTCCGAGAAAAATTCAGTGTCGCCAACAATAGAAGGGAAATCACATGCTGTTACAAGTCTAGACAAGGCACAAAGGTCTGAGATAGTGACAGTCGGAAAGTGGCCACATTCACCCATATTTACGTAAGAGCAAAAAAAGCAAGTTTCATAAGAAAAAGGACAAGGTCCCTCAGGAGGTACAGACTGGCACAAGAAGACATAACCAGTGCCTTCCTCGGTGTTCAGGTAGCTGCAGAAGTCGGAACCATTGCTACCTCCACTGCTCCCACCATTGCCATCAGGACACAGCAGCAAGACTAGTTCACACAAGTCACAAGTGGCATTAGGCAAAAAACAATCACAAGGCCAGGGGTCATAGAAAGCAGTGAGGGTGCAGGTCTGTATTAGTAGTTTCGATGCACAGACTCCAGTGCTGGAGTTGCTCAGACACGTACTCGCAGCGTAATCGCACACTCCGCTGTAAAGATCGTCAACATACGGGAAAACTGGTAGAGCACTGCAAGACAGGAGAATTTCGCTGGAACACACATCAGAGGGGGTTGACGGGACTCTGCACGCTACCAAAACCTCGCATACCTTGCAGGATTCCGATTCGCAGTCAGGCGACGGAGCGAATACGTGGCGACAGTAGTAATTCAATGCAAGTAGAATCCCTTCTCGCTGGCGCACCTCGAGATCTAGCTCTTCGCACGATGGTCTTCCGAGACCGCTTCCACTGACGAGCTCGCCACCAGCACTTGAGTTTCCACTGCCCAAGGGGTCAAACGGGGGAACGTCGGGTGGACATCGACCCTTAGAATGGGCCCTAGCTCCTGTGAGAACGAGCAGAACCACGACAACTGCGTAGTCCATGCTGCTGCAAAGGAAGGTGTAGCTACAGTAGTACTCAGCAGGCATTTCAAGATATGCATATTGCGCAGGCAGCGCGCGCTATTTCGTTGGATACCTGCTGCTTGCATTCGGCTTCCAGCTTTCTCTTCACACCCGCCACAAAGCTGCCACAAGTGCACGCAAAAGTGCGATCGTACGATGTCGTACACGGGGCCGGGGGCGGGCGCAGGGGCTCGACGACGCATGCGCAGCGAGGTTACGGATTTGGTCAGGGGGGGGAACATTAGTACGCCAACCACAACATTCCCCCATAAAATCTCCATGCTTATTTAGGCGTTTGGCTGGAGGGGGGCAAAATATGGAAGGAGTGAATTATAGGAGGAGCTAGTACAAAACACAGTAAGAGTTGGACATCAGCTATTGTGACAGGGACCAAAAAAGGTTTTGTAGTCATAAAAAGTATGAATTGTTGCCTAAAGTTCTAGTAATCTGGCCCCCCTCAAATAACCTGTCTGGCACTACAGGCTACAAGGTGGCTAATGAGTGCTACGAGAGCCTGAAATTGTGATTTTCCTGAAACGGCTGTGTTCGAGAGATGGCATGTGAAACAAGCCAATATGCATAACCAGCACTCGACCAGGCTTATCCCGTTCAGTGCACCATGGAAGAAGATACTCGGGGGAAGTCCAGTGTTGAACACTAACAATAATGAAAAAGCACTGAAGTGCGATACCGCTAATTGATGGGCTGGGCCGTAGTATGCGTTTACTTGTGGTAGCACACAGAGTCTGACACAGGCTAGCTACAGTAGTATATAGCATGCGGGAGTCGATACACGCCCTTCGTTGTGACGTCTTGTGCCTCCAAGGTACGCAGATCAAGCACATTTTGTCGAGGAAAGCCCGTGCTAATTTGCATATTGGCTTGTTCACTTGCTTTTCACGCCATAACTTTTGAACGCAGTGTTTTTATGAAAATCGCCAGTTTTAAATCAAGCAAATGTACCGCCGAACCCGTTGCTGTAGAATTTTGGCGATCTTGTTGCATCTAGTGGCAGAAAACGTGAACGGACACACAGACACACAAACCAAGTACCGTAACCCTCGCTGCGCATGTGCTCCGAGGGTTAACAAGGCTATACACCCGTGGTGGCGTGGTGAAGCCTGTATTTTTTTGGCGCATGTTTCAACGCTAACACGCGCGTGCGTTTCAGGGTTTGAACTTTATGCTTATTCATGAGGTATAACAGCTACAACAACACCACCCTGATGGCAAGTAAGTGGGGGAGCAGGAGTCCACTCCTGAGTTTCAGTTTTGTACACTTCCACTGAACTCAGATTGGCCAGTCCATCATATCCACCAATCGCATATATCTGATTCGATAGAACTGCTACACCAACACGACCTGCAAAAGAGTAGCACACACCTATTGACTATAGGAATTCAACGCATTTTTTGGTGAGCAAAGCGAGCTGTTTGATTTACGGAACGTATGGCAGTACCAGTACATATATACAGGAAAATTTCACATTCAGACGACTAGGGGGCTCGCTTTGCTCGCAAATTATATGCCTGAAAAATGCTTAGTGGAGGTATATACTAGTGAAAATGCTTAGGCGAGCAGAGTGAGCACTGTCGCCGGTATAGCAAATCTATAGTGTTCACAATCCCCACACAGGACATTACTTGGGTGACATCCATCTCCATGCAAAAGAAAACTTGGGTAACTAGAGTGAGCACTGTCGCCGGTATAGCAAATCCATAGTGTCGTATATGAGAAGTTCGTTCACAATCCCCACACAGACACGCACGCGGACATTACTGGGGTGACATCCATCTCCATGCAAAAGCACTGAAAGATAACTTGATTGATGGTTGTACTACCTAGCTCGGCCACAGCTGGCTAAATGAAATCGCGAACTGCTGTGCTGTGATTAGTAAAAACAAGCTAATTTCGCTGCAGGTATAGTCATGCTAAAGAAATGACTATACTAACAGGATTATAGCAAGACATTTGCCATGAATTCACACCAAGGAATAAAAATCGTTTTACACATGTACATAAGTGCCACACAGTGCAGAGAAACAAACAGGGCCATCAACGTCATCATAATTTTGAATCTAAAGTCCCAAAGTACAGAGGTTTCCACCAGTACTGCTGCTACCCCACAAACCTTTCCCATTCAGATTGGGAGACTGACGTCAGCTGTAGATTACACGTAGCGAGAGGCTAGGTTAGTTGCAAAGTTTAGGAAAGCCACTAGCTCTGTCATATTAGCGAGCTGCATGAAGTCACTTCTGCTCATACATGCATGTAGTGTACACCATGCATCATACAAAAGTGTATAGTATTTAGTTCAGTCGGAACGTATACTATCTGACTTACTGCGTCTGCATGTCATGGACTTTATTCTGCTCCAGAGTTTGGTGATGGGGTCATAGCATTCAACAGTGTCCAGGAATGACTGGCCATCGTAACCACCAATGCTGTGTTAATTGAAACAGTGGCAGGGAGGAGCACTGGTCACTCACTACTACCTGAAAAGTTTTCCATTCAGTGCAACAACTCCAGCCCTGCATCGCCTACTGAGCATAGGTGGTACAGCAGTCCAGCTGTGGTCCTGAGGGTTGTAGCACTCCACACTCCTGAAGATAGAAAGCCCATTGTGGCCTCCTGTGGTAATACACACGGGTCATTATGACACTCACACACCCCATACACAGATACATGTGTACCATGTAGAGCTGAACACCGTATGTACAAATGTTAGACTACTCTCCCTCCTATAGTCTTAAGTAGCGTTCAATAACAGGGTGACACTATAGGCTTTTGCATGCTGCTGCAAGCTCTGGCAGGTGAGAGATCAATAAAAGGGGGGGGGGACCATTATTCAACCTGTTCCCAGACACTTCAGTGAAGCCAATACAGACTCAGTGGGAAGGTAAATATATCATGACTCAGCTGTAGTTAGGTTTTTTTAACGTCAAATCACAGCATATGATGCCATCTATATCTCACTGTGATCATATTCATTGGGATAATATTGATATGTACATGTGTTTGGCTGATACTTACTATGGCCCAGAAAATCTAAAAATGTACTTTCTACTATCTTAGCTGTGAGCAGTCAACTGTTGGGTAGGGCACACTACATGTGCCAACGGTAACCCTCGGCGCGCATGCGTAGCGAGGGTTACAGTAGTTGGTCTGTGTGTGTGTGTGTCTGTCCGACTATTCTCGCACTACAGGCTACGAGGCGGCCTAAGAGCGATACCAAACGCTTCAGTGCTACAAGCGCATGAAAAATAAAATGGCGATTTTTCTGAAACGACAGTGTTCGAGCGCGAGAAACTGGCCAGACCATGTAGCGTGGCCCAACCCATCAATTAGTGGTGTGAATGCTATATATTAGATACGAGAGATATGTATGCCGTGAAAACAAGCGAAAAAGCCAATATGCATAATCACACTGGGCTTACCACGACCTTATCCGCTCGCTCTGTGTACCTTGGGGCTCAGGAAGTCACAACGAATGGCATGTATGGACTATCTACTACTGTAGCTAGCCCGCGTCAGACTCTCCACGGTATTAGCGGGAGACCACAAGTACAAATAGCCCAGCCCATCAATTAGCAGTATCGCGCATGCGCTGTTTACTGAGGATTTGCACTTTAGTGCTTTTCATTGAAATATTTGGTTATGCTATAAACTTAGGTATCAGAAACGGGTGTTACGTAAATCTTGGCAATTAAGAATTGTACCTCCTTAAACCATACCGTTTAACATATTTATGATAGGATACTAGACTGCAAGTCCGTCAAATAAATACGCATTTGAACATGCATGACACACACAAAGTAAGTACAATATCACTTGCCAGCTACATAGATCATTCCATCCAGTGTAGCAGCACCAGCAGCACTGCGACTGGTATTCATTCCTGCGCATGTGCTCCACTCATCCCTCAGAACATGATAGCTACAACAAATAACAAGACAAACACAACATAAATTTTGTACACATGTTAAAATAATGGACTGCGAAAACCACTTCCATGCACTCACATCTCGACAGAACTGAGTGAAGTGTTCCCATCATAGCCTCCAATAATATACACGTCCTTATCCATCACAGCTATACTGAGGGCACTGCGACGTGTACTCATTGGGGATTTGACACTCCACTCGTCCTTCTAAAAAGAAAGATGATAATATGCTGCACACCATGCTGCACACTATCTACCTGCCTAACAAAAATTCTGGGAGTTGCACGAAGTACGGTATATAGGGATGAGCGTGGTACCTAGCATGATAGGGCGTTTTGCTCATCTTCTCCTCCTCCTTCAACCCACAACTCAAAAACCAAAACATGTAGCTAAAGCCATAAATATTTTTTGTAGGAATGTACATATAAACAATCACATTTTCAACGTCCTACTTATTTAAACTGTTTTTTACTGTAAACAACAACAAATAGCACCAGGAAATATATTATAACATGTGTCGGTGTAACTCGCAAAATGGGTACGAACTTTGTGTGAATACATTATAAAAACACAACATTACATGTTTGTAAACAACAACAAATAGCCTCATGCACTCTTCACTCAAACTTGCTAACGGTAGCACACATAGAGATGAAACTTGGTACACATGTGTATTACATCAATACCAAGACATTAAACAACAACAAATAACCTCAGGCACTTTTCTTTAAAATTACTTCCGCACGCCTCACAGTAGTTTGCCTCCCCCTCCCTCTACTCCCCTCCACACTTAGTCTCTCGAGCTACCCTGCCTCTCCACATGTGCTTTCAGCTCGTGTTGATTATATGCATTTGCAGTGCACAGGGGAGAGAGGGTCTAGCAGATGTCATTAGTGTTCACAGCGGTCTGACCAATCAATATCTACACTCCACAACCGGTACATAAGCATGTAGTACATAATGCAAAGGACTTTGTAAATCAGAACTCCCTAGTTGTAGTATTGGCAAGGCTGACCTGCAGCAGTGTGAAGCGTGGTTTTATTAACTAGATGTTGCTCCGAGCCTTACATACCTGTGATGGTACATTTCACCCGTAATCTGTAGTGCACATTCCACATTCTAGCACCCCACAAATAGTTTAACCTGGAGTTCAGTGAGCCCATAGATAAGTGTGAATCTCGGGATAGAGAGCACTGGCGGCCTTGGTTCTTTGCCACTAGGCGCTCTTTTCATGCTACGTACACTGTTACACACACAAAATGTAAAATCTAATGACATCTGCTAGACCCTCTCTCCCCTCCACACCACATGCACATAAAAGTAAGGCCCATAGACTTCAAAAGGTTACACCAAAGGAGCCATGCATAGACATGCCTACTGGCAGGGGAGCTCGCAAATAATATTTCTGTTTCTAACAACGATTGGTCCAGATGTGTTTATTGACACACAGATGACGTACAATAAAGTGACTACAATACTGGTGTTTTGAGGTGTTTGTGATTTGTAAAACATTACCATAAAGATCACTTGTTTTTATGATTTATCATAGTCTCGTCTGTAGTGTAACGAAAAATGCTGCAGGTACATACAACGTATAACACCCACAGTTGTACTAGCTAATAACCTCTGGGTTGTAGCACTCCACTGTAAAGAGCCGAGATGAGCCATCATATCCTCCAAAGGCAAAGAGTTTTCGGTCGACAACAGCCACGCCAACCCTGCTGCGGAGTGTCGTCATAGCCTTGGACGACTCCCACGCTGATTTCTCTTGATCAAACCTGTAAGGTGGAACAGACATCCCACTGAGGATAAGAGAAAGATTGCACACAACGGGACATGTATCCTAAATTAACCGTTCATGTGCTGTTTCCTTCTTCCCTTCAACTCATTAATGAAACTAGCACATTTACACACAAATGTACAAGAACACTTTCACTCACAAAAGGTGATGCACAGATCTTGGGTGAAACACGGACAGAGAGATGGAAAGACACACACCATACATAAATGCGTGCTGAGAGTTAATTAACCTACTGTATATAGATGTACATGGCAAGTCGTGACCATAATCACTAAGTACGGTAGTAGTATATAGGGATTGACATGGTACGTAGCATTATAGATGTATGGGGCTATGATAGGGAACAATGTTGTTTTACTGTAAACGACTGAAAATGTGCCCCAGGCAATACATTATAATGGTCATACATGTGTTAGTGTAATTCACATTAATGGTAAGAGCTATGTGAACGAAACTTTGCACACATAATGTATTCAATACCCAACATCAAAAACACAACAATACATATTTATAAACAACAACATATAGCCTCAGGGACTTTTCTTTAAATTTACTTTTTCATGTCTCAAACTCCTTAATGGTAGGACGCATAGAGATGAAACTTGGTACGTATGCCTATTATATCATTTCCATGACAACAACATGTTTCCATGACGACCGCATACTGTGTGAAGAAACCTCAGACGATTATCTTTATAATTACTTCTTCACTCCTCAAACTTGCTAACTGTAGCATGTATGGAGGTAAAACTTGGTGCGCACGTGTGTAACATCGTTTCCATGACGACCACAACAACAAATAGCCTCAGGCACTTTTCTTTAAAATTACTTCTTCACTCCTCAAACTTGCTAATGGCAGCACACATGGAGATGAAATGTGGTATGCATATTATTTCCATGATGACAACAGGCCTTTATTCTCTATTGTTAATTTTTATAGGGGCTTGCCCCCTTCCACAGAGATAATACATAGTAGTATATAAAAATGAGTGGAGACAAGTAAATAAAAAATCCTGCGGATTAAAAAAAGGGTGCATATAGGGATCGTATAAAAAGAAAGGGAGACAAGGTAGGGATGGTGTTTGTGGAAGCACAGAGATGCTAGCGAGAAGTTAGGACTCCCACAATCTGAAAAATTAGTAAGTACTTCATTACCTATAGCAATATTCTACAGACTCTCTCATCACTCCCACTCCCACCCTACTAAGAAGATTGAAAACTTTCCCTATCATAGCCCCATACATCTATGATGCTAGGTATATACTCCCACTGTACGACGATAAAGGGCTGTTGTAATGACCTGTGGGAGTCCTAACTTCTCGCTAGCATCTCTGTGCTTCCACAAACACCATCCCTATCTTGTCTCCCTTTCTTTTTATACGATCCCTATGTGCACTCTTTTTTTAATCCGCAGGATTTTTTATTTACTTGTCTCCACTCATTTTTATATACTACTACCCTGTAGTTCGTTGCAGCCTAGGGAAACCTAGGAACACCGGTATGCTAACAAATTATTGCTAAATGCTTAATTACCCTGCCCTAATTGGGAAGTTGTTACCGTTGTCTTTTTGGTGGCAGGGTAAAAGAGGCTGTAATATTATACCCACTGTATAAGGATACATCAAACCACCTAGAAATTCCAGGGCCTATATACCCTTTCATAGCACGTCCATATATACATATATACAGTAGGTGTGGCTCAAAGTCGGGCTCAACGTAGGTAGCCATGATTTTAGTGTGATTATCTTGGTTCTATCGCCATCCTGTCAATCCTGGGGTTCTGCTACTTTGCCATAAAGCCCCCCAAAAAAGAAAAAAGCTCTGGTAACAGCAACGAGTTTGGCACATGAAAGTAACACTGGTAATTACGAGGCTGTGAGCTGTGTTTGTGATGGACTAAATTGACATTCAGCTATGTACATATTGCCGTCCTGCTCCTAGTATGATCCCTGCACACATTTCGTTTTTACATGACGTGCCAATTTCACACATAGTGACGACCAAAAAGTGAGCTGGCATGAAAAAAGCAGGCACCGCTACTTTTTGTTCCGTATGAGCAGAGAAGGATGAAATGCTCAGATGGTGGCAACAAATGAAGCACATACATCCTATACATGTATCACAGAATCTGTCCTGCGCCACCTTTCGCTTTCCAGAGAGCATGGTTGTAAGGGAGGTCACGTGTAGAATGGCTACCACACAGCAAGTCAGAGACTTGCAGAATCAAGCTAACAGCAAAATCACAACAGTGGCTACCATAATGCAACAAGTGAACAGTCTTTGAAATATGACTTTAGGAGACTCACCTACATACATCTTTAGGCATGAAGAAAACAGGACTCCTGCTACAAATTTGCACAAATAATTTTAGCTCCTTTTTCTTATTCACATGCGCACCCTGTCATCACATAAAGGTCCATTGCAATACCTTTCAACGGAAGATAAGTTTCCTCTTCCAGAACTCAGTCCTCCCACGGCATAAATCATCCCCATATCATAGAGACAGCGACGTGCCCGCGTACGCTCGGCTGGAAGGCTCCCCCTCCTCTCAGGCAGCAGATGGTATGAGATTAGTGCCTCGTCCAAAAGATTTCGACACTCCAAGTCATCCTTGATGTAAGGATGGCACTTCACTTTATCTGCCAGTACCGGCAGTGGGAGAAGTGGGAGACGAATGTGACGCAGCAGCTGTGACATGCACTGCCCACGTTGCATGGGATTGTGCTCAATCCACCTCACTGCTGCCTCAAACACCTGCTCCTCTGATGCAACTTTGATGTGGTCACACCTCAGCAGCTGGCATACTTCCGTAAGCTCCAGTTGGTAAAACTCTTCAGTTGATGACACTTCTACAAATCTGAGGAGAGTGTGCTTCCAAGCCTGCTCCTCAAGCCTAGGGCAACCATAGGTCCGAGCAAAGGTCGTTATCCCCAGACAGTTACAGGGAGCCAGTTGGTGTACCAGGAAGTTAGCACAGGCTTTCTTGAGGTCGTCCAACTGGAAGATGCTAGAAGCAGGGAGAATGGTTTGGACATTATCCTTGGTGATTCGGATATTACCCGTGTAGAAGAAACGAAGAATGGCTTCAAATGCATCTGGGCTCAGTCCTTGGAGGTCCACTACACTCTGACGGCTTTCACTCATGCCCGACAGGAACATTGCCTCGAAATATGGACAGCAAGCGATAAGAATAACCTTGTGGGCGTGAAATTCCTGCCCCTCCAACCGCAGTACAATATCACACAGTTCATGCCGAGTTCTTAGCTTGTCTAGCTTTGAAAAGGCGGCAGAAAAGCAGTTCTGAGGAGAAAAATCCATTTTCTCTTCGCGTTCAAAGGCCAGCAGAGTTCAAGGGTCATGTTTGGCAGTGAAGCCGTGCGCATGCGTAGTAAATCTCGCGTCGATCTAGCTAGCTAGCTAGCTAGCAACTGAAATATGCCAATTGTAAACTTAGATAAAACAGAGTGGCGTTACATTGGCCCAATGGAGGATATGAAAACATGTGTGCATTACAATGACTATTTTGTAAGCAACAACAAAATAGTCCTTTTTTCAGATGGAGACACATGACACTACTAATGACTTTGGCATTTCCTTAAACCACATGGGGACAGAAGGATGGGATATAAGGGTTTGAAAGCATACAATTGCCTAGGTAATGGACATTCTTCATAATGAAATTCAAATTTCAGCAGCACCTATTGCTTGAAGTGACAGCAACATTAACTTAAAAAACAAGTTATGCTACCATTGTCATAATTATGGACCAGGGAGTGTCAGCTTTACCATAGTGCGTTCTAAAATCCCATCCCAACCTTTTCTCCTTTTTACAGCAAAACATATAAATTCTGCCTTTGGTTGTTTTTGCAGGTATATAGCTACATATATCGTGTTATTAGAGCCTGGCCCGTGTTGTAATATACTATATACATTTTTTGTTTCAACTGCTTTTAAAAATTCCAGGGTCAAAAAGGAAACTGATTTTATATAATTCTAAATCTTTGACTTCAGTTTTAATCTCCCTCCTCCTCATTGTCCTCTTCTTCCTATTGGAAAAAAGAACTCCAATCGCCAGGTCTACAAAAGCTCGGGCACATGATTGTATAGTATAGCTATGGTTTTTTGGCCTGTATACAATTGAGTGCTATGATGTGCTGAAGGATTTATGGGCATTGTCGTGAATAAGGCGAAATTCAGTGTCATTTCTATAAATGGCGAGCAAAGCAAGCCTATAGCTACCTGGACATTTGCATTTGCACATACAACTAGTGTAAATAATTCACACGAATACTTTTTGCCTGCGTAATCGATGCTGAAGTACTTACTCTGGTATATAGCTGTAATGTAACACAGATCGTTTGCTACGTATTGGCTCTGCTAGCATAGTCTGTAGCACAATGACACATAATAATTATTATACCTGCAGCAAGAGCAACCCTTTTCTTCCAGCTTATGTCTTCATCAGCCTCGGCCTGGTCTTTAACAACACCACCTATAAAAACAAGCTGTTACATGTTACTGAAACAAAACTCGTTTATGAAACACGATGGTTTCAAAAACCCTACAACTTCTAGAACACCTGCAACATCCAAAGCATCAGAGAGGGGTTGGATGTCCCCTGCGAAACCAGCAGCTCCCTGTATGGTACTACCAGCAGCCAGCCCCAGTCGCTGCTTAACTGATAAATCCTCATCAGCCTCACTCTGGTCAACCAGAACCCCTCCCACAAGACTCACTCCAGCTGATGAGTATACATAACATTTCCAATGTTTTATAAATGGTATATCACTAAGTTGACTAAGTACGGTAGTACTTAGTATATAGGGATGACACAGGTTGTCCTCCCATACATTTCAGATTTGTACGTTTCACTTCCAGTTTTCAATCAGATCCTTTCTGATCCGTATCTTCAAAAAAGGCCTCAGGCAATAAAAACTTGTAAATAGTGTTTTGAATTGCCTATATATAACTTGCTTATGCTGGGTCCTCTAACAATGAAACTTGGTACCCTTATGTACTTTGGGGGTGAAAGAAACATGGGAACTACGACAAACTGAGCCAATAAACACATCGGTCCTACTTTTTATGTGGGCATTCATGCCCCAAAAAGTTGCACACCATGCGTGTGAATGCAGTAAACAAGGAAAGGAGAAGTATATTTAAAAAATTCTTCGAATAAAAAAGTGTGGAATATAGGGATGCCATAAAAAGCAAGGAGACAAGACAGGGATGTCCTTGTGCATGTGATGCTACAATGGATGATGGCTACATCTCCAAACCGACATTTCTTGCTCTCATGCAAATTTTACTCCACACAAGCCCTATATATTGTCACAAAGCACGAGTGATCTCTATCATATGATGTGCAGCTATGACCATTTCCTATGCACATAAGACTGGTAGCTAATGCCCTCTCTGACAGGTCCTCAGTTTTGAATCGTGACTGTATTTTGTAGTCTATGACTTCAATGTTCGCTGAACTAACCACTTTTACAATGCTGCTTTTTATACAGAATTTCACACTACATCATTCACTAAACAAATTCATGTCATGAGTAAGAGTGGCGACAATATAGGCCTTGTGTGGAATATAATTTACACGAGCAAGAAATGTCAGTTTGAAGATGTAACTATCATCCATTGTACCACTGTTTCCTGTCTTATCTCCTTGCTTTTTATGGCATCCCTATATTCCACACTTCAGAATTTTTTTACTTATAATAATTATTATGAGACTAACCTTGACCGTATTCATTTGGAACATATTCACTAGCAATATTAAGACCATGCCCAGCCACTCCTGCTCCATCTTTAGCTGTGAGAAAATTACACTAACTAGTATGTTTGCTGATAGTTATGCATAAGAAGTCTATTCTTGCCTCCCATTTTGAGCCTATCCTTAAGACTGGTGTTAGGATCAGCCTGTGCCTGGTTATTGACAGCATCTGCACCAGCCTCTACAGCAGCCAACTGATCTTCAGAGAGCACTCCACTCTCACTGGCAGCTTTCTTGGCTATCTTGGTCACAAATTGAACAGCACTCCGTATAGCTTTAGAGGCCTTGGACTCAGGTTTCCCCTCCACATCATTCTTCCAGTCATCATTCTTTTTACCGACCTGTTGGCAATGTAATTGTAGGCTAGTCCCTTCCACCACTTTGCATTACTTACTTTCTCAATTGTCTGCTGAATCTCTGTCACCCATTCCCTGTGTGAAAAGATTACAACACCCTTACAAAATGAAAAGCACTAAAGTGCAAACCCTCGGCAGTAAACTAGCGAGTTGTAGCATCGCTGTATGCTGGGCCGTGCGTCATCGGCAGAGCCAGTAACACGAGTTTCACCGTAACACAGGGTAGTTGCATTAGCGGTTAGAGCAATAGCTCAGGTGTTTCAGAGGCTCTCATCTTTGCTTTATTCAATCTATCTGCTCTTCTGTGTTTCAATGCTCTCGCCAGACGTTTTATAGATGGGAAGGCAAGGCCGCAACCACAAACTGCTCGCCACCTGAACTATTGCTTGCTCAGCATGTTTATTGTTTATCCATAGGGAACAGAGATCAAAACTGACAGGAGGCAGTGGATCGCGCATGCTCCGGCGATTAGTTAACATTACGCGTGCGCGCTATATAGCCTGCAGGAGAGGGCGCGTGCGCGATCCACCGCGCGTTGGCTTTTTCGCTTGTTTTCACGCCAATTCTCTGGAACGCAGTCGTTTCGGGAAAATCGCCACATTAATATCAATCTTCTCGTCGTTCACAACCCGTTGGTGCCTCTCATTGGCCGCCTCGTAGCCTGTAGTGCTAGAACTCGCGCGGACGGACAGACGGACAGAGACAGACAGACGACTACTGTAACCCTCGCTGCGCATGCGCGCCGAGGGTTAACAACTATATAGCTATTCTTTACTCACTGAACTGACTGCATATCAGTGGCATAAATGTAGTACGTTCTTGATTCTATTGCTAGCCCAAAGCAGAGCTCTTTCTTTGCCTCTGGTGGCCACTCGATCTTACACTGGTCCCTCTCTCTCACACCACGACCTTCAGTAAGTTCAATGCATCCCTTTGGTTTCGTAGACTCTTCGGTTTTGAAGTACCGAAGGGTCGAATTCTCCAGCACAAAGTATCTTCTTTTCCAGCCTCCTCCAGTACCGCCTGCATTTGGGTTAAGATTTGAAGACGCACTTTCGAGCTGCTATATCCATACCGCGCTTATAGAAGTATCCCGTCTTTCTATCCGCATCCATTCCGCACAGTAGCTCCCGCTGCAATAACTGCAGGCCCGGTGCGGAAGCTGCAATTAAATACCAGCAGTCGGGAAAATCCCTGGGCACTTCGTAGGGTGCGCATCGTCCACCGACGTTTTGTGTTCCGTCTGCAGCGCAAACGCAGGCTGTCGACCGGAACTTTACACAGCATTAGCTATAATAAACTTCACTTTGCCACAGGCATTTCCCCAATCCTGCGACTTACTATATACCCAATATAATATTATAGTAGTTGTGGCTTTTGGTATTATAAAAAATACGCATTACAACAGTTTTCTAACCACTAGAGTAATACTTATGAGCGATAAATGGCATCTTTATAATCTCAGCCTCTACAATTCTTGTCCGTATTTTCAACTGCAGTGTGCGGCCAGCTTTGGAGAGAGCTCGAGGAACATAGCCCATTGCTATATTGGTCTTGAGGCAGGGGCTGGGACAGCCGGAGGTCACATGGCCTACTTCCTCTCCTTCCTGGTCCATAATGATAGCTCCACCACGAGCAGGTGGCCCCGAGTGTGAGATAAGACCAACCCTGCGACGAGGAGGCTTGTTCTTTAGTTGCGAGCGAATGACATCGCTGCCCAAAAACCCTCCTTCCTTCCGCCTCCGTCCACCTGACAGTACATATTGACACAGTCATACCATTCACCATACTTTCTCAGCCTCTACTCACTAATGCACCACGCCAGTCCAGCCTCTACAGGGGTTGTTTGTTCAGAGATATCGTTGCCATAGAGGCATAAGCCAGCTTCAAGACGCAGGATGTCCCTGGCACCAAGCCCTGCCCACTCCACACTGTCGCTCACTGCCAGTTTCTCTGCCAATTCCACAGCATGAACTGTGGGAACTGAGATCTGCAGAAGACCGAAATAATATATGTGATAGGCTCTGAGAAAATGACCCTTATCACACACGTAGTATTGTTGTAGTAGCGGCGGTTTATATTATACTGTATGTCTCCCTATTCTATGGGGAAATAGGTTTGAGGCACTAGCACCATTAAACACTTGATAAATACTAGCTTGTTTCTGGTCGGCTTAAAACTCTCTTCAGTCCCAATATGAAAATATGTACAACTATAATGTAAAACACCCCCAAGTTGTATTTTGTTTTCATAAAAGTGAAAGCAAAGCCATTAAAGAAGCCATTCTACTCGCATACAGTTATGCGAGTGCAGCAGGCTAACCTCCACTCCATCCTCTCCTGTATAGCCACAACGAGTCACACGGCATTGCGATACCCCACACACCTCACCCACAGCACTGGACATGAACTTGAGAGACGACAAACCGAGCGTTTCAAGTAATGAAGCGACCTTTGGACCTGAGCATAAAAATGGACTGGTATTGCCTGTACTGGGTCTTAGCATCTAGGATAGGGACTAGTATTGGACCTGAACAGTGAATGGAGGGACAAGTCCCAAGCATTGTAGTGGCCAGTACTATATTAAATAAACAGTACATGCATTGCAAGAAAACTGGTATATCAGAACTGAACAATGAACGGAACTTTCAAATGTAAAGGGTTGTATATACTACCAACTATGCTAGGTTTGAGAAAATAGATCGATTTAGACGTTTTCCAGCAGTGCTTGGCCACTAGGCTTAGAGGTTTTTGGTGGCACGGATAGTCCCATAATCCCTTGCATGACCCCTGTGTAGTAGTAATTGTGCCCTCACAACTTCCAGTGGGGAAGTACTTACATGTGAACATACTCCTAAGTTTTGATAGAATGGGCAAGCTTTCGTGTATGGCTTGTGCCTCATCAGGTTCTCGACCACATCCTTCTTCAGTAAATCCCATACGTAATGGTGCACTAACTAGTATTTATGGAGCCTTGTTGGCTACATACTTGTAGTAGTGTGTAATACTCCACATTAAAATACTACGTATGTACATACAGATTTTAAAAGTTCGTTAGTGCATACCTTGAAAAGCAATGAGGGATCTATCATCCATTGGAGTAAGAGATACAGAACTTTTTCTATTATCATAATGTTTCAGAGACGTCTGTCAGAAAAAAAGCAGAGTACAAATCATCTCTGTAGATCTATTATCCTTACAGTATGTATATTCAGTGGACCCCCTCTAATCTGGACATCGATCAGACAGAAGGAAGTGTCTGTACCAGTATGAGGTCCCCATTTAATGAATTAAACCGCTTGCAAGAAGCTGCTCTTGAGGAAAGGGAAGGTCTATCATTTCAGGATGTCAATTCCGCTGTATTCCATATATATATTATATATATATATATATTATATATAACACTTTACAACCAAAGTGCAGACCTTCGGCGCAGCGCTAGCGCTGTAAGTATTCAGTGCAAAACGTGCTGCTAAATGATGGGCTGGGTCATGCAACACGGTCACTGGTGATGAGAGTTTAACGATCAAAAACTGGCTAGCAGCAGCAGTGAGTATAAGTGTTTGGAGCACAGCTTGGTCAACCCAACGCTGGACTGGATACTTGTCCTTCAAGTAACTTCGTGCCTCCCAGGGTGCTGTGGAACAGGCAAACACTCGTCGGACAGACAGACACACAGACCAACTACTGCAACCCTTGCACGCCGACGCTTAACAAGCAAAATGTACAACATAAATTGGGGGATCGTACGTACTCTGAGATGTAACAGGTCTTTATCAGCACATCCGGCATTTGCCACCACATAAAATGACTGCTCTCCTGTCCTGGTAACTATGAGATCATCAATTATACCACCACTCTCAGTAGTCAGTACAGACAACATGCCTGTAAGAAGGTATATACAGCTCAAAGCAAAATACCCAAAGGCAAAATTCGGAAGGCCTTTGCAGCTCTACTGTGAATACCTGTGTTGATACTGAGACTACGCAGGTCAGCTACAATCTGAGACTCCAGGAAAGACTCAGCATCTTCTCCACTTACTTCTAGCTGCATGGAAAAACACTGGGTTACTAGCAAATACCCCACACATACAACAGTCCACTACATGGATAGGAGTCTCCATATACACTAGTACAAAAGGTCTGTGAACAGTGTTCGCCTATATACAGCGGAACCTCTGATAAGGGACCCTCCGAGATAGGGATGACATCTTTACAAAGGACACTTGTTTCAACCCCATGCTAACACTTAAGCATGTCATTTGATCTCTGAGATAGGGACGACCTCTCTACAAGGGACAAAATCGTTGACCCCATTGTGTCCCTTGTTTGGAGGTTCAACTGTGCTTGTACATCCAAAAAATTTTCTATGCAAAAAAGGTTGTCATCATAATTTGGTGGAAAGTTGCATGTGAGCCATGCAAAAAAAAAAACACCGAAGTCAATGACCATAGACCATTGTCCTAGACTAACTGCTCATTGGCATAATATTCAACACACTGGTATAATATTCAACTTAGTCCTCCGATACAGGTTCAACACGATAGATACACATTTACAGTTCTCCTCCTAAAAATTGAATTTGTCGTGACCAAGCAAACTAAGTGCGTTCCTATCCCACAGTTCCACTGCAATTCAGCACGTAATGATACACCATTTCCGTCATGCACAATCCCCTAGTTATGATCAAGAGCCCCACACTAATAGTCCCAACATCAATGTTTGGACACAACTGGCAGGCTTCAAGTAGTAAATCACACTTAAATCGCTATGCAATGACATCCGACTTCTCACAAACCAAGTCAGAACATACCACTCTGTTAGGAAACAGATTGGCTTCAAAGGGGCTTCCAGCGGGACTTTAACCTTCGAGAAATGATTCCATGCCAGATGATACATGCAACTCGGCCATATCACAATAATAACTCCGGGTTGTATTCTCGCGATATGCGTACGTACGTACGTCGTCAATTAGTCACGCTTGGGAATGTCAATTAGTCACCAAAAGGAAGTGTAACTTCCGTCATTCGTAGGAAGTCTAGCTTCCGCCATGCGCGCAGATTCGTATATAGGAAGTTTGGCTTTGCAGTTTAGCGTGCAGTCAGTAGAGCGCGCGCACGAGCGGCCTCAGTCGGACTGTTTACGCATTGGCTGGCAGGCGCGAGGCAAAATATGCGCGTGCGCATTCCTAGTATTATTATTATTATACAGACACAAACTATGCAGAATTGACCTACGTAGAAGCAATAGACTCAACTTTTGGCAATGAGATTCTTAGTTAAAAAAATACATGAACTACGCTATTGTTTCCACATTATTCTCCTTTGTTACACAAAACACTCAGAGATAAGCATATAATATGGTTATTACAACTTTCAGTTACACATACATAGCTCGACAGAGAAAGTAAAATGACTGGACCATTCTTCAACAGTAAGTCTCACAATGCACAATGGTTGGAGGATATTCAAAAGGGATTTTGACATTCCAGGCTACCATAGCAAAACTGTGCACTAGCAACCCAGCCCATCAATTAGCGGTACTGTGCATGCGCAGTTCGCCGAGGGTTTACACTTAAGTGCTTTTTCATTTGATCATGAATGAATCATCATCACGTGACCACTCATCCAGAGATATAAGCACCACTAGCACTAAACGTACATGCATAATACTGGAATCTTGTACCTCCAGAATTATACCGCGTTATCTTACACATCGGATGCCCATTGAATAGTGATGGTAGCCTGATTTACTACTTGAAGCCTGCCAAAATCCCTTTTGAATATCCTCCAACCATTGTGCATTGCGAGACCTACTATTGAAAAATGGTCCAGTCATTTTACTACCTCTATGTATGTACGTATAACTGAAAGTTGTAATAACTAATATATATGCTTATCTCTGAGTGTTTTGTGTAACAAAGGAGGATAATGTGGAAACAATAGCGTAGTTCATGTATTTTTTGCACAGACTTTGTCTCTTACTTGCAGCATGTGTGATACGTCAAACAGAGATGCATGCTGACGAGTGTGCAGAGTTGATTGTATGATGCTAAGGTTGCTGTATTGCACTGGCATACTCCATCCAGCAAATTCCACCATTCGAGCCCCTTGAGATACATGGTAATCATGTAGAGCTGTTTTATTCAAATCACCAGCCTGCAATAAGACAATAATTATTCATATCCAGTGTGTGAATAATAGACACACCATAGTATTGTAAAGTCTGGTGCAACGAAGGATGCAATCTCTGGAACCAACAAATCGTTTTAGACAGTTCAGCTGCATTCTGCATTGTAACACCGTTCTTGAACTACTTCCCAGAGACGGGCCGGGGCCGGGGGGTGGCACTAAAAAGGTTTTGTGAGATCACGTGATCGCATTGCTATGGAAACGCAGTTTTGCGATACAAAATGGAGGCCCATAAACATAACCTCTCCCCTTTCGTCGTGCTGGCCGCGATTTGAGGGCAAACGTTGATCAATGGCGAGTGAGACCGTTTCAGACGCGTTCAACGAGGATCAGGTGACTGCTGCTTCACTGTTGCGGGAGTAGACAAGCTACTATCTAGCTAATGTTTTCTACAGGTTGAGCTGGAGGTATTGACCAGAAAACCGGTATGCTTCGCTGTCTTTGGAAAACCGGTATATACATGCCACATAGAATTTATCATTATTTGTGTGGTGGTATGCTTAGGGTGCTGGAAAAACAACTTTAGCAAAGAAGTTGGCTGCAGTATGGAAGTGCCAGTTGATTGATGGTATGATGGTCATTCTTGGGTAGTTTTTCATACACCGTTACTTTATGAAATGGTTAACACAATCATCATCAATCTATTCTTGCATACAGTGTATGTGTGATTATACAATAATGACCAATAAGCATGCTTCTTTTGACAGGATCTGCCACGATTGAACAAGCAATACGTGATAGCACGTCCTTGGGAATCGAGGTATTGTAGAAAGACACCTTAATCTGTTTACCTAATAATGATGTATACATATGCAATGTGGCATAAAACATTAGGCAAAAAGGCGTCTTTTGCAAGGGGAGGAGCTAGATGAATCGTTTGTAATGGATATCATCCTGGATAAATTAAACTCCAAAGAGATCAAACACTATGGTACGTGTACAGAACTGTGTCTGTCAGCATCATTTGAAGGTATGGTTTCATTTAGGATATGTATTGGATGGGATACCAACTTCGAGTACAGACTGGAAGCCAGTACCTAACCAAGTTCAGCTGCTTCAGGAGCTCGATATGCCACCTGATGTCATCATTAACCTCAAGGTGCTGGTTATACATATTCTGTAGCATTTTTGGCACCAAAATCATTGACACAATATTGCAGAGTTCAAATAACAGTGTGTCACAGTAGTCTTAGTAGGGCCATTTTGGGGATACCATGCTGTACAATGTCATAAAATGATGCTATCATCAAACCTGATATTGTGTGTAGATTCCACATCACTAGGGCTATTTAAAAGACCAGAAAATGATTTAGATTCCAGATCAAGATCTAATGAAGTGTCGCATGGAGCAAAAGGTTGATCCTGTGAGCGGAGAGCTGTTCATCCGCAGAGTGTACGATCCACCACCAGTCAGTGGCACAGAAGGTGATGGAGAGGGACAGACAGAGAGCAATGAGGAAGAGGAGGAGGAAGAGGAGGAGGAGAAAGAGAAAAACCAGGAGAGGGATGAATTTGCAGAGGACCTAGTAAGCCAAACACACTTGTTTAATATTGTATTTGCCTACTGTGTAAGCTGAGTTCTTATGTGTTCAGTGCAATTTTAACCTGTTACCAGGTGGAGCTGGACAGCCTACAAAATAGGGCTGTGGAGATAGCAAGCCGGCTGGTTCGAAGACGAGAAGACACAGAGATGACTGTGAAAAATGAAATCAAACATTTTCGAGAGAGTGTTCTACGACATCTAGAAGATTATATCATCCAACATAACCAACAGCATGTCATAGAACTTGATGCTAACCTGACAGCTCAAGAGTTGTTTAGAGTACGTCAATTTACAGTGTGTCATACATTCATAAAACTTTACATTGTAGTATGGCTTTTGGATGTGGTATATGTACATATGCCATCATATTCATCAAGGAATTTTATTATCGTTACTGTTTTAGGCCTTGCTAGTTCGCCTGACTGCACTGGGTGTTCCTCGCACTCCAGCCCCCTGCAGACTAGTAGCTCCAGAGGAGGGAGAAGAGGAAGATAATACTGAAGATCAAGGAGATGTTGATACTGATACTTTCTTGCAGCAAATGGCAGGTACAAAAACTACTTAATGCAGGTTGTAATATATTAATTGATGTTGTCATGGTTCCCACATATTTTGAGGCCTGGATGTGTGAACCCGTGCTCTGGTTTTGTGTACAGGGACAGGGTGTTTGTTGCCGTGGTTCCGGTGGCGAAGGTCTCGCTGGGGCCGTCTGTGTCCTGTGCAGCTGGCAGCTGGTAACATGACTCCTGGTCGCCGAGAATTCTCTGTTGGGTACAAGATGAAATACATCTATTACATATGTACATACGTGGCCCATGCTTTGTTATTATGTATGCACTTATAACTGACTGTGTGGTATTAATATCTTTCAGGTTTCTAGATAAGGTCTATTGTCTGTCATCATCTGAAGCCCTGGTCCAGTTCACTCGCAATCCTCGAGCCTACTTGCTTCCTCCGCAGCCTCGTATCCCCTGCAAAGTGTGCATCATTGGCCCTCCAACTTCTGGAAAGACTTCACTTGCTGAGATGATTGCTCAACACTATAACGCTACAGTAAATTCTCAATGTGTAACTTATATAGGATGGGGCAATGCCCACCCCCAGTTAGTCGTTTGGCTAATGCTCGTATGTTATACTGTAACAAACTGCAAACTAACACTTTGTTGTCTTTATACAGGTATTGGACATGGCAGTGTTGCTAGAGCCAGTTGTAGCAGAGGCCAAGGAGGCTGTAGTACGGGAAGCGAGAGAAGAAGCCAAATCATCTACCATTGACACACTCACACAGGAGCTTACACAGCAACAAACAGGTGCTTATATTTTCAGCATTTGCATGTGTTAACACCTGACATACAAGCCTTTCAGAGATGGTTTACTCCACTCCTCCACAGAAGAGCCCCCTGTACCAGTGTCAGCTTATGATCCCAGGGTAGAACAGGCTGTGAAAGAGGCGGAGAACAAAGCTTGTGATTCCAATCTCACTATAACGGTTGAGATGCAAACCAAGGCACTTAGGAATGGAATTCAAGCTGCTGAGCAGAAAAGGAGGGAGGCAGACCCTACTGGACCCCTGTAATTATAGTGTGTGTATGAGCATTGCAGCCGATGGTTTGCATGCTTCTTATTATAACATCCACAGCCATGGAGGATGGATTGTGGATGGATTTCCGATGAGCAGGGATCACTGGGCTGCTATGACTGATCAAAAACTACTGCCTGATTGTGTTTTTGTGTTGACTGATGAGGAAGCCCCTGCCCATCACTTGCTGAGCCGATTTACTCAACAAAAAGGCCTGCCCGACCCATCTACATTTAAAGACAAAGATGCTGAAGCTAAGGATGAGGTATAGTGCATCCAAACTTGTACATAACACACACTTCATGTTTATTCCCAGGCATCTCCAGGGACTAAAGTACCAGAGGCTGTTGGTGACTGGGAGAAGGAGAGAGGGGAGTACCAGAGACAACTAGGTCCTCTGATGGCGGCTATGAAAGGTTCAGCCATTGAACCCCTCTCCTTGGATTGCACTAAGACAGCTGCTGAACTAAAAAATACGGCTATAACTCAAATGGAAAGTAAGTTCAAAGTATAAATTTAAAATCCTGCTAATCTTTAAAAAAGAGGCATAATAGGGATGGTGTAAAAATATAGAGAGACATGATAGGGATGTTGATACATACACATGAAACATGGTTGATGAACAGATTTGAGCATGCTGACACAATCCCTATACATACATAGTCTACAAGTAAATTAAAAATCCTGCGAATTTAAAAAAAAAGGCATATAGGGATGGTATAAAAAGAAAGGGAGACAAGATAGGGATTGGATACATGAAGCATGGTTAATGAACAGATTTGAGTACGCTGACACCCCCATGCCCATCACACCATCCCTATATTGTTGCCTGCTGTGCTACTCTTAAAGGTTACTAAAAGCAAGCATATTCTTTCACCATGTCCTTGTTGTTTTTAGTAACATTTATACTGCCACATTCCCTTTAATTAAACTCCACTTGGACTCTATAATGGTGTTTGTTACTCAGTAAGTAGTGCATTGTGAAGTTCTGAGTATTGTAATGGTGAATGTTTAATACTTCACCAAGGCAACAATATAGGGATGGTGTGATGGGCTTGGGGGTGTCAGCGTACTCAAATCTGTTCATTAACCATGCTTCATGTATCCAATCCCTATCTTGTCTCCCTTTCTTTTTATACCATCCCTATATGCCTCTTTTTTTAAATTCGCAGGATTTTTAATTTACTTGTCTCCACTCATTTTTTATACTACTACGTATTATCTCTGTGGAAGGGTGCAAGCCCCTATAAAAATTAATAATAGAGAAAAAATGCCTGTTGTCGTGATGGAAATGATATGCATACCATGTTTCACCTCCATGTGTGCTGGTTGGAGCAGTGAAGAAGTAATTTTAAAGAAAAGTGCCTGAGGCTATTTGTTGTTGTGGTCGTCATGGAAACCATGTTACACACATGCGTACCAAGTTCATCTCCATGCGTGGTACCGTTAGCGAGTTTGAGGAGTGAAGAAGTAATTTTGAAGAAAAGTGCCTCAGGTTATTTTGTTGTTGTGGTCGTCATGGAAACGATGTAATACACATGCGTACCAAGTTTCACCTCCATGCGTGCTACAGTTAGCAAATTTTTAGGAGTGAAGAAGTAATTTTAAAGAAAAGAGCCTGAGGCTATTTGTTGTTGTGGTCGTCATGGAAACGATGTAATACACATGCGCACCAAGTTTCATCTCTATGTGTGGTACAGTTAGCAAATTTTTAGGAGTGAAGAAGTAATTTTAAAGAAAAGAGCCTGAGGCTATTTGTTGTTGTGGTCGTCATGGAACCGATGTCATACACATGCGCACCAAGTTTCATCTCTATGTGTGGTACCGTTAGCGAGTTTGAGGAGTGAAGAAGTAAATTTAAAGTAAAGTGCCTGAGGCTACTTTGTGTTGTGGTTGTCATGGAAACAGTTTAATACATAATGTGTATCAAGTTTCACCTCCGTACATGCTACAGTTAGCAAGTTTGAGGAGTGAAGAAGTATGTATAAAGATAATCGTCTGAGGTTTCTTCAAACAGTGTGCGGTCGTCATGGAAACATGTAGTTGTCATGGAAATGATATAATAGGCATATGTACCAGGTTTCACCTCCATGCGTGCTATAGTTAGCGAGTTTGCGGAGTGAAGAAGTAATTCAGATTTGAGTACGCTGACACCCCCAATTGTTTACAGTAAACAACATTGTTTACAAACAAAAAAGTATGACGTTGCACATGTGGTTATCAATATGTACATTCCTACAAAATTTCATGGCTTTATCTCTTTCGGTTTTTGAGTTACGCTGGTTTAAGAAGAAGAAGAAGAAGAAGAAGATGATGATGAACAAAACTCCCTATCATAGCCCCATACATCTATGATGCTAGGTACCATGTCAATCCCTATATACTAAGTACTACCGTACTTAGTGATATTGCTGCCTGGTGTGCTACTCTTATAGGGAATGTGGCATTTTATAAGGGCTAAAAGCAAGCATTCTTTCACCTTGTCACTGTTGTTTTTAGTAATATTTCTACTTTTATACTGCCACATTCCCTTTAATTAAACTCCACTTGGACTCTATAACAGTCAGTAGCATGACGTTTTTAGTTCTGATGCTTCATGTATCCCATCCCTATCTTGTCTCCCTTTCTTTTTATACCATCCCTATTGTGCAGGATTTTTACTTTACTTGTCTCCATCATTTTTATATACTACTACGTGTTATCTCTGTGAAAGGGGGCAATCCCCGTATAAAAAGTAATAATATAATAGAGAAAATGCATGTTGTCGTCATGGAAATGATGTACAATATGCATGTGTACCAAGTTTCATCTCCCATGTGTGCTGCAGTTAGCAAGTTTGAGGAGTGAGTTTTTTAAAGAAAATTACCTGTGGCTATTTGTTGTTGTGGTTGTCATGGAGACGATGTAATACACATGTAACAATAGACCATGTGATGCACACCATAGTTTCACCTCCATGCATGCTACAGTTAGCAAGTTTAATTAAGGAGTGAAGAAGTACGAAAAGAAAATTGCCTGAGGCTTTTTCAAAAAAATATGCGTCGTCATAGGAACATGTAATTGTCATGGAAATGATATAATAGGCATACACACTAAGTTTCATCTCTATGCGTGCTACCATTGGAAAGTTTCAGATGTGAAGAGAAGAAAAGTGCCTGAAGCTGTTTGTTGTTATTTACAAACATGTATTGTTGTGATTTTGATGTTGGCTATACGTGTGAAACGTCCTATTCTTTTGTTTGTAAACAATGTTGTTTACTGTAAACAACAACAAAATTGCCCCAGGCAATACATTATAATGGCATGCTACATATGCCAGTGCAACTCACAGTTAGTAAAGAGCTATGTGAACGAAAGTTTGTATACATAACGTTTTCAATAGCTATGGATATGTACATTCCTGCAAATTTTTTGGCTTCATCTTTTTCGGTTTTTGAGTTATGCTGGTTGAAGAAGAAGAAGAAGAAGATGATGAACAAAACTCTCTATCATAGCCCCATACATCTATGGTGCTACGTAGGTACCATGCCAATCCCTATCACTAAGTACGGTAGCTGTGCATCATACACTCGTACTTCGCAACAATATAGGGCTTGAGTGGAGGAAATTTCAAACGAGCAAGCGATGTCTGTTCAAAGTATGTAGCCATCATCCATTGTACTACTGTATCATGTTCACTAAGTCATCCCTGTCTTGTCTCCTTGCTTTTTATGGCATCCCTATATTCCAAACTTTTTTAATTCGAAGACTTTTTCATTTGCTTGTCTCCTTTCCTTTTTTTTACTGCATTCACATGCATGGTGTGCAATAAAAATGGGATACCTTAAGGTTACTGCGGGTACTAATTTTAGCGAATTTAGCAGGAATCAGCAAAACTGCTAAATTATATGCGCGCTAATAATTGTGCCGCAATGAAAATATAGGTTATACTGTGCGTCAATGGAAATACGCGATTTAGACGGCACGAGGGGCCCTGAGCTGTAGCTGTCTGAGCGCAGCGAAGACGCTACTAAGGGCTCTGAGGCCGTCTAAATCGCAGCGCAGTATAACCAGTGTAGGCAACCAATATAGGGATGTGTGTGATGGGGTCGGGGGGTGTCAGTGTGCTCAAATCTGTTCTTTAACCACGCTTCATGTATCCCATCCCTATCTTGTCTCCTTTTCTTTTTATACCATCCCTATATGCCTCTTTTTTTAAATTCGCTGCATTTTTTATTTACTTGTATACTAAGTACTACCGTACTTAGTGATGAGGCAGACATTGATATGGAACACATACAATTGTAATAATTATCGCATCTTTATTCTAGGTGTGTTTGAGTACCAGCCAGCGGAGTATGATGCAGGAGATGAAGAGGCAGAAATGGATGAGGATCCTCTCCTGGAAACTGGTGATTATTTTTGTTGTTATGCACATCAGACAGGGTTCTGCAATTTTTGTTGAGGGCAGGGTAATTGCCTTTGTGCAGCACCCAAATCAAGCATGCATATAAAATGGATGGGATAGCTTGTGTAATAGGCTTGAACTGCATGTTGTATACTCTGTGTATACGTTTGTTACTACATGGCATAAAGATGCAGGTGATGATGATGAAGAAGGAAAAGCAGAGGAGGAGGGGAGTGAAGGTTCTTCAAAGAAGAAAAAGCCGTGGGGTGACAGTTCCTTCTACTGCCCAGTTTCTCTGAAGGAGCAAGGTGTACTCTGGCCTGGCAGTGAACAATATGCTCTCAGGTGAATATAATAATATGCACTCATTTGCTAGACTCTTTGTTCACCGTAATCTTTTGTAAAGGTATCGTGAGCGACTCTTCTACTTCAGCAGCGAGGAGGCAAAAACAAAGTTTGCTGCCAAAGCCTCTAACTACCTTGCTACTGACAACCCCCTTGAAGTATAGCAATACAAGTATATGCACATTACGTACAATATAAACAGCAACGAGGTCACAAGGCGGGCGCATCAAGCTGTGTATAAACTGAATTTGTTTGTTATGCGTAGTACTGCGCTGGTGATGGTACATGTAGCTCTTTTGTCAAAGATTGAACCCAATTCAGGTATCCATGGTACGTAGCACGCACTAGCTCATAAATTTATGTCAACTTGTATGTTATTATGACTCAAAACTATTTCGACTAAACACAGACACCCCCACTGCGAATATTCCTTCTGGGAGCGCGGGGCAGTGGGAGGACAGAGGTGGGGCGACAAGTGGCCAGCTCGCTAGGAGTTTTCCACTTGGCTCTGAGGGATTACTTGCAGGAACAGCTGCTGTCCAAGATGAAACGCCCCCCATTAGTACATGAGGATGAGTGGGACCCGGGAGATGAGGGAGAGAAGACAGAGGAGGAGGAACAAGAAGAAGGTATGTACATATGTAGGTATTCGGTGTGCTACCTTCGTGTATAATGTATAGTTGGTTTAGGGGAGGATCTGGATGAAGATGTTCGTGTAGCACTGACTGAGGAGGAGAGAGAACTGCGGGCTTATCTTCTGCATGGCGAGGCTCTTTCAGAGGATTCCATGGACAACTACACTGCTCAGTTCTGGGATACAGAGCCTTACAAGTTAGTGTGGGAATTGTAAGTGAGGTCGGAAGTGAATTCAGCTAAATGTTTCTTCAAGACTTTCCCTTCTGGGTCATGGGGCTTGCATTATTGGGTCCAACTCAGTGGCGGATCTAGGGTTATGAATGGGGGGTTAGGCCGGTGACGCATGCACACAAAACGACAAAATGTGGGGTCCGCGGAACCCACGGAACTCCCCTGGATTCGCCACTCCAACTCTACGTGTAAATTTCATACAGGTCTACCGGGTTTATAATGGAAGGGTTCCCAGCAACAGCTGATGAGCTGGAGTACATGACATCCAGAGGCCGATTCCCAGATATGGCAGTCATAATGCAGGTATTGTGTATCAGTGCATTTTGAATGGAAACTAAAAAACTTTCTTACTTTTTTGACTCCTACTGTAGACTCCATTAATCCTATAATTATGATTGAACACTGCACAGGTTGAAGCAAATGACATAGTGAGAAGGTTGCTTGAAGCAAGATTCACTGTGTGGAAGAGAAAGAAGGACAGACAGCTGGATAAGAGAAACAAGGCAAAAGAGAAGAAGATAAAGGAGTGGGTGAGTGTGATGCAATAGAGAGAGTTTGTTTACTGTCATTATATAACACATATTGTTGACATGCAGGAGGAGGATAAAGAGAGGAGAAAAAACGAGTTAATAGCAGAGTATCAGGCCAAGGTTGCAGCCAGGAAGGAGAGAAAAACATCCAGTCACAAAGAAGATAATGGTACGCTTTACATTGTATGTACAATGTTAGTGGGTGAAAACACAGCTGCTGAGTTGATGTAGAAATTATTTACTGTAGAATACCTGGTCATTTCACAAAAAACCTTCCTTTCTCTTTAGTGAGTAATATAAGCACGTACAAGTGCTGGCACGGACAGCGCCTTCTTCACCAGGTTACCTCAGATTATTATAATTCCGCACATCTACTATTTGTGGCGAGGGATAGCAAACAACTGTTGCAGGACAGGGTTGCTGGCTTTAAGTACCTAGCTACCATCAACATGGAGACATTTTCATACACTCTCTCACAATAATACGAGTCCCTGCATGCATTCTTGCTGTAATTCCGGCCACATGTGTACTTTGTTTAGAAAACCTATTAAGGAAAAACTGACAATAGTAATTGGCAAGTCAAGTGAGCCCACCTAAACATCTGAATGCAGGATATGTTGTGTCCTACACTGCCGCACTGCACATACTGTAACGTTACATCATTCTAAATACGAGCGAAACATGTCAGAAAACTGAACTGCTCACTTCGTTCTAGTGTTAGTATGTATGTGTGTACCTCATTAAATAGGGGATGAAGAGGATGAGGATGAGGAAGGAGAGGAAGAACAGGCAGAATTTGAGGAGCAGTTGGCTGAGCTTGAAGCAGGAGAGATGGAGGAAGAGGAAGAGGAAGAAGAAGTAGAGGAGGATACTGATGCCAGGGAGAGAATGAAAGGAGCTCTCACAGAGAGATTTGAGGAGGAGAATGAGGCAGTGAACTCTTTGCAGGTATGTACACAGAAGACTGCTTAGCTTTATCTCTGCATGGACCCGAATTGGCAGGGATTAAGCTGTTTATTACTCTCACCTGTGTAGGGCTCATGCATTTTATTTATTGCAGGATACATTTGCCGAGCTACAGATCCCCTGCACTGTGATAAATGCATCAAGGAAGGTCCCAGTTGTAGAATTTTCTTTGAAAAGGGCACTGAAGCAGTTTACAACGGATAGAGCTGGACTGCTCAGAAAATGTACACCTATTGACCTGGCCATGGCAACGAAGCTATTAGACCATGGCTACAAGCAAACCAGTAAATTTAAGAAGTGGTGCCCAATTGAGGTATGTATGTATGTTAACATTTATATGTGAAGATTACATTGGTACACCTAACCTGTCCACGTTGACAAGTTGTTATAGTATAAGGATAGCCACATAACCCTATGAATTAAATCTACTAACACTAGTCAGAAAAACCTTTTTGGCCAAACGTTTAATCGTCTGCTCTGCCGTCCTCGTCAGTGGCAAAAGTACAAAAAGTAGGCAATGGCTGGTTTTTAAGGCATGAGAGACAAGAATGAAAATTAAAATCCAATTTAAATAAGAGAGAAAAGCAAGAGGCAAGAATGAAAAAGAAATAGCAAGGTAGCTAGGTTTACAAAGGGCAAAATAGAATAGGTCGTAAATGAACAAACGTTTGGGCAAAAATATTTCCGACTAGTAACTCATAAGAGTATGCAGTATCCTAGTCAACCAAGTATACTTACAATTTAGTCGACACTACTTTATTGCATTGTCACTTACGTAATACTGATGGATGGCCTTCATCTATACCAGAACGTATCAAATGTAAAACACCCACCTGCTTCTAATTTGTGTGCACCACATACTTGCTGTTCTGCATGAGGGAATCTTCACAGGCAGAAATATATAGACTATCAATAGCTGGAGGTCCGAGTGGGGGAAAGAATGAGCTGTGTTTCCTCTCTGCAGTTAGCAAGAAACCCAGGTGCAGTACTGCCACCCCAGCAGAGGGATGAGGAACTCTCTCCAGTTATCTATGGTCCAAGGATCTACTATCTTGCCTCACAAGAAGCTAGAGACTGCTTCATGGCCAACCCAGAGAAATATACCAGTGGACCTTCCCCTGGACCTGCTGTCCCCATAAGACTGGCTTTGGTGGGTCCTCCCAAGTCTGGAAAAACAACAGGTACACAAAAGAGTTATTAACCTCGAAAATTGTAGCTACATAATATGTTTATATCGGTGTTATAATTGTTGCTATGCCTGTATTATATGCACTGTTCTAATGTGCAGTTGCTGAAAACCTTTGTAGAAAGTATGGGTGCCTACGACTATCAATTGGAGAGGCAATGAGGAGGGTGATAGCCCAGTTCCCTCACTCAGAGCTGACTTGTCAGTTGCAGGCCCACTTGCAGGCTGGCGACACTGTGCCTGATGAACTCTGCGTCCTTGCTCTCGACTGTTCCCTCCTTGATGTACAGTGCACTACGAGAGGGTAAAAGCACATGCGGACTCCACAATGCACCTGTTACTAACATCGGAACTGGCCACTTGTGTAAACAGTGTCATTCCCTTTTCTGGGTGCATGCACCTTTTGAGAGGTGTGCATGATTAGTATCCTGTACATCACTGCCAGCATTGTTATATAGCAGTGACAAAGTGTGCAAACCTGAATAATCTGCAGCTATGTTCTGGATGGATGGCCATTGACCAAGACTCAGCTTGACCTCCTCACCAAGCACAGAATTATCCCTGTCATCATAGTGGAAATGCAAATCTCAAAAGATGAAATGCTAAGAAGGGCACAGGCGGAGAAAGTTTCCATTGACAGGTTTGAGCAAATGAGAGATCTAACATGAGTGATTTGATGATCAAACGGTAGCCGGTGTAGATGTACAATACATACGTACAGGTCAGTTCATGCATGCATCATCTGTTTTTTTTTCTTTTCAGAGATTATCCTGTACATGATAGTGCCAACATTCTCTTAGTGAGATCAAATAAGTACCAGAAGCAAATGGAGAGAGTGAGAGAGTGGTACTGCACTCAGCATCACAACTGGCTCCAAGTGAATGGGGAGCACTCTCAGTGGTGGGTGTGGGAAGAAGTCAAGAAGTTAGCAGTTACTTCAGCCCACCAAATTCAGCTCTACCTATCCAGGATCACTTCAGGTTTGAAATAGCCCTGCATACATTGTATGTAAAATTTGTCGCTATGTATGTATTTGCTTTACATGAAAAGACAGGAATTATCACTGAATGAGTCTCAGGTGATATTCCCCGTCATGCAGCATGCAATGCACACACATAGGGTATCAACACGACCCCCAATCTCTGCTTTCTCATAAGGCAGAGTACTGTTGTTTGCAACTTGCCAGGTTTAATGCCATCCTATCTAAGTGAGGATTTCTATCCAGGGATCCATCCACCATGAATTACACTTTTATAGATGGCAAAGAGCGCATGAATGTATCCTCCACGTTATATCATGTGCTCATGAGATGGCTCATAGATTATTGTGGTTAATAATGATGATAGGTCATGCAGCAGCTCTGCAAGGACTGTGCATCACACCTACTGAATTTTCCAAACGTCTTGGAGAATGCTCTCATTATTGCCCAGTCAGCATGGCGCAGAATGTGTTGGTTGACTGCTCGAAGAAACTAACACTGCAGTATGCAGCTGAATTCAGGTACAAGTAGATACACAAGAACATGCAAGGGAAAACCTTCATTTTGCAACACTTGTAGCACTTGATGTGTTGAAATCACATACGTAATTTGACTAGGGGACTATACTACAAGATGTCAGGGCAGTCAGAGCTAGATGCCTTCCTTCAAGATCCCGAGCAGTATGTGTCTCCTGCAGCACCACACTCCCTACCACCACCTCACTTGCTGCCTGTAAGACGGTCAGAGTCTGAGGTGAAGGCGATGTTCCCAAAAAGCTTTGAGATTCAAGGGATTTGCCCTGTTACATATGTTGAAGGGGAAAAGAGGTGTGTATGAGTATAATTGCCTTGCTCTTCTTCAGCATTTTGTTCACACAGATATGAGAGTTTGGTTCCAGGAAAATCTAGCTTTGCTGCAGAATACAAAAATAAACTTTTCTGTTTTGCATCAGAGAGAAATTTAGATCACTTCATGCGGTGAGCTCTACTGAAGTTTTTCTACAACAAGTCATGGTTCAATTTCCATTACCTGTACACGTAAAGCACAGTACAGCTGATCCAATAAACCACTCATTTGAGGCACGTCAATTAAACCAGCGCTATAAGCAATTTACCCAACGTGGCATGCATGACAGTAAAAATAGACATTGATTCCTTATTACAGGCGACCACACTACTATGAGATTACAAGCCTACCTGCAAAGCTGCCTCCTCCTCAAATGCCAATGCCTGTAACCTCACTTCCTATGCTTGGCTACCTCGAACAGTCTGCTGCAATCTCAGTCATCAATGCTCTCAGTGCTGTGGGCTACTGTAAACCAAAGTACCCTTTCGTTGATCCCACCAAGAGTGCTCTTGCCTACCTTGCCTACCACCTCAAAGGTAAGGATAAACTCATTAAATTGGATGGACTATTTCCATCTGAGAAGTGTGACTCCTTATATGATTGTATGTAATGATAGTTCTGGTGGGTGCAGTTACATAATAATATGTCTGGTGTCATTCTTGCAGCGTACAATCCGAAGTCAAGTGACTACATTCGCAAGAAGTACAAAAAGAAGCTGGCCAACTTTGAGGAAAAGTGTGGTCTGATTCCATACCTCAGCTCCAGTATGAAAAGAGGGTATCAAGAGCCACTCATGAGGCCTATTGACTTTGATCACAAGATTGACAGATTTCTGGGGTTAAAACAATGCATTTAGTAATTAATGTGCATTGGAGATACACTATTATTGTGACATTCACAGATAGTCAAGTGTTGTCAAATCTGTACACTTGTATTAGATAACGTAGGAACGAACCAATGTGTGGTATGCCAACTATAATTTTGTCCAGCTGCTCACACACACACAAAAAACACAAAACAACAAAATTTATAAACTGTCTGTAACACTTGTATTTTCAGCTGATCCTGGTTGCTTACTGCCTTTAACGATCTCTTCCTGAGCCTGTTGCCTGGCTGTCTCAGTTTCAGCAGATGAATCAGACTGAGAGTGTGGCTCAGTGACCTGAGCTGCAGTGAGATGAGATAGTACCCACTCCTTTATCAATTCCCTTGCCCTCTCCTGCTCCTTGTCATGTAAAGTTTCATGATGACTGCCCTCAAACACCTAAAACACAGCAGACACAAAGCTATAATAACACTGGTGCTAAAGATCAAAGTTCGAGCATTATATGGCCGGAATGTTCTGTGTACCTCAAATTTCTTTTCTTGGCTAGTGGCATTATCATTGATGAAGTGGGATGCAGTGATGGGAACCAGGTTGTCCTCGCTGCCATGCATAAGCAGCAGGGGAAGAGAGATCCTGGCTGCATTCTCACGGAGCAGAGTAATAGATTCCATCATTGCTGCTCCCCATCCAGCCTTCCATGGACCATGCCAGACCAAGGGATCATTTGCATACCTTTCAACCTGCAGTTATGTACATTCAACACAACTTTGGGATTAATATATCACTAAGTACGGTAGTACTTAGTATATAGGGATGACACAGGTCATCCTGCATTATGTCCATACATTTGAGATTTTCATGTTTCACTTTCAGTTTCAATCAGAGACACATCAGACTGATCCGCATCGTCACAAAGAGCATTCATTTACCCAAGAAATGACTTAAATCGCATAATCGTTACTGATTTATTCAAGAAAGTTAGTTTTCAAAATTATTCTTCTCGTTGTTAATAAAGTGTGCTAACTAGATAAAGCTAATACCCAGAGTGATTAAACTTCGTAACTTCGTACACATGTACAACCCATCATCAGTAACAAAATTTAAACATTACAAGTTTGTAAACAACAACAAACAGCCTTGCAGGCAACAAAAACTTGTAAATGGTGTTTGTGCCTCTAACTTGCTTATGGTTGGTCCTTTAACAATGAAACTTGGTATGCTGGTGTACCATGATAAGAATTCATCGAAACAGAAATTACAAGCTTGTAAACAACAACAAACAGCCTCAGGCAATAAAAACTTGTAAATGGTGTTTGTGCCTATAAGTTACTTGTGGTTGGTCCTCTAACAATGAAACTTGGTACACTGATTCACCATGATAAAGAGTTGATCGAAACAGAAATTACAAGGTTTTAAACAACAACAAACAGCCTCAGGCAAAAAAGACTTTTAAATGGTGTCAGTGCCTATAACTTGCTTATGATGTGTTCTCCCACAATCAAACTTGGTGCACTGACGTAATGTGAATGATGACAAAACGTCTGAGGCAATAGCTTAAAAGGCCACTTTTTTATGGGCTTTTGCCCAAAAATACCCCCTTTTATTGCACACCATGCATGTGATAAAAAAAATGAAAGGAGACAAGTAAATAAAACATTCTAAAGTGTGGAATATAGGGATGCCATAAAAATTAAGGAGACAAGACAGGGATGACCTAGTGAACATGATGCAGTAGTACAATGGATGATGGCTACATACTTTGAACTGACATCGCTTGCTCGTGTATACAATTCCCTCCACACAAGCCCTACGTATATTGTCGCCACGTTTACTGCTTGTTTAGTGAAGCGCGAGCATAATGGTGAAAGGATTCTGTATGTAGATGGCAGCATTGTAAAACTGGTTAGTTGAGCAAATGTAGATTCTTAGACTTACACAATGCAGTAACAACTGAAAACCGAGTATATGGTATTACCTGTCGAATGTGCTTATGAAATAAATCATAGCTGTGCATCATACACTCGTACTTCGCAACAATATAGGGCTTGAGTGGAGGAAATTTTAAATGAGCAAGCGATGTCAGTTCAAAGTATGTAGCCATCATCCATTGTACTACTGCATCATGTTCACTAGGTCATCCCTGTCTTGTCTCCTTACTTTTAATGGCATCCCTATATTCCACACTTTTTTAATTCGAAGAATTTTTTATTTACTTGTAAATGTATCACACAGGTAGGAAACAAACACACATACCTCTTCTGGTATGCTGCTTATGTCATTTGGGTTAAGGTTTCTCAAACCCAGCTGAGGAGCAACATTGCTTAAAAGCTGGACCATTTTTTTCTACAAGGAAAAGCATACGGAAATTACGAAAAGTTGAGCTTTAAACCTGCAAATTACCACACACTTTTTTGATGTGCAACAAACGTAATAATATCCACATAATTATAAGCGCTTCCTACATACATAACAGTGGTATGATTTATTAACCTTCAAATCCATCCGTGTATACACATTTTTGCACTTACCACAATCCAGTAGGAAAATGTCCCTTCCAATTCAGCTGCAGCTGCACTTAAAATTAGGGCTGTGAAGAGATCATGTCTTTGAATAGCCACATGAGCAGCAACAAGACCACCCTTTGTGGAAAATTACAGTTAGAGTTCATAACACTACAAGTAAATCCTGCGAATTTGAGGCATAGAGGAATGGCATAAAAAGAAAGGGAGACACAATAATATTAAAGGGGAATGGGATACATGAAGCATGGTGAACGGTTAAGATAATTATATGGTGAACAAATAGATTTGAGCACGCAGACACCACCGATCCCATCACACAATGTTGCCTGGTGTGGCACTCTCAAACTCAATTTGGACTCTATAATGCTGTTGGTTACTCAGTAGCATGACTTTTTTTGTATTTCCAAGCTATAGGTCCTGACTCACTGTAAATGGTACAGTAAATGTTTAATACTTTACCTAGGCAACAATAATTATAGGGTTAGGGGTGTCAACCTTTCTTTTTATGCCATCCCTACATGCCAATTTGCAGGTTTAACTTGTCTCCACTCATTTTAATAACACTACACACTGAACATAAACCTACCATCGAATGTCCCAACAGTATACAAGGAAGTGCAGGGTATCTTTTTCTCATCAACTCAATGTGAGCGATAACATCTTGAACATAAGTATCTATGTCCTCCACGTGTACTCTGTCTCCCTCACTTTGACCATTGCCAACTAAATGAAATAGCAATAGCTAATAATCCCAGTATGGTGAACATCACTTGTTACCGTGGTCATGTCCAAAGACAAGCACTCCACTATGAGTCAGGTGGCAACCTAGCTCGTCATACCGACCCATGTACTCCCCGACTCCATGACACACACACAGTAAGGCTCTGAAAAAATATTATTAGTCGCGAGCCAGACCCCCACGAGACTGGCATGCGAGACTAGCTCACTTTGGATCCCCAGTAGGCTTCCAAACAGTAGGATGAAGTTTTAGGCCTCTCCAGACACTCCTTAGCGAAGAAGTTTGCGTGTCAGCCGGGCTCAGTTTCTGTTCGTTCTCCATGATCGACCATTCGACGACACGCCCTCCCGTCCCAGGAGAGTCGGGGGGCGTATGTATACACACGTAGGTAGTTATTGTTCGGGCGTGGTCGTCGCATGTGACGGTCATGTGATCTAACTTACCTAAAACTAGAACGCACGGCAGCCAGGACTCGAGTGTGTGTGGGACATGTCTGGCTACTCAGAGCAGATCCCGGACCGGGAGAAGGTATTTTAAAGCAGCAGTAACAATTTATATTGTCGGGTATGCGTAGAAAATTCTCAAACAAGCTCGTGGTACAAAACGAGCTATAATGTGGATGTGGGAGTGATCCTTGGATATTATCGCCCGATCAGTGTATGTTGTTCTCGACTTGAGTTCGTCTATGTTGCTTTTCCAACAGGTACAGAATGAAATTTCGTTTTTACGTGGTATAGTGTGTTTTTATGTATAATTCATAGCATAGGTAGATAGATAGATACATAGATAGATAGAGAAATAAATAAAAACCGCCACCAACATATACAGTGGGACCTCCAATAACGAACTCCCCCAGTAGCGAAAATCTCTCTATAATGAGAAATTATTTCTATGTACCAACTGACTTTACCATTATTGTATGTACAATACAAACCTCCCTATAGCGAACCTCTCAGCTACAAAATAACATAACCACAGCGCTGTCCCACGTACAAATATAATGCTTCTATATAACGGAAAGTGGGCGTAGCCTACACGTTACGTAACATCACACGCACGCACGCTATACTTTTACTTCTTTTAGGACAACTTCAACTATAATAGTTATAGCTCAACTAGATTAGTCCATGAGCACGAAGAGAAGAGAGGAACTCTTGAAGTATCCTGATGTAAGGTTCTGGTCCATAAAACCTGTAGTAACAGGGAACTTCAAGTCCTGAAGGATGTGCAAGCTTTTCTTGAAAGTCGAATGAAGCGGGTGATACTAGCTCTTTAATCGATCGTGTTGCTCTGTTATCCACTATCAACAGAAGGCAGAGTACTTTAGAGAACTTCCTTAGTGCTGAAAACTAAACTTGTGTCTTCAATGTGTGGTTTTTATTCAAAATATTGATACCTCTCAATAAAGAAAACCTCCGAATAATGGGGGAAAAATTGCTGTCCCAATATTTTCATTATTCGGAGGTCCCACTGTATACACAAACCCAAAAATATCCATACAAAACACACATACACAAATACACATGACATGACATGAGAGGGTGCCCAGCCTTGAGAACCGGGACGGTGGGTAAAGAGTCTTTTATGGCTAGCCAACTCTCCCCACACACCCAGTATCCAAACTCCACATCACAAACAATGACAGCCACACAGTGAGTAACTGTACGATAGCACAGTCACGACAACACATGTAGAGTATGATACATATAAATATATACACAAACATAAAATGGTAGAATCTAGCTTACTTACTGGAGTGGTAAAAACAAGGTAGAATGGTAAAAACAAGGTAGAATGACTCACTTGTAGCAGTAAAAACATAGTAGAAAAATATAGAATGACTTACTTGTAGCGGTAAAAACGTGGTAGAAAATTAAAATCTTGAATAAAACGACTTACTTATGCAGTAAAAAGGTGCACTATCGTGGTTCCTATTAGTGCCGCCCCACGTAGTGTACATAGTAAATTATGCAGTAGTCAACGTGAAGCTTATGTCTGACAACTGTGTGTATGTATGTGTGTGTTTGATTGGCCCCATCAGAGATTTTAGGACGCTGTGAAGCCCCTTTATAGCACCGTGTAATTTTTTGTGCTGCCACCAGACTTTGTACCTTGCAGAAATGTCCACATCTTAATCAAAGTGGTCAGCGTTCGAACGTGACTTGCTCAAGAAGGCCTTGATTCAATGTTGATTCTTGCCTTAGCTGTCTCTCCAGGTGACGTTAATGCCAGTAACAAGTGGTGGCATTGCGGCAACTAAAAGGTTAAATCTAGCTGTGCGACCATGTGCGTAAAGATATTATAACGTGAAATGCCATAGAGCTAAGCTACATGCTATTTTGCATGGGTTAAAACTCATAGAAAGGTAAAAGAGGCTTGTGCAGAAGAGTTCCCTCCTAACAATAATGAAAATGCCCTAAACCTGTGTCGAAGTGTCTGTAGTATATATTGCGTGCAATGATCACCAAATGTGAGGATACCTAAACGAGAGATTAAGGATGTATGAATGAGGTTAAATATGGTCAGGCCTAACAGTAGCATTAAATTGAAACTCTCAACTGATGGACAGACATCAATGTCTTTCATAGTTGAAATTCCCTCCTGCCCAGACATACATGCAGTGCTTCCTTCGGGAGCAGCCTTTGTATATCACCTGGCATTGTATAACAGCAAGTGTTGTTCGGTCTGGTCCCAATAGACAGCAATGTGTATAATTGAAACCATGTATTTGATCGAGATTTGGTTAATATTCCACTTACCATTGACAATAGTTTGGATATTAAACCCTCAGCATGCATGTGCAGCGAGGGTTGCAGTACTCGGTCTGTGTGTCTGTCCGGCGCTATTCTCGCCCCATATACAGGCTACGAGGCGGCCTAAAAGCGATAACAACTGCTACGCGAACCAAAAAAATAAAATGGTGATTTTCCTTGAGCGAGTGTTTAAGAGATATGCCGTGAAAACAAGCGAAAAGGCCAATATGCATAATTTTACTGGCTTACCTCTTCTCTTCTTGACCTGCCTGCTCTGTGTTCCTTGGAGACACAAGAAGTCACAACGAAGGGTGTGCATCGGACTCCCACATGCTCTCTACTAGTGTAGCTAGCCCTTGTCAGACTCTCTGCGAGCTACTAGCGGGAGATCACGAGTATACGTGTACTCATAGCCCAGCCCATCAATTAGCTGTGCCACGCATGCGCTGTGCGCCGAGGATTTGCACCATTGCTTTTCATTGCCCCCTAGTAGTCATAAACCTAATTTCCGACTGTTTACATTGCCCATATACGGTCACATCTGGATGTGTATGTAATCTTTGCCATTGTACACATAACTTTAAGACCCAAGGAAACAATATGGCTTACTGGAAAGCCGGCTAATGAAGGGGATCAACCACTAACAACGTTACATTCCTTAACTCTTGCATTCATCCATGCAGCTCCAGGAATGTAATATGTACGTACATACAATTTCAGTGTATAGCTATTTGCGCAGCATGTGGTGGTGCTAGGGGTGCCTGTTTAAGAGATAAAAAAATTAACAGTTTTGGTAGGAAACCCCCTTAAGTGGGCCTGGGGTCGGTGCTAATAGTGTCGCATAAGATCTAGAGCACTAAATCTAAATTGGATAATTATCATAATTCATAAAGGGTTTTATGCACTGTAGATACGAATCATATCTAACTTCATCAAAAGTGCACCTCCTGGAGAATTCAATGAAGTATTCAATGGTAAGTGCTGTGTATATATACCATACTTTTTTTGTACCCGCTCTGTTGTATAACATGGGCCACCCTTCTTGAAGAAATTAGTTTTACAATCTGACCACTGTGTATAGCAAGCACCTTGTATAATGAAAAGCACTGAAGTGCAAACCCTCGGCGCACTGTGACGCGCACGCGTAAGTAAACGCATGCGCCGTACCACTAATTGATGGGCTGGGTTTAGTTTTAGCTGTTACTCGTGGTCTCTTGCCAGCTCGCGCAGAGTCTGACACGGGCTAACTACACTACTAGATAGCATGCGAGAGGCGATACACGCCCTGCGTTGCATCTTCTGGTCGAGGTACATACGCAGAGCACGCGGATCGATCAGACCGCGGTAAGCCATCCCGTCCGTTGCGTATTTGCATATTGGCTTTTTCGCGCTCTAGCTTTGCAACGGAGCATTTTCAGAGAAAAGCGCACATATTTCTGACCTTCATTGCCCGTTGGGTAGGTCGTATGGTTTGTGAAACGAACAAACACTCGAGAAGTGAGATGTAGACTAACAGACACACAGACACAGACCCAACTACTGTAACCCTCGCTGCGCATGCGCGCCGAGGGTTAATAATACCCTACTAGTGCCAGGAACTATGAGAGCAATGTCCCCAAGTAAGTGTGTCCTGTAATGCCATGTTAACCTGTGAACCTGAAATGGCAGTTTGTGCTCTATTTGACGGTGTCATATGACGGTGTCATATTACGCGTTTCGTAGGTTGTTCATCTTGTTGCTCTTTGCCAAGTTCCACAATCCCTAGTGGTCACATTTGTAGGGAAAGCAACTCACTTTGTTACTTTGGGGGTTGTATATACTTTAGTGCTTTTTTTAGAAATTTGTTTTGTGATGTGCACTATATAGATGTGAGGGTGCTCTTGGACAATGATCAACTCCTGAAGGAGGGAGCATCAAGGTACTGATGCAGTATTATGTCTAAGCATTGCTGTGTGTATATCCTTGCCATTTGTTTCACAGTGCATTTTCCCAGTATAACATGGAGCAATTTACTCCAGCTAAAGTCAACGATGATACGGTAAATTTGATGACACAGTAATAAAAATGTACTTAGATAACTGTAGCATGTTGGTGATTTTGAGTCAAGATTGAGAAGTTCTGTAGCTCGCGTGTGTGGTGTGTGAGGCACTCTTGACATAGCACCGATGACTATTATGCTCCTGACTAAAGCAGGGTTAACTTCCACTCAATAAAAAAGAAAAGAACTCCTTGGTAATTTCAGCTGAACATCCAATGATTTGCCATTCGGCAGTTATCTGGTCACGTTTTTGTGGAAAGGTATTTTACCTTTGTTGTCTTCTAGGTTCTGGTAACCACTCATGGCCAAGCAGAGGGCTCAAAGTATCTTGACCCAAGAAACAAACTGAAATTCAAGTATGACCACCTTCGCAAGGCAAGTATAGCAAATCTACTGTTTTGATCTGTGTTCCCATTAGGCAATATGCAGTGATCTCTGTCAGTATTACCAGGGCCCATTTTGATTTAACTTTTGAAGTTTACTGTACAAGAATGATGCTGCAATGCTCTAAATGAAAGTGTTTGCAAGCAATAGTACAAACCTATATGTATATTTCTTTAAAACAGGAGGCCAGTGAAGCATCCTCAGCTACAGTTGATGACCATGCAGAGCCATTTCGAGCAGCGCTAGATAAGTATGTGCAGGGATATGTGAAAGACCACTACCCCAATGGGATTGTGACGGTAAGTCAATTCCCTTTTAACACAAGATATATATCCGATGTATTCTTTCTGTATTGTGTTTCTCTGTCTATGTTGCTCTTCTTTTGCCAATGTGGTGGCAACTGTATATACTAAGGAATGCAACCGATTTTTTGTGCACTGAGGAAGCATAAGAAATTACACGAAGGGCATGTGTAGTTAGCCACAACATTTGCTGCTAATGTAGATGTATATGAGAGCAAAAGAATGGTAGTTTGGTGTGGCGTGCCACTTTCAATGTATGTAGGCATATTAATTGGCAAGCGAAGCGAGCCCACTTAGTTGTCTAAATGAAGAATTTTTTTGTAATGTACGGGCACTGTCGCATACCGTTGCATTCCTCTAGTTATGAATGTATATACATACTACTCACGTGTGCTGCCAGAGGCTCTAGTAATTCAACCTAGTAGAACCTCTAAAAGCACCTGATTTCTACGTTTAGTCAGTTAGCACTATACTCCCTCTTAAAACCTATGTAAAAACGAACTGTACGTACATGGAAAGAAAAGACTGTGTATGATGGCATAATATTCTCTTGCAACTTGTTGCTGCAATTAGAAGGCTAGCCTATTTCTGGCAACTTGCTGCTGCATGTTATATGTTAGGTTTATGTAACAGTATGCATCTTGTGCGTCAACATGCATATGTGCATCAACATACATATATGCATTACCATTCAAGGACATATACAGTATAGGACAATTAACACTTTTTGCAAACAGCTACCCCAGCTATATAGGTGGGACTCAACAAACGGGGGTCAAAGTTTACCATGTATTGCAGTGCTGTATGACCAATATTGAACGTTCAGTAAGATGAATTTTGGTTGCACAAGAGTATTTCTGCAAAAAGGGATAGCAAAGTTAGGGAAAACTTTCTCGTAGAAGCATATTAATAGGATATTCACAGTGCTGACCCTAGTTAACCCTCGGCGCGCATGGGCAGCGAGGGTTACGGTAGTTGTCGTGTGTTCCTTCTGTCAGTCACTTCTGTCTGTTACCTGACTTCTCACTTCTGACTCCTTGTTACTGTAAATTGTGTATTTAACTCCATGCTCACATTATCTATGCAAACTTCATTCATTTTCCATGTTACTACGTAGTTTATTTGAGCAAGTTTGACACAATATTTACTGTTCCATGATTTCACTCTAGACTAGTACTTTTATGACCTCAGAACTCTGCATGTTTTATATGTTTACAGGTGTACAGTTCATCCAGTGGTGGCCAAATCAAACTGACTGTCTGCATAGAAGATCACAAATTTAGCCCAAGAAACTTCTGGTAATCTGCTCAGTCAAAGTTATGAATCAATGCCTTTCGATTGCAATGTTTGTCTGTTAGGAATGGTCGGTGGAGATCTGAGTGGACTGTGACATTTACCCCAGGAAGTTCAGCAGAGCTAAAGGGGTTGATGAGAGTTCAGGTTTGTGTGATCAAAAATATATTTTATATGGGCTCCTTTTTTTCTTAATGCTTGTATAGCCCTAGGCATGATGCAATTTAAGGTTACATCAGCATTGATAAATGTGAGTTACTATCTAGCAAAAGCCTCTGAGTGGCATTTAGCGTATCCACCGCGGAAGCATAGCAGGTCCATTGAGGTGCTGTTTGCCCCTTACGGCACATTAAATGGGCAGCAAAATCATGGTTACACTATGCTAGAACAGTGTACCTCCTCAATTTTTATCGTCCCCCCCGCTGATGTCATGATTTAGTGAACATGTAGTGCATTCTTGTACTTACTGTGTCATGTGCCGTTGTTCAGAATGACATCATGTACCTAAAGGTGAGATAACAGGTACATATTGCTGCGGCATCATGCTGAAGAGAGCAGTTCAGTTTTTTTTATGCACATATAATAAATCAGTACAGTCATAAAGAAGGTGTACGGGTATTCAATAAGTGCAGTATTGTTGGATGGGGAACGGTCAGAGGTATTTGATGTGGAACAGGGGGTAGCTCAGGGATGTAGCATATCTCCAATTTTGTTTTCCGTATTTATCAATGGGTTGTTGAGGGAGGTAGAGGAAGCTGAAATTGGGATCGATTTAAGTCGTGGTGGGGAGACTTGGAGGCCTTTTGTTTGCAGATGACTTCGTTGGTGTTAGTGAGTCTAAGGATCAGTTACAGACGCTTATAGATGTGGTGCATGCTTACTGTCGAAAATGGAGGCTAAAGGCTAATGTGAGTAAGAGTGCAGTGATGGTGTTCGCTAGGGAGTCAGTGGATGGTGATTGGAAATGGGGGGAGTATGTTTTGCCTAGAGTATCTAAAGACCTTAAGGTTACTATTAATTGCGGGCACTAATTTTAGCGTTTTTGCACTGAGTGTTTTTGGCGTATACTAATTTTAGCGATTTGTGTCTCCATAATGTAATAAAAATAAGTGTATGCACAATAATGTATGATGATGACAATTGATAATGATCTCACCCAGTGACTAGCAAGCAAGCCCAATGCCTATGTGTTTTAGTCTGAATTCGAAGTTGCACGAATCAAAGATGTCAAACTACCTAATACAGGCATTAAATACGTATCCCTCTTCCTCTAATCAATACACATCTCACCTGGTATTAAGAAACCATGAGAGTACAAGTGGATTACTGAATAATAGTTAGACGCTGATTCGAGGTAACTGCGCGCAGTAGAAAACCGAGAGCTCCGGCATTGTGGCGCCCCGAGCGCAGCGAGGGCGCTACTCCCGGGACACAATGTACATGTAATCAACAAGATCAACAACTGAATCTACATTGACGCGTCGTCCACGCGCACGCGCAGACCCCCCTGCGCACCATCACGCGCACAAAGAAGGCGGAGTCGCTACCGCGTGTCTCTGCCGCTTCGCTCTTCTTGCACTGCATTTTTGTGGCGCTCTGAGCCTGTCTGCATCGAGTTATCGTTAGAAGCGCTCCGCCATACGAACGAACAGGAAAGCCAGAGCGCTCAACGTGAAGCGCTCACTCTAAGCGAATTTTCATTGCGGCACAATTATTAGCGAGCATATAATTTAGCGGTTTTGCTGATTCCCGCTAAATTCGCTAAAATTAGTACCCGCAATTAATAGTAACCTTAAGGTACACATACTTGGGTGTTGATTTTACTAGTGCTGGTGCATGGGATGTGCATATCAAGAATGTGTTAGGCAATGGTAGAAGGAAGGTTAATCAGTTGCAGTGCATGAAATTACAGTCGGACATCGGACATTTTCCGAGCATTTGCAGCACTTGTCCGAGCAATAATCGTTCTGTTCTGCCTTACTGTCCGAACGCGGCGACGACTGCACGGGCCCGCACGCACGCGATTAAAAAAGGCATGGTTCCGCGTAAAACGGGCCGGGCGCGCGTGCGTATAGCGCGTTAGGCTGATGATCTAGCTAGCTAGCTTCTTTCCCAGCCTCACTCCCACGCGCGGTCTGCGGTGAGGGTGTGGCTATGCGAGGCTCAATAGCATGTGGCTTCTTTGCTCAGCTATATAGAGCAAGTCGGTGGAGATAATGAGGAGAGGTCTCCAAGCATCTTCCAGTGAGCCCAGACTAGATGACTTGGGATGATTGGACGCAGGTTGACCGAGATTGACTCCGCAACTCATCTATTGTATGCAATGTAGAATTAATATTACCATAACTTATTATTATGGCTGATCAAAAGCGGAGAATGGCAGAACAAAATTGATTTGCTCGGACAAATTGTCCACAGACTTTTTGTGTCTAATTTCATGCACTGAAGTTGCATAGTGTAATTAGTAATAGGGATATTAATTTGAGTGCTCGCAGGTTGTTGTTGCTGGCGGTGGTTAGGCTAACTTTAGAGTGTGGGAGTGAGGTGTGGGAAGCCAATAAGACTCAGGCAGCTGCGTTACAGTCCGTGATGCTGAGAGGAGCTAAGCATATTCTTGGGTGTTCGTCTAAGACATGTAATGAAGCCGTTAGGGGGGATATGGGGCTTGATACGTTACAAGGGCGTAGGGATAAGAATAAGTTGAAGTGGTGGTATAAGTTAGCGGTATCCGAAGATCAGGAATGGAATTTTAAGCCACGGAGAGGCAGGCAGAGGAAGTGTTGGAGTAAGGTCATTGATGATCTCTTTTCGTCATTAGGTCTTGACAAGGCAGAGTGGTTGCCTGGATTGCTCATTGAAGGGGTTATAGCTGTCCAAATAACTGGTTGAATGGCTGCAGTAATAGGGCTGCAGTAACTCTATAGTAGGTGACAGTATCAATGAGAGGGAGATTAGAAAGTTTGAAGAGGGGCTAAATAGCAAAGTAAAGCTGTTATTGTATAAGACATTAACAAGGTGGTAGAGTTCAAAAGGTACTTGCATGGGGAAAGTGATGCTGGGTCTAGATCAATGTTTAGGTTCAGTCAGGGAAGCATGGGCTAAATGAGGAACTGGGTAGGCATAGGGGGAGGGAGGGGATGAAGGAGTGCCTGTTGTGTGATGATGAGTGTGAAAGTGTGAGTCATGTGTTGTGGGAGTGTCCAGCATGTAGCAGTCTTAGGAGCAATTTCTTAGTTGCCCTGCAGGGGAAGCTTGGGGATGATGGGTTTGAGCATTTCCAGTCGCTTGATAGTTTCAGGAAAGCATCCTTTATATTGGGTAGTGAACTGTGGGAGGATAAATTTGGTTCTTTGCTTGGCCTTGTTAAAGGTTTTATTTCGGGATGTTTGGGAGCTAAGAAAGGTTAGGTTATACGGCAATAATCCCAGCGTACAACAGACCCAGTCTCAGATTGCGCCTGGAGTGCTGCAGGGTGTCACTGGTGGAAGGGGTGAGTTGAGGTGTCTGGGAGGTGAGACAGACACCTCATGTTCATATGGTGTATGTTCGTTTGTTAACGGTTCCGCCCATTGTTCTGGGTGCGTGGTCTATGGCCCTAGTGCTACGGCAGCCACCTGAGTATTATTAACCCTCGGCGCGCATGCGCAGCGAGGGTTACGGTACTTGGTTCGTGAGTGTGTGTGTGTCTGTCCGTTCGTCTGTTACCACATTTTCTGCGACTATGCGCAACGAGACAACGAAGTAGCGATACCAACACGTTCATCGCTACACTGGCCTTATTTTTAAAAAGGTGATTTTCGTACAACTAGTGTGTTCAAAAGTTATGACGTGAAGGGCAAGTCAACAAGCCAATATGCAAATTAGCACAGGCTTACCTCGACCGCGTCCGCTCGCTGTGTATCTTGAAAGCACAAGAAGTCGCAACGAAGGGCATGTATCGACTCCCGCATGCTATCTACTACTGTAGCTAGCCCGTGGCAGACTCTCCGCGAGCTACTAGCGGGATACCACGAGTAAAGGCATAAAAAGCCTAGCCCATCAATTAGTGGTACCGCGCATGCGCAGTTCGCCGAGGGTTTGGACTTTAGTGCTTTTCATTATTATTAATAAATCAGTACGGCATTATGTGCAGTGGCCGACATTACATAATTATGTAGGCTGAAGTATATTATACCCGAATTATGTTTGTATACAGGTGCACTACTATGAGGATGGAAATGTCCAACTGGTCTCCAGCAAGGAAGTAAAAGAAAGTGTGAAGACTAGTGTAAGTGTCTTATGCACTAGTTTCTTATAACCACTGCATGCTCACGCAACCGACACAACGAATGTTATACCCTTTGTTCCCACAGACACACCCTTTTGTTATGTTACATTAGATAGTCTCCAGTGAATGATCCCCTGCCCTCATGTAATATTGTGCAATATTGTATGTCCTTTTTAGGCAGAAGAGGGCACTGCGAAAGAGGTGGTTCAAGTGCTGTCCTCTATTGAAAGTGACTACCAGGTAGGTTTTAGAAATTTCTTTTCTCTAATTCTTCACCATTGTATATCCTTTTAAAGTCTGCCATCAGTGACAATTACAAAACAATGAGCCAGACAACCTTCAAGGCCCTGAGACGAGCTCTACCTGTAACACGTACTCGTGTTGACTGGAACAAGATTGCAGCATACAACATTGGAACTGAGCTCAAGGGAAAGTAGCTTGCTTGAATGTCTTGACTAAGAAGATTTAGAGCAACAATTTAGCTTTAGAATGTATGTATTGCCTCACCTGTGTACGTGTTTGTGTTTTAAATGTAGATTATACAGGTTATTTATAGGATATCATGCCTACAAGTTCATTATTGTAGCAAAGTAGGGATCTCATGGAAATAGTATGTTGACAGCAAGTATCTGCCAAAAAGGGTAATGAGTAGTACACACTCAAACAGCAATCGCCCTATTCAAGGTTATGGTACATCGCAGATGAGGTGGCGCACAATCAACATTCCTAAGCTGTCCGCGCATGCGGCTATAATGCAATCAAGTATCGTAGCTGCGAAAGGAAGTTGCTCTGGCTGGTGTTCAGGAGGGCCAAGACCTTGCTATCTCTCGATTGTTTATATGTCCAAGTGTGTACCATGGAGAACACTCGTAGCCTTGCAAACGCCAGTGTGCCGTTCTGCAGAAATTGCTGACTCAGCGGGTTGACTGGGTTGCGTGGGAGGGGGGGGGGTGACGTACGTGTGCACAACCTTTATTATTGCCGGCATGCGCGGCATGCCTGGGGAATGTCCTTGCGCATGCTCGCATAACGTGCATAATAATACGCGCGCGCGCGCGCTCAGTGCGAGTGACGTGCGCGCATGCGTGTGTGCACGTGTGGGTGCAGCTAGCTAGCAGCACCGACCGCGGGTTCGCCTAGTATATACATGCACTATGCAACCGGTGTACAATCGTGCCGCTGAGGCGTTGGATGAGCTCCGTGGGAAGCGCGGTTCACTGAAGTATATCATATTCAACAACAATAAGAGCGACACGCTTACATTTCGTAAGCGCGTGTATGCTGTAGCAGTGGAAACACTGAAACGTAAGTTGATCTTGTCACTCATACTTTTATAATAGTCCGTCAAGGGCGAACGTCAATTCCTGAAATGAATGGGATAGACATGGTTACCGTCGTGTAGGACAGGGGGCTCTTGGTAAGAACAAATGAGTAAAACCGTATATGTATACACAGGTCTGTATAATTACGGTATCTAGAGATTACATCATCATGACGCAATATTCTGTTTACTTTATTTCTCTTAGCACTTTTTTTCGTTTTGTGTGTTTTCCTGCTGTGTTCTGCTGTATCTTCCATGTCGTTGGTGTTCTGCAGTGTTTTTTTTGCGAAATGTCGGTTTTTTACTGTGCACTGTGTTTTGCTGCTTTCTTTGTGTTTTCTACCGTGTTCTTTGTGATTTTCTGTATTTCTTGTGTTTTTTTAGGGTTTTGCTGTGTTTCATCATATTCTGTGTTTTGCTCTGTTCTTTGTGTTTTCCTGTGCTCTATGCATTTTCCTGTGTTTTCTTGGTTTTGCGGTGTTTTACTATTTTCTGTGTGTTTGCAGGGTGTTTTCAGTGCCCTCCTTGTTTTGCTGCGTTCGGTGGGTGTATCTTCCAGCCATTTCACTTTTGACTCGCACAGCCAGTAGGAAATATAATAAAGATTGGGAATGTCTCCTCAAATCTCTCTGAGGCACAAAATCCTCCTGCGTTAAAGTTTTTCCTAGGATTTAATAAATTGAGGTACTTAATGGCCAGTGAAACCCCCGAAAGCGGACCCTCCCTAGCACAGATACCGCCCCTGGAGCGTACAGTTACGCTGCCCCCGATTGAACTTCCCATTATACTAATACATTGAAACCTCCGAGGAGAGGACGCCTCCGAACTCCGTAGAGCGACACCTGCGCGTCCCCAACATACTAGAGCCCATACATTTTTGCCTCTGAAAGCGGACAGCTAGCCGCACCTCCATTACCACACCTAGCCTCGCGAAGACACGCCTTCTCAATCTGTCGCTCCGTGAGGCTAGACCACACCTACCCTTACGGTGAGTGCCCGTACGTTGATCGTGCAGATGACGCCAGTAGTGTTTCAACCGTAGAGATGGTAAGTGCACGGGATCTCCAGCTTTGCGTAAACCTATGCGTGGTAAGCTTACCCCCTTACATAGGCCTGGAAGTCTACCACAGATAGGTCTCTGGCAGTAGCTACAACTTGACTGGCCATTGGCTATTATATGTCGGACGTCGCGCTTAGCGCGGAGAGCGGAGAGAGTGTTTGCTTGTCCTTTGACCTCCTCTGTGTGGTGTATGTGCTACTGTATCCTATCGTCCTTGTGCTGCTAGGTTCATGGCTTGCTGAAACTGTGTAACTACCTTTTTTGAACATGTTTATTGTGATCTTATATTGTTTGTGGATTAGAACTGCAGCAATGCCTCATATTTAGCACTGATAATGTGAAAAAGTGAGAACCTCCATAAAGGGTCGTCCCCATACTGTCCCTTCTTCGGAGGTTTCACAGTAACCACAACTGACATTTCATTTCAGCACTTTGTAGAACCTTGAGATTTTCATACTTCTCTGGTTTGCTTTTCTGGCTACATAGTAGTCTGCCTGTGCACATGGACTGACAAACTTCAATTTTAATTTGGAAACGTAGTTATACAAAAATTAGACCCACATCCTGGCAGTATACCTGAAATGAAAAAGTAGCAATGATAAGGATTAACAATGATAAGTAGTAATAATGAGATCCAACATGCTGGCAATGCCACTCGGATATATGGTAATAATTATACTCTGTTCATGCCGCTTGCCACTTGACGTTCACAGTTAGCAGGTCCACGCTGCTATCACTGTTGTGTTTTCTTTTGACTTGCAGGAGATTCACTGGCACCTTTCTTTAAAAACGATTGTAGATAATCCCAACATTTCCTCATGTCGGTGTACATTACCAGCTGTACAGGTGTTGAGCAGTGGGGACACTGTGAACGATTAGAAAACCAGAGATCTAGAAAGCTAGAAAATAATAATAAGCTCTTCAGGGGGGATCCTATCAAAATACGAACACCCAAACGGTTCAGAATTGATCTGAAATTCCCCGAATTTCAAGCTTTACTGGATGGTACAGGATATATTTGCTTGAGTTAATTAGGATGTGATACCTTGAGACTGCATGGAATAGTGGAAATTTGCTCTTAAAGGAAGGCCTTCCGTTTCTTTATGCACGTGTATTGTGCACATCAACGCTACTCTATGTTAGCATGCTGTTTGTGCCGAGGTTTTTTTGCATTTCAGTGTTTTTCCATTAGGTTAGGAAACGGAATGTCGAATCTCTCAAGCCTTTCAAATAAATGCCTTCTGTTGGGCCCAGAGATTTGAATTGTTTGTCGGGTGATGATTAAGCCGTTAGAAGGGTCAGAAAACCTCGAAAGACAGTGTCACTAAGTCCCCTCTTTCATTTTACTCATCGCCTTGTAAATTTAAAGGATGCTCTCTAATCGCCTAAATTATAGGCTTTAGTACGATCCAGTGCATCAGCTTTGTTTTTGTATCCTTAAAAAGGATAGCTACGAAAGGTAGATTTTGCCTGGCAATAAAATGAGCCATCATTACAGCAGATATTTCATGATCTCTCCTAGGAGTGACACGAGGGTGCGGTTTGCTGAAGATATTTCAACTTGCTTTGGTGCTTTGCTCCGTCCACTTAACCAACCCGGCAATATTAAAATCGCTCACTTAAAGCTTACAGGAGTCAAAAATAATCTTTTTATGGTGTGTTTGGGCAGCTTCCACAATCATCTCATTTCCCCTCTAGTAAGTATTATACTTCACCAAAAGTATCTCAGGTTAAGCCTTCGGGTTTATTTTTCCCTTTCTGTGTCGCCCCCTGGAGGGGTTTTGTAAGTATGCAACAATATACGTGTGAGATTATTGTTAATGGTGAGTTTGAGCCGGTCCTTCGTGTTAGCTTGAATGCACACCACAGTCTTTTTGTGGTTGGAGTATATCTCCTGTTCTATTGGCTTTGAAGGTTGCCCCTAGTGTTTTTGTTAGGCATCTGCTTTCTGCTTTTCAAAGCGAACATGAGCTACATGTAGCCTCAGAACCGAGGCCTTCCCCATTCAAAGTGGTGTATAGTAGTACGTGTGAGCATGCACGAAGTAGTTGTGCATGGGCAATCTATGCGAAGAATTGGGAAGGCCTGGACTCAAGCATCACGTGAGGGTAGACACTGTCCACGCACAATTAGTACATCCTGAAAGTTTCTGAACCCAATGTGCGTTACGCACGTTCAGAAAACACACGCAATAAACCGTTCGCGCACGCATACGCACGCAGTCTCATGCGCACACGGATGCAATTTTTCCCAGGCACACGCACTCAATTTTTAACGCACACAGTCTTCATACGAACCTCCTACTCCACTAGCTGGCAGTGGCAGCCAAAAAGAACTCGACCAGAGCTAGCTGTCTTTCGTGCCAGAATTCTATCGATGTACTATGATCGCAAAGTTGGTGATTATTACATTACAGGCATAAGCATTTTCATGATGATGACCAGTATAGCAGTCTTTGGAGACTATGGTGATGACAGAGCATCCAGAGAGATTTATGGAGGCAATAGAAGGGGGTCTATTTTCGAAAAAGATGTGGAGAAAATAGATGGAGGCTGCAGCTTATGGTTTTCTTTCTTCTAAGTTTACAACTGCTCTGCCTGCTCTGGACAAGATCACTTATAAGCCCTGACGCTGTCTGGATCTGTGCCAGGTCCTTTCCATAATACAATTTTCATCTGCTCCACTTTGAAATATAACCTGGAGGCAGTTGTTACCCTTAGAGAGTTGTTTGTTTTGTAACCCTCTATTCCGGCCTTCTCACAGAGTCATTTTTGACGGTGGAGGCAAGAGTGTGCACTCTAATTGGTTGATTTTTGTACCACACCATCCCTTTGGGTTTTGACAGTGAAAACAAATAAAAGACGTTGCCAGTAACATCAGGTTGCTGACGTGAACAATATTTCTTTTAAAACACCGATCTGGGCGCTCACTATTAGCATAGTGGGCAACTTGCTCTTTTTTCCACCTGGATTGTTCTTCGCTGCATCCTCTGTATAGACCAGACAGGGCCACCAGCCTTATAGGGCTAAATGTCAGTCGCCAATGCTCCATAGAAGAGCTCAGAGCATAGTACAACCCAGCCAGACAATCTTTCAGGTCTTGCCACTACTGATAGGACGCCCAGTTGTCCCAGACATTACCAGCCCAACTTGTGTTCATCTTTGTACATGTTTTTGCAGGACATTTCCTGCAGCGCGAATATCTGTGACGAGGTGACGTGAGGGCCAAATCTCTGTACTTCCTGTGCAGCTGTCGTGTGTAGTTTCTCTGCCCCTTTGTCATGCTGATAGTGATGCGCGAGTTGAGTGTCGAAGTAAAACCTGGTTGGAGGTGCTTGTCAACATCCGGCAGGTCTCCTTCCAAAACAAGCAGATCTTGGGTTAGAACGTCAAAAACATCACCTCCCAAGTCGTCCCATTCCACCATGCCGATAACCAAGGTGCTTGGTCAAAGATCACGAAAAATTTTATGCGCCAAGCAGGTTTCCCCGCACAATCTGTGGTACAAACCGGTCACACTACACCCACTCTGCGGTTTAGTGAATCCACTAAACCGCCTCATGGTGTTAGTGTAATCTTTAAGAACCTAATCCTAATTTCACCAGTGCACTTTGTGTCAATATTGACCTTTTTGTAAAATATTCTTTCTTCAGATAAAGCTGTTTTGTTGCCAGTAATTGAATCTTCTAATCTCCTGCAGTTGGAACCACAAGTAAGTTAAGGCTGTAGGCATAGCTACTTAGTTGCTGAGGGCGTACCCTAATTTGTGTCACATCTAAGAAAATAGTTTGTAATATTTATGTGCGTGTGTGTGTCCAGCTAGTACGTATATGTAATAAGTATACTCAGTTTGCGATGAGGCACTACAAACTTACACAACGGCTAGTTCGCCAAGGATTCAGGTATTCAGCATTGTGTGTAGCTTTTCGGAAGTTTGCAAAGAAACATATACGGGTTTTAGACAAATGCGGTTGTAGTATATGCAAACATAATTGAAGATGGTGTCCGTTCCTCAGTCGCAATGTCTCACGCAGATCTATTTAAACGATACGTATTTTAATTTTACACCACGTGCATACAACTGTGCACTAAATAGAATCATTGCACAACTACTCTATACTGGAGCCTAGCCTTGTCTGCGCGTGAGTTGTTCTTTCTTTCCAGATGTTATATTGCAATAAATATCTATTTTTCTACGGACTTATTTTACAGATTTTTTACTGCCTTTTTTATTCGGAATTTCTTTTTTATGTTTTTATACATTTTTCTACTGCCTCTGTATAGTAACTGTCATTGTGGTTGTTTGTCGTGAGGTTTGGACGCTGGGTGGGTTGAGAGAGTTGGCATGCTATAAAAGACTCTTTAACCCACCTCCCCAGTTCACAAGGCTGGGCACCTGGTGTCCTACCTTTTTATGTGCAAGTGTGTTTGTCTTGTGTACCTTGATGGGAGGGGTGGGGGAACTCTTTCATTTGTATGTATGGCTTATTACCATTTATGGATTTATCAACCTTTTTATGTGCAAGTGTGCTGTTTGTCTTGTGTACCTGGATGGGAGGGTTGGGGTGACTCTTACATCTATGGCTTATCACCAATTTTGTTTCTGGATTTACCAATGGGTTGTTGAGGGAGGTAGAGGAAGCTGAGATTGGGATTGATTTAAGTAGTGGTGGGAGACTTGG